AGAAATAGAAAAATCTTGTCCGGCCTTCAAAGGTCAAACTACAGGTTGGATTTCAACCAAACTTTACAGGAGTGGTCAGTTCCATCCCTAGTTGTGCATGTCACCGGCACATTCTGCTTTGCTGCACAAAATGGCCTCCCGTGCTAAAAATAGAAAATCTTGTCTGGCCTTCACAGGTCAAATAAGTGGTGGGATTTCAACCTACCTTTAAAGGAGTGATCAATACCATCCCTAGTCGTGCACATCAACTGGTTGCACAAAATGGCCTCCAGAGCTAAAACTAGGAAAATCTTGTCTGGCCTTCACAGGTCAAACTACTGGTGGGATTTCAATGAAAATTGGCATGAGTGACCATACATAGTTTTGAGAGACATATTTTTTGTGACCGGTACCCGTCTAAATTAACTCTGGTATCAAATGATATATTATATATAGCTATATATATCTAGTGATCTACTTTTTTACTTTTTTAGATACAGCTATATTTGGACCATGTGTACAGTTTAAAATAAAGAATAATAGATTGCTGTATTGACCTATATTTTGACCTAGTGACATACTTCCAAAGACAGTAAAAAAAATCTACTGCATTATCACAAAGTTTTGTTGTTTAAAAATAAAAAATGTACAACTGCTGTTCTTACTAGGGATGGTATTGATCACTCCTTTAAAGGTAGGTTGAAATCCCACAATAGTGAACATTTATGCCAAGTTATATTGAAATACCCCTATGCATGTGCAACCATTTGATGTGCACGACTAGGGATGGTATTGATCACTCCTTTAAAGGTAGGTTGAAATCCCACAATAGTGAACATTTATGCCAAGTAAAAATATATTGAAATACCCCTATGCATGTAGAAGTTTTGCTCCTGACAAGCTTTTTTCAATGACCTCTATGACCTTGACCTTTGACGTTGAGGCCTGGTTTATGCGGGTGACATGGCATCTCATAGTGGTTAACATTTCTATAAAGTTTCATTAAAATACCTCTATGGGTGTTAAAAAGACCAATTTCAGGATTTTTTTGTTATATGCGTTAACAAAAATAGTGGTACATTAAAAATCATGAATAAATTTGCATGGCATTTTGATATGGTGAAACATTATTTATCAATAATAATGGAAGACTGTCACCTGAATTTTATACTGGTATTAGGAAAGCTATGTTAATTGATTTCTTGGGAGATCAGTATCTATCAAAAAATCGGGGTTGATTTTTATGTCCACAGTAAAAAATGTCAGAAGTTCAATCGGGTGAGCTATTAATTTACCGGCAAGTACCTACAGAAAAGATATTACTATGATAACAATTTGTAAAAGTGGCCTTCTTAAATTTTTTTTGATAACTTTTTATGCCCCCGCCATGTAATGGCCGGGGCATATAGTGTTACCCTGTTCCGTCATTCCGTCCTTCCGTCATTCTGTCATTCCGTCATCATCAGTTTCCGTTCATTATCTTAAGAACGGTTGCACACATTCAACTCAAATTTGACATATGGATATGTTATGAGAAAATACAGGTCAAGTTCGAATTTGGTCATGGTTCGATGATTTTTGGCAGAGTAATGCCCCTTTTACTTTGAAAATAATATGAAATTTCAGTTTCCGTTCATTATCTCCCCAACGGTACAACACATTCAACTCAAACTTGACATATGGATATGTCATGAGAAAATACAGGTCAAGTTCGAATTTGGTCATGGTTCGATGATTTTTGGCAGAGTTATGCCCCTTTTACTTTGAAAATAATATGAAATTTTCAGTTTCCTTTGTGAAAATTTCATGGGGGGGCTTTTGTCCACCTTGTCATTTTTAGATGGGGGGGGCTTTTGTCCGGGGGGGCTTTTGTCCGTATCCCAGAAAATACAGGTCAAGTTCAAATTTGGTCATGGTTCGATGATTTTAGGCAGAGTTATGCCCCTTTTACTTTGAAAATAATATGAAATTTTCAGTTTCCGTTTATTATCTCCCCAATGGTACAACACATTCTACTCAAATTTGACATATGGATATGTTTTTGGAATGCCCAGGCCAAGTTCGAATTTGGTCATGGTTCAATGATTTTTAACAGAGTAATGCCCCTTTCACTTGAAAATAATATGAAATTTACAGTTTCTGTTCATTATCTACCCAACAGTGTTACATATTCAACTTAAATTTGACATATGGATATGTCAAAGGAATGGGCAGGTCAAGTTGGAATTTGGTCATGGTTTGATGATTTTTTGGCAGAGTTATGTCCCTTTCACTTTGAAAATAATATAGATACATCTTAGGAATAAGCAGTTTAAGTTTGAATTTGGTCGTGGTTCAATGATTTTAGACAAACTTATCTTTCCTGAATGTTGGAAAAATTTTGAACTTTCAGTTTCAGCACTCATACTTTTAGCCATTATTTTGGCTACAAATATGCAATATGCTATTTTTAAAAGGTTAAGACTGAATTATTTCAGTGCCTTGAACATTGTATGAAAATGGTTTGTGTTAACATTGAAAAGTTTTAAGGGCTTTGAACTTAAAATGAAAAAAATAATTAATGCACCATCTGAAATTTTGGCTGCATGCGGGGGCATACGTGGCATGATGACACATTTCTAGTTAAAGATTTATTGTTAAATTTTTATGCCCCCACAAAGTGGGGAGCATATAGTGTTGCACATGTCTGTCCGTCCGTCCGTCCGTCTGTTCGTCCATATGTTCCGAAATCTTGTGAACGCAACTCCTCCTAAACAGAATGGCAGATTTTGCTTAAACTTCCAGGGATGAACAACCTTAATGTGTAGATGGTAGTAAAGGAAGGAATTTTTGCTGCGACCAAATTTAACAGAATTATGGCCCTTTGTTGATTTTTTCACTATATACCATATATATGTTGTCAGTCCTTTGGACACAGTTCTAGTTTACATTTCATTTCCTGCAAAATTCTCCAGTTAGTAATTAAATACCATAGCGCAATACGAATGACCGTTTCGTTTAGTTTCAGACATGGTAAACTAAAACTACTTCTATAAATAGATTTAAATGAAATATGTTCCCGTTCTCATTCATTTATATGACATGCTGAGAATCACCGAAGGGGAAACCAATATATGACTGCATAATAGAAATCAGAAGGAATTTTTCTTTCCAAATTAATTGTTAGCTGTAAATCAAAGGGATAAATTGATAAAAATCGGGTCCATGGACAAAAAAAAATAGGAAACACAAAAAGCTTCGCGTCTGTGGGTGCGGAGCAATCACATTTTGTTTGATTCAAGTTTTTCTTTTATTCAGAAGTATATGCACAAAAACATCCAATTTGACTGACCCGAGCTCATTTATAATGTGAGCTAAGAGTCGAATTTTATCTCCTAATTACATTTCAAAGCTATTTCTCAACATTTATGGGTTTTCAGTGACTAGAGAAATTATCAAAGTATTTGCCTGTCTATAAAATTTATATCAAACCGATTCAAAATTACTTAAGATTGTGACTGAACTAACCTTTATTCCCCAATCAAAGTTGCAAAATGGGATGAAAGTCCTCAGAATATCAAGCAATATCCGGGGTTGGGTATACCGCAGTGATATTAGGACAAAACAACCATTGTGACTAGAAAGACTTTTGAAAATTTGAAAAAGGAAAACCTTAATTAATTTTCTTTTGTGAGTCTTTATACTCATGTGAGCGATATAAGGCCATCATGGCTTCCTGTTTCTTGTTGGTTTTTCACAAGTGTATCTATACATTCTTAATTACAAAAATTAAACATTAGGTATTATTTATTGTCCTTTAAATGACAAAAAAGAAATATGACTGCTCATTGTGCGTACAACAGCAAATATACACAGATATGATAAATCAGAGCTGGTTTATATAAATGAAGTATTTGTATTATGATAGATTTCAATTAGGAAAACACTATCTTTACTTTAAAGTTTCAGACACAATTATTATGTTTGTAAGTGATATAATGGAGGAGGTCTTATACACATACTACAGGCCTTTCCCCAGGCGTTAAGCACCATGCTCCCGCTCTGCCTTAATGTCCAAATCAATCTCACCGCTGTGCCATAAAAGTCACCGCAGCGCTTGATTTTTCCAATCCCTTTTACAAATTCATATAGCACTTGCAGAATCGGCCTCTATGATTAATCAATAAACACAGCGGTCGTCAATCAGTATGTGTGATAACAAATTGATAGGTTGTTTATAGGGTGCAATAAAAAATCAGTCTGCGAAAATCCTTCAGTCCTCGGTCATGGCTGAATAAAAATCAAGTTGTCAGAGATATATTTCGTTACCGTCGGTGAGCATATAGTCGTCGGGTCTGTCTGTCTGTCAGTCAGTCATGTACGTACATCCCGAATTTGTGTCAGGCTTATTACTTTGTTATTTGAAGATAACAAGATAATGGTAGATAGATCTCATTGAGTAGAAGTGCAGTGCAAAGAACATTAACGTCTGTCTTGCCTAAGTTTGGAATTATCACACTTTGAACTTTGTCTGGGACACAACTCTGAAACTACAAAAGATATACTTTTCTGTGTCCAAAACCTAGTCGGGGAGCATCACCCGGTTCAACCTGCTCTTGTTTTTCATTTTGTTTTGTTTCTACATTGATGTTCACACTAATTTAAAGAAAAACAATCAATTGTAAACAGTGAAGAGTGACTGTGAAGATATACAGTTATATATATATATTGTTTACAAGTGATTTTTTTCATTGTATTGTTTTCTCAATTTTATGATTATAGTGTAATAAATTGTTAAAATGTTACATTTAATATCTAGTATCTTTTTTTGTTTATGAAGACTCTTTAATACAGTAGATTTTGATGTAGCAAACATGAAAATAGCAAAAATTTTCAAACGTGGGACGGGGGACATCCCCCACCCACCCCCATTTTCGCGAAAACTTGCTCCTGTGCCTGGCAAAATTCCTGGGGAAAGGCCTGATACTAGTTGTGAATGACAATATTTATGATGAGTTACCACTGTATAATTCTCTTTACAGGGAAGCCATAGCTTTGGCTAAATCCAGATTGTCTCCGTTAGATCCAGCCCTTGAAGAGTTATACACATTGTGGGCACAACAACTCACAAAAGATGGAAATTATGAGCAAGCCGCTAAATGGTATGAAAGTGATTGTCAATTCTTCTTTTGTCTATTTTTAGCTTTCTTCTTTTATGATAGCAGTGCAGGTTATTTGTCCACAATTTCTATAAACAGTATCTCCTCCTTAACCTCTAGATAGATTTTGACCAGGTGGATTTGATGGTCTTCTACAAAAGTTATACAAATTATACCAGCCTGATTAATAGATAGGTCACAGGAGCTAAAATAAGATAAGATCTTCAAATAATTTCCCAGAGCTTGGATGTTTGGCATGTAGCATCTTGTGGTTCTCTAAAAAGTTACATAAATCATGCCCCAAGTGTCATAAATTGCCTAGCCTTAGAGGCCACTTAGTTTACATAAGCTTATATAGGAAAATACATTTATTGCCACTGTTTTTAGCTCGATTTTTTTTTTTTTTTTTTTTTTTGGAAAAAAAAAGTAGAGGTATTGTTATAGTCCTGGCGGCGTTGCCGTTCGCAAACTTGTACCTGGATCATAACTTTTTTAGTTCTTGGTGTATTGTCTTCATACATGGCCACAACAACCCTTGGGACAAGTCCTTTCAGTAGACCACACCAACCTTGACCTTCATCCATAAATGACCTTGACCTTCAAGGTCAAAAGTCCAAATTTTGCTTGTTCTTGCTATTATTTGCTGTTTGTTTGTTTGTTTTTGAATGGATTGTCTTTAAACTTAAACATAAAAATCTTCAAAGTTAGCCCTTAAAACATAGCCAGACAGACCTTGACCTTCACTCATAAATGACCTTGACTTTGAAGGTCAAATTATTGAAATTTTCATTGTTCTTGCTATTATTGGCTGTAACTTTGTTAATTTTGAATGGATTGTCTTCAAACTTGAACAAAATATTTTTCAAGGATAGCCCTTAAAAATATCTTGACAGACCTTGACCTTCACTCATAAATGACCATGACTTTGAAGGTCAAATTATTGAAATTTTCATTTTTTTAGCTGTAACTTTGCTATAATTGAAAGGATTGACTTCATATTATAACAGAACATTCTTAAGGACAAGACCTTCATGTTTTTCAAACTCAAATTGACTTGGGCTCTTTAAAAACCTTGACCTTGAAGGTTTCTGGAACATAATTTTAGTTCCATTTCGGCCCACAAAATTCAGACTTCATAGGATGATTGTCCATATTGGGTAGAAAACCCCTATTGATTTTGGGGTCTCAAGGTCAAAGGTCAAGGTCACAATTACCTTAAAACTGAAAACAGTTTCCAGAACATAACTTAACCGAGCCTGCAACATTTTCAATTATGTTGTGTTGGACTTTCTTTAGGGATTCTTATTTTCTCTATTTTAAGTTCCATTTGGCCCACAGTGTTCAAACTTCATAGGATTATTGTCCATATTAGGTAGAAGACCCCTATTGATTTTGGGGTAACAAGGTCAAAGGTCAAGGTTACTATTACTTTAAAACTGGAAACAGTTTCCAGAACATAACTGAAGTTCCATTTGGCCCACAGTGTTCAAACTTCATAGGATGATTGTCCATATTAGGGAGAACACCCCTATTGTTTTTGAGATCACAAGGTCAAAGTTCAAGGTCACTATTTCCTTAAAACTGAAAAAAGTTTCCGGAGCATAACTTAAGTTCCATCTGGCCCACAATTTTCAAACTTCATTGGTGAATTTCTTTTTGAAGGAGGTAATACTTTATTTAATTCTTATGTCTTACAAATGATTCATCATTAATAAAAAAAAAAAAAACTTTGGGCATATAATGCTCCGTCTAGTGGGTGCTCTTGTTCAAATTATAGCCCTAGGTTCAAAATTGGCCCCACCCTAGGAGGTCATTGATTTTCATTATGTACATATAGTAAAAAAGTTAAAAAATCTGCCTGTCTGAAAGTACAAGGCTTAGTGTCTAAAAGTACAAGGCTTAGAACTTTCATAAATGGTGTATTTTATCATCCATACCTGGTCCTCTACCAAAGTTGACTTGGCCCCATCAGCCAGGGTCATAGGTTTTTATGCCCCCGGACATATAGTAATTGAACCGTCCGTCCGTCCGTCTGTCCGTACGAGGTTAACCTAGAACGGCAAGTTGGAATTTTCTTAAGTTCTACGGGTACCAATGGCTTCTAAGTTTACACACTTACTAATCAATACAAAGTACATGATCTGGGCAAGTAACATAACTCTGGCTTTCATATTTACCAAGTTATTGCCCTTTTCAGCACTTAGAAAATAAATAATGGTTAACCTAAAACGGCAAGTTTGAAATATCTTAAGTTCTATCTATACTAATGGCTTTATAATTTCCACACTTACTTATCAATACAATGTACATGATATTGCCAAGTTGTATAACTGTGTCATCCATATTTCCCAGTTATTTCCCTTTTTTTTACTTTGAAAATAGGGCCTTGTCTGGTTAACCTATTTCGGCAAGTTGGATTTATCTTAAATTTCTCCTAATTGCTTAATTACTTTAATGATATCTTTCATATTTAGTAGGTGGATACCTTTGATGGTCCTCTAATTTTTTGTGGAGAAAGCGGTCTCTAAGGTCAAGGTCACTGGTTTAAAAAATAAATATAAACATTTTTGCTCATACAGCCTTTATTTTTATGCTCCCCGAAAAATTTCGGGGGAGCATATAGTGATCAGGTTGTCCGCCCATCCGTCTGTACATACGTCCCGAATTCGTGTCCCGCCCATAACTTTGTTATTTGAAGTCAGATTTTAAAACTATTTCACAGAAATGATCACCATATTGAGACGACGTGTCGCGCGCAACATGTGGGTCGCTTCCTTGAAGGTCAAGGTAACAGCATGACCTTGCAGCAAAATCGTGTCCAGCCCATAAAACTTCGCTATTTGAAGTCGGATTTAAAAAGTATTTCACAGAAATGATCATCATATTAAGATGACGTGTCGTGCACAACATTTGGGTCGCTACCTTATTTTAAGGTCAAGGTCACAGCATGTCCTTGCAGCAAAATTGTGTCCGGCCCATAACTTCCTTATTTGAAGTCAGATTTTTAAAGTATTTCACAGAAATGATCACCATATTAAAATGGCTTGTCGCGCGCAACATTTGGCTCGCTACCTTGAAGGTCAAGGTCACAGCATGACCTTGCAGCAAAATTGTGTCAGGCACATAACTACATTATTTGAAGTCGGATTTTACAACTATTTCACAGAAATGATCACCACAATGAGACATTGTGTCCCGCGCAACATTTGGGTCGCTACCTTGAAGGTCAAGGTCACGTCATGACCTTGCAGCAAAATCATGTCTGGCCCATAACTTCGTTACTAGAAGTCGAATTTAACAACTATTTCACAGAGATGATCACCATATTGAATCGACGTGTTGCATGCAACATTTGGGTCGCTACCTTGAAGGTCAAGGTCACAGCATGACCTTGCAGCAAAATCATGTCCGGCGCATAACTTCGTTATTTTAAATCGGATTTTACAACTATTTCACAAAAATGATCACCAGATTGAGACAATGTGTCGTGCACAATATTTGGGTTGTTTTTACACTTTGAACTTTGTCTGTGACATAACTCTGTGTCCAAAACCTATTCGGGGAGCATCACCTGGTTCAACCGGCTCTTGTTTAGTTGATGTCTTAGATTAATACAAACATGCCAAGGGAGGTCCTCCTTCTTTGGGTAGTAAGGGGTCATTTGGGTCAAGGTCAATGTTACCAATGTCAAGGTCACCAATGTTAAAAATAGATTTTTTACATTTTTACAGGTGTATTGACCTTATTTTATAGACAGATGTTATTTATAATTGAAAGAAACATAAACTTTGATGGAGTTAGTGGTCATTTAAGTCAAGGTCACCAGTGCTAAAAATAGATTTTTACACATTTGCTCATACAGCCTTTATTAAGTGACAGATATATTTATACCCCCAAAAACGAAGTTTGGGGGGTATATAGGAGTCACACGGTCGGGTCGGTCCAGATGTCCGTTGCATTTTCCTTGTCCGGAGCATAACTTGAAGACTAATGGTTGGAATTCAATATAACTACATACAATGGTCAAGCACATTGAGAGGAAGTGCAGTGCACAAGAACCATAACTCTATCTTGACTAATTACAGAGTTATTGCCCTTTGTTACTTTTCCATGTCCGGGGCATAACTTGAAAACTAGTGGTTGGAATTCAAAACAACTTCATACAATTGTCAAACAAAATAAGGGGAAGTGCAGTGCACAATAACCATAACTCTATCTAAAGTAATTACAGAGTTATTGCCCTTTGTTGCTTTTCCATTGCTTTTTTTTTTGTCCGGACCATAACTTGAAGACTAATAGTTTGAATTCAATATAACTACATACAATGGTCAAGCACATTGAGAAGAAGTGCAGTGCATAAGAACCATAACTCTATCTTGACTAATTACAGAGTTATTGCCCTTTGTTACTTTTCCTTGTCAGGGGCAGAACTTGAAAACTACTGGTTGGAATTCAAAACAACTTCATACAATTGTCAAACACAATAAGGGGAAGTGCAGTGCACAAGAACCATAACTCTATCTAAAGTAATTACAGAGTTATTGCCCTTTGTTACTTTTCCATTGCCTTTATTGTCCGGACCATAACTTGAAGACTAATTGTTGGAATTCAATATAACTTCATATAATGGTCAAGCACATTGAGAGAAAGTGCAGTGCACAAGAACCATAACTCCATCTTGACTAATTACAGAGTTATTGCCCTTTGTTACTTTTCCTTGTCCAGAGCATAACTTGAAAACTACTGTTTGGAATTCAATACAACTTCATACAGTTGTCAAGGACATTAAAAGGAAGTGCAGTGCACAAGAGCCATAACTCCTTATTGACAAAATACAGAGTTACTGCCCTTTGATACTTTTCCTTGTCAGGAGCATAACTTAATACGTACTGGTTGGAATTCAAAACAACTTCATACAATGGTCAAGCACAATAACAGAGCAACAGATAAGCTTTAAAAGTGAATTGGGTATTACTCCATCATTTCCTGCAATAAGAGGAAGTGCAGTGCACAAGAACCATAACTCTATTTTCAGTATTTATAGAGTTATTGCCCTTTGTTCCTTTTCTTTGTCTTTCTGGACTTATTACAGAGTAATTCAATTAAACTTCATCAATGGCCAACCATATTGAAAGGAAATGCAACATAAAAGAACCACAACTATCTTTAATTGCCCACAACCATAACTCTATATTTCAATTCTTTTACAAGGTATTCTGTTACTAGTAACATCCTCATTTCCTAAGCAGTCTTGTGGGGGTATTAATCACATTTAGTGATAGTTTTAGTTTATATTTGGTAGGAAGATAACTAGCATGGTATTCATCCTTTTGATTGGGGTAGGGATCAGTGGGTCAAGGTCACTTGTGCTAAAAATAGATTTTTACACTTTTGCCCATACAGCTTTTATTTATTGACAGATGTATTTCATATTTGGTAGGAAGAAAACTTGCATAGTATTCTTCCTTTGGATTGAGTAAGGGGTCAGTTGGGTCAAGGTCACCAGTGCTAAAAATAGATTTTTACACTTTTGCCCATACAGCCTTTATTTATTGACAGATGTACATTGTATTTCATATTTGGTAGGAAGATAACTTACATGGTATTTTTCTTTTGGAAAGAGTTAGGGGTCAGTTTGGTCAAGGTCACCAGTGCTCAAAATAGATTTTTACACTTTTGCCCATACAGCCTTTATATAATGACAGATGTATTTCATATTTGGTAGAAAGATAACTTGCATGAAGTTGAATATTTTTCAGCTTCACAAGTCAGAGCAATGACTTGGCAACTTATATTTTTCACAATTACAAAATGCCATGACTTTGTCAAGCTATATAACTTGTGTTTACAATTTTTTGGCAATTTTTCTGTCCATAACTAAGTGAATGGTTAAACATTTTTAGCTCACCTGTCACAAAGTGACAGGGTGAGCTTTTGTGATCGCTTTTCGTCCGGCGTCCGTCCGTAAACTTTTGCTTTAAATGACATCTCCTCATAAACCACTAGGCCAATTTCATCCAAACTTCACAGGAATGTTCCTTTGGTGGTCACCTTTAAAAATTGTTCAAAGAATTTAATTCCATGCAGAACTCTGGTTGCCATGGCAACCAAAAGAAAAAACTTTAAATATCTTCTTTTAAAAAACCATAAGAGCTAGAGCTTAGATATTTGGCATGAAAATCTTCTAGTGAGAGTGTCTACCAAGTTTGTTCAAATAAAAGCCCTGGGGTCAAAATTGGCCCCGCCCCTGGGGGTCATTGATTTTCCCTATATGCATATAGTAAAAACTTAAAATCTTCTTTTAAAGAACCGTAAGAGCTAGAGCTTAGATATTTGGCATGAAACATTTTCTAGTGAATGTCTACCAAGTTTGTTCAAATAAAAGCCCTAGGGTCAAAATTGGCCCCGACCCAGGGGGTCATTGATTTTCCCAATATGCATATGGTAAAAACTTAAAAAAACTTCTTTTAAAGAACCCAAAGAGCTAGAGCTAAGATATTAAGCATGAAACATCTTCTAGTGAGTGTCTACCAAGTTTGTGCAAATTAAAGCCCTAAGGTCAAAATTGACCCCGCCCCAGGGGGTCATTGATTTTCCCTATATGCATATAGTAAAAACTTAAAAAATCTTCTTTTAAAGAACCCAAAGAGCTAGAGCTAAGATATTAAGCATGAAACATCTTCTAGTGAGTGTCTACCAAGTTTGTTCAAATTAAAGCCCTGGGGTCAAAATTGGCCCCGCCCCGGGGGTCATTGATTTTCCCTATATGCATATGGTAAAAACTTAAAAAATCTTCTTTTAAAGAACCATAAGAGCTAGAGCTTAGATATTTGGCATGAAACATCTTCTAGTGAATGTCTACCAAGTTTGTTCAAATAAAAGCCCTGGGGTCAAAATTGACCCTGCCCCAGGGGGTCATAGATTTTCCCTATATGCATATGGTAAAAACTTAAAAAATCTTCTTTTAAAGAACCCAAAGAGCTAGAGCTAAGATATTTAGCATGAAACATCTTCTAATGAGTGTCTACCAAGTTTGTTCAAATAAAAGCTCTGGGGTCAAAATTGGCCCCGCCCCAGGGGGTCATTGATTTTCCCTATATGCATATAGTAAAAACTTAAAAAATCTTCTTTTAAAGAACTCAAAGAGCTAGAGCTAAGATATTTAGCATGAAACATGTTCTAATGGGTGTCTACCAAGTATGTTCAAATACAAGCCCTGGGGTCAAAACTGGGGGGGGGGGGGGGGGTCATTGATTTTCCTTATATGTGTATAGCAAAAACTTAAAAATCTTCTTTGGAAAAACCCAACTAGCTAGAGTTTGAAACATCTTTAAGTAAATATCTACAAAGTTTGTAAAAATAAACGCCCGGGGGTCAAAACTGGCCCTGCCCCAGGGGTGACATTGTTTTTAACTATATGTGTATAGTAAAAACTTTAAAAATCTTCTTTTAAAAAAGCCAATGAGCTAGAACTTAGATGTTTAGCATGAAACATCTTTTTATGGGTGTCTACCAAGTCTGTTCAAATAAACAAATAAAAGCCCTTGGGTAAAAATTGGCCCGGGGGTGGGGGGCCTATATACAGGTGAGCGACCTCAGGGCCATCATGGCCCTCTTGTTTGAAATATTGCTACTGACAAGAATCTGAGCCGGGGGCATTTGTGTTTAACAAACACGTTCTTGTTTCCTATATATATAATATAGTAAAAACTTAAAGAATTTTTTTCTATAAAGTGACAAAGGCTAAATGTTAGATATTTGGCATGTAACATCTTTTAGTAGACTCTACCAAGATTGTTCAAATTATAGCCCTAGGGTATAGAATTAGTCCTGCCTTGGATGGTCATTGTTTATTATAATTATATAACAGTATATGAAAATAAATGCAAAATTACACTGATGGTAAAATCTGAGCTACAGGACAAGTACATATTGCAGCATGAATAATAAAAATTCTTAGCTGCTCCCAAAAAAATTGTCAATATGGGTAGAGGTAGGGAATCAGACAACATTACACCAGTACAGGATTGTTTTATTGTCTGTTGTAACCTTGCATTCATTTTAAGTCAAAGGCTATAGTTCCTTTACTCCGCCCAGTCCAGGGCATTTGTCTTTTTCCAATGGGAAGTTCTTACTGTATGTTTAAAATTAAAATGCAATTTTTTGTTGGTCATTATTTTTAGCATTTTTTATGTATTTTAGTCACTTGGCTATGAAGCAGGTTCAGGATGCTGCCAAGTTGTTGGCAAGACGATATGACCAGTCTAGTTTGCGTACAGCTGCTCATATCTCCATGATTGGAAATGACAAACAACAAGGGTTAATGTACACACAAAAAGTGGTCCATCAGCAAATCTTACAGCATGAGTGGAAGGATACATATAAGTTTTTGAGAGAGAAAAAAGATTTACAGGTACACATATGAAATATAAGGTATTATGTCTTCACTTCAAAAGTGATAGAGCATAATGTGATGGGGTTTGTCCATAAGAACAGATGTCTGGCTTGTCCAAAAATTAACCTGAGAAAGTTGTGGTTTATGTTATTTGATAGTCACATTGCCCATGACCTTTAGATAAAAGTTTAGTAGGTCAAGGTCATAATGGTCTTGACTACAAAAATCTTGTCTGACCGATATATAACACTTGTCAACAGTATGAAGGTTGACTATGACTATTGATTTTCAGATCAGTAGGTAAAAGGTGAAGGTTATTGTGGCCTTGATTACTAAATGGTTGTCAAACAAATATCTAGAGAATGCTTTAGCCTACAATCCTAAGATTTGGTGTAGTGATTGAACATGTCTAAAACATGACCCCTACTAATTTTGAGATCATTAGGTGCAAGGAAAAGGTCACAGAGACTTTAGGTTAATTCCTTGTTTCAATAAGAACCTGATTGTAACTTCTTGTTCAATATTTTGGAAAGTAATTAAATAAAGTTTATGAAACTACACAAGATATACTTTTCTGTGTCCAAAATACCTTTATAGATTTGAGGTCATTAAGTCAATGTTACAGTGACTCAAGGAATACTTGTATTATCAAGGATGCTTGAGTATGTAAATATGCTGTTACAACAAATAAGTTTGCAATAAGTGTTTTATGGACACAGTGATAATTTTTTCATTGCTTTTTCATTATTCACAAAATTATAGTGAAACTGTATCTTGCATGTTGAAATGAAGTAGTTATAAATGCTTATTGACACTTTTTCAGAATTTTTGACATGAAACATATTTACGTAACAATTGCTTTGATTGTTAGAAAATAACTTTTTCCAGAGCTTTAGATGTTTCGCAAGTAACATCACATTGAAGTCCTCTATAAAAGTTATATAAAGCATGTCCTTGGGGTCGGAAATGAACCCTTCTTAGTGGTCATTTTGTTTACATAGGCTTATTAAGGGAAAGACATTTAAGTCTTGTGTAACTAAAGATATTTGGCATGTAGCTTTTCCAAGCTGATCTCTGCAAAATTTATATAAATTATGCCCCAGGGGTCAAAATTTTAGGTCATTTAGTTTATATAGGATTGTATAGTAAAAATAAACATTTTAAAAGGCTTTTTCCTCAGAATCTGCAATACCTGAAGTTTAGATATGTGGCATGTTGTATTTTATGCCACCACAGCATCTGTGATGGCATATAGCAATTCATGTGTGTGTGTGTGTGTGCTTGCGTGCGTTATATACATTATATAGTGAACTTAACAAATCTTCTTGTGAAAAACCACTAGTCCAATTTCAACCAAACTCGGCAGGATTGTTCCTTGTGTGAAGAGCTTTCCAATTTTTTCAAAGAATTTGATTCCATGCAGAAATCTGGTTGCAATGGCAACCAAAAGGAATGATAAGAATAAATTTAAAAAATCTTCTTGTAAAGACCCACACAGCATAGAGCTTAGATATTTTGCATAAGGCATTGTCAGTAGACCTCTATCAAGATTGTTCAAATTATAGCCCTGGGGTTAAAATTGGCCCCACTCTGGGAGTCATTGATTTTCACTATGTACATATAGTAAAAAATTAAAATTTGACTTGTCTGAAGGTACAAGGCTTAGAGCTTTGATGTTTGGTATATGATATCATCTATAGGTCCTCTACAAAAGTTCTTCATATTTTGCCCCTAGTATCAAAATTGACCCAGCCCAGGGGGTCATAGGTTTTCCTTATGTGTATATAATAAAAACTTTTAAAAAAATTCTTCTCGGAATTGACAAAGGCTAAGGGTTAGATATTTGTCATGAAACATTGTGTAGTGGACCTCTACCAAGATTGTTCAAATTATTGCCCTTGGGGTCAAAATTGGCTCTGCCCTTGGAAAAAATCTTTTTGTTGTGAAAGGAAACAACTTACATTGGAATGTGTAATACATTATGCATTTTTAGCTCACCTGTCACAAAGTGACATGGTGAGCTTTTGTGATCGCTTTTCGTCCGGCGTCCATCCGTAATCTTTTACTTTAAACAACATCTCCTCATAAACCGCTAAGCCAATTTCAAAGCAGAACTTTGGTTGCCATGGCAACTGAAAAAAAAACGTTAAAATATCTTCTTTTAGAAAATTGAAAGAGCTAGAGCCGGGGGGGTCATTGATTTTCCTTATTTGTATATAGTAAAAACTTAAAAATCTTCTTACAGCTAGAGCTTAGATATTTATCATTAAACATCTTCAAATGGGTGTCTACCAAGTTTGTTCAAATAAAAGCCCCTGGGTTAAAATTGGCCCTGCCCCGGGGGCCTATATACAGGTTGTTTTGATGATTTCTAGGTCAGGTTAGAATATGGGTCATTTCTGGTCAAAAACTAGGTCACAGGAACTAAAAATAGAAAAATCTTGTTAACACTCCAGTGGCTGTAGTTTTGAACCAAATATTCTTGAAATTAATGACGAAGGTTTCTTTTGATGATTTCTAGGTCAAGTTCGAATATGGGCCATCTCTAGTCAAAAACTATGTCACAGGAGCTAAAAATATAAACATCTTGTTAACACGAGTTTTGATCAAAATATTCTGGAAATTGGCCAGGAAAATTGTTTTGATGATTTCTAGGTCAAGTTTGAATATGGGTTGTCTCTTGTTAAAATCTTAGGTCACAGGAGCTAAAAATAGAAAAATCTTGTTATACATAAGAAACCTAAAAAACTAAAAAAGAATAGATATATGGAATGTTAACTTAAAGCACGAAAAAATGCATAGTGCACAAAATAATCTTGAAAATTATCTATGCACTGTATTGATTTGCATTGTCCCAAAAATGTTTGTACTTTACATTATAAAATCTTGCACATAGTTCTGAGTATGTAATAATGACAGTAATAACATTGCAAAAAATATGTTGATTATATCATAGGTATACCTGGCTACAAGCAGTATGCATGAAATGTTGAGTTGTGAGTTAGATAGACTTGGCATACACCCAGTCAACCAGGACATGCTAACCAAATGGGACCAACAGGCTTCCAATAAAATACAGTTACCAGGTAGACATTTTCATATCCTTTATCAAATATGCTTTTATTAATCCTTTCAAAGGAACAGGGGTATATTGTTTTTGCAAATGTCAGTCAGTAGGTGTTATGGCTAGACCATTTTGTTTCAGCCCAATAACTAGAGAAACTTTTGACCCATAGCCTTCAAACTTCATAGGATGATCATTCCCATTCTGATGTTTTTGGGTCCCATGCATGAAGGTCAAAGTCACAGTGACCTTAAATGTGAAAAATATTTCCAACCAATATCTAGAGGACCTTTTGACATACAGCCTTCAAAATTTAAAAGGAAGATCACCTCATTGGAAAGAAGGCTTCTATTGTTTTAGGGCTCCAGTGCTGGAATGTCCAGGTTGGCCTTCAAACTTCATAGAATGATCATCCTCTTGAGTTGAAGACTAGTGCTGGTGTGTTTTTGTCAAGGTCATAGTGGCCTTGATTTGGAAAGGCATTTCTGCTCAAGAACTAGAGAGCCATATGATCCACAGCCTTCAAACTTCATATGAGTAAAAGACCCATATCGCTTTTGGGTGATGATGATTGAGGATCAAGGTCACAGTGAGCTTGAAAGTGAAAATTATTAACTTGCCAATAACTTGCCAACCAATTACAGTCATAGCCTTTAAACTTCATAGGATCATCACTGCCATTGATTCAAAGACCTTTATTATACCCCCAAAACAAAGTTTAGGCGGGGTATATACATGTAGGAGTCACCTGGTGGTCAGTCGGACAAGCGGTCTGTTGCATTTTCCTTGTCCAGAACATAACTTGAAGACTAATGGTTGGAATTCAATACAACTTCATACAATGGTCAAGCACAATTAGAGGAAGTGCAGTGTACAAATACCATAACTCTATTTTGACTACAGAGTTATTGCCCTTTGATAGTTTTCCTTGTCAGAAGCATAATTTGAAAAGTACTGGCTGGAATTCAAAACAACTTCATACAATGGTCAAGCACAATAAGAGGAAGTGCACAAGAACCATAACTCCATTTTGACTAATAACAGTCATTGTCCTATGGTACTTTTCCTTGTCCGGAGCATAACTTGAAAACTAATGCTTGGAATTCAATGCAACTTCATACAATGGTCAAGCGCAATAAGAGGAGTGCAGTGCACAAGAACCATAACTCTTTCCAGAGTAATTATATAGTGATTGCTCTTTGCAACTTTTCCTTGTCGCAGAGCATAACATGAAAGCTACTGGTTTGAATTCAATACAAGTTCGTACAATGGTCATGTATAATAAAGAGGAAGCGCAGTGCACAGGAACCCTTACTCTTTCTTGACTCATTTTAGAGTTATTGCCCTTTATTACTTTTTATTGTCCAGTGCATAACTTGAAAATAAATGTTTGGAATTCAATGCAACTTCATACAATGGTCAAGCGCAGTGAGATGACGTGCAATGCACAAGATTCATAACTCTACATAGTTATTGCCCTTTGTTACTTTTGCTTGTCCGATGCATATCTTAAAAACTGGTGATGATAATTCAATACAACTTCATACAATGGTCAAGCGCAATGAAGGAAATGCAGTGTACAATAACCATAACTTCATCTTTAGTATTTGCAGAGTTATTGCCCTTTGTTCCTTCTCCTTGTCCGGTGCATAACTAAAAAACTTATGTTTGGAATTCAAGCCAACATCTCGGCCAAAACCAATGACTGCTTAATAACCAATCTTAACAGTAATGGCGGTCCCCTTTTAAAGTTGTTCAAATAGTTTCAGTCTGCTGACTAAGTTGGTAACGGGGCCAGAAATGAAGTTTCAAAATTGCAAATTAAAAAAAATTCTTGTCTGAAAGTACAAGGCCCAGAGCTTTGATATTTGGTATATAATATCATTTATCGGTCCTCTACGAAAGTTTTATCCATAGGTTTTCCTTATATGTATATAGTAAAAACTTTTTAGAAAATCTTCTCTGAAATGACAAAGGCTAGAGCTAAGATATTTAGCATGAAACATCGTCTAGTGGACCTATTGTCGATCAATTTTGTTCAAATTTTGCCACTTGTGTTAAAAAATTGCCTCATATGTCAAAATTGGCTCCACCCTAGCGTCATTGATTTTTCATTATGTACATATAGTAAAAACTTAAAAAATCCTTCGCTGAAATGATAAAAGTTAGAGGTAAGATATTTAGCATGAATATTGTTAGTTGACCGCTACCAAGTTTGTTCAAATTATAGCCCTGTGGTCAAAATTTTTCCTACCCTTGGGGCATAGATTATTATTACGAACATGATTAGACAATGGAACCTGTCTAATCCGAACTAAAGTTCCAATATGGGTCTTCTCTGGTCAAAAACTCGGTCACAGGAGCAAAAATAGAAAAATCTTTTTAACACTCTAGTGGCAACTGTTTTGATCCAAATATCCTGGAAATTGGTCTGAAAATTTATTTTGATGATTTCTATGTCAAATTTGAATATTGGTCACCTGGGGTCAAAAACTAGATCACACTGCCCAAATATGGAAAAACCTTGTTAATACTCTAACGGTAACATTTTTGACTCAATTGTCATCAAACTTGGTCAGGATACTTATCTAATTAATTGCTTGGAGGAGTTCGAACATGGGTCTACTCTGATGTAAAACTAGGTCACAGGAGCTAAAAATGGAAAAATCTTATGAACTCTCTAGTGGCTTTTGTTGTTATATAAATATCATGGAAATTGGTCTACAAGTTTGTTTTGATGGTTTTTAGCTCGACATTTTTTGAAAAAAAAGTAGAGGTATTCTTATAGTCCTGGCGGCATTGCCGTTGCCGTCTGCAAACTTGTACCTCTATTGGTTTCATATATTGATACATTGGTTTCATATATTGATACATTGGTTTCATATATTGAAAAATGAATTAATATATTGATAATTCGGTTTCACATAAGGGCATCTGGTTCCATACATGGCTACTTTGGTACCATATATTGAAGAATTGGAATCATATATTGAGAAAATCAATTTATATATTGCTAACTCGGTTTTATACACTGACAGTATGGTTTCATATATTGTAACTGTAGATTAATATAATGGATTCCGGTTAAATAAGAAGGTGTTTTCATTTCATATATAGTCAAAGTGAACTTATATACATGTATTATCCAAATGGTTACATAAATTGAAAAAGAACAATATCAGACAGCCATGGCTTTCCATATTGAACTGTCAAAAGACCAGCGTGCTTCACTGATTGCATACTGCACATTTTCTAAATAAGGAAATATTTGAATTTAACGTCACATTCACTTAAAATGGGCTGGACAGGCAAAACTTATCGTTATATATGTAGGAGTTGTATGTCATAATTTAAGCTATTGACTCGTACTGACCATTAACAAAAACATATTTAAAAAATAAGTTCATCTCGACCTTTACCTTTGATCAAAAATGGGCATGGTCAGTAGGACACATCAAGGTTAATCTACTCACAAAGTTTAAAAATAATCAGTCAAATAATAATTGATTTCATGAAAAAGTGTATGCATTGAAATAACAGAACCCAGTGACCTCGGCCTTTGACTTGTTGACATGAAAATAGGCTATTTTGGTTCCATATAATGAAAATTGCTATCATAGAATGTAACATCAACTTATATACTGCTTCTTTGGTTCCATACATTAATAAAATGGTTTCATATTTTGTAAAAATGAATTAACATATTGATAATTCGGTTTCATATCAGGACATCTGGTTCCATACATGGCTACTTTGGTAACATATATTGAAGAATTGGAATCATATATTGAGAAAATCAACTTATATATTGCTAACTCGGTTTCATACACTGACAGTATGGTTTCATATATTGTTACTGTGGATTAATATAATGGATTCCGGTTAAATAAGAAAGTGTTTTCAATTCATATATAGTCAAAGTGAACTTATATATTATCCATATGGTTACATAAATTGAAAAAGAACAATATCAGACAGCCATGGCTTTCCATAGAAAGACATTTTTCAGTGAACTGGTCAAATTTTTAGAACATATTCTGATCAAGTTGTACATTGCAAACATATCTGATATAAATATGAGTAAAACATCCAGTTATAGTGTAACAGATGAAAAATGCCTCAAAGAGTGGTAAATTCTTTGTGAAATATCTGAAAAAGGGTCATTTTGGTAACTTTTCAATTCAAAAAAAAATTCACAATTAGGATTTTTTTTTTCACAATTGTTACGTTACCTAACCCATTCACAATTTAAGGGAAAAAATCCCTGCACTAACATTTTGAAGTTTTACATTATCACAATTAGGGTTAATAGAGGTACACACATTCGTGTCTGGACTGTAACTTTGTCATGCATTGAAGGATTTTAAAATAACTTGGCATAAATGTCAACCGCATCAAGATGATGTGTCACAAACAAGAATCACTTCACTACCTCAAAGGTCAAGGTCATACATTTTGAAGTTTCACTTTATATCACAATTAGATTTTATGGATACATAAGTATACATTTGTGTCTGGACTGTTACTTTGTCATGCATCAAAGAATTTTAAAAAACTTAGCACAAATGTCAACCACATTAAGACGACATGTCGCAGCTAAGGCTCATGTCCATCAGTCTGTCCGTGTGTCGCCACTTACACAACAATCGTGTCAAAACTGTAACTTTGTCATGCATTGAGGTGTCCAATATTTGTCTGGAGCATGAGATATGCATTACATATAACTTCTACATTATTGGGGGATTTTAATGTAACTTGACACAAATGTTCACAATTTTGAGACATATTGAGCACATCCAGGTTCTTACTACCAAAGTCACGGTCACATGGAGAGGTCAAAGTTTGTGTACGGAGACCATTTAGTCATCATTATTTGATGGATTGTAACAGAAATGATAACTATCATGACTACAAGTGTGACACAATTCATGTAATTATGTCACCCAAAATTTTTTTGAGACATATTGTTTTACCCTTCGTCATCTGACTGTCTGTCCGTCCACATTTAGCTTGTCTGGCCTTCATAGGTCAAACTACTGGTGGGATTTCAACAAAATTTTACAAGAGTGATCAGTACCATCCCTAGTTGTGCACAATACTGGCACATTCTGCTTGGCTGCACAAAATGCCGCCAGAACTAAAAATAGAAAAATCTTGTCTGGCCTTCACAGGGATTTCAACCAATCTATACAGGAGTGATCAATGCCATCCCTAGTTGTGCACATCACCGGCAAGTTTGGCTTCCCTGCACAAAATGGCCACCAGAGCTAAAAATAGAAAAATCTTGTCCACCCTTCACAGGTCAAACTCTTGCTGGGGTTTCAACCAAACTTAACAGGAGTGATCAGTACTGTCCCTAGTTATCCCCCGCCGATGGAATCGGGAGGGGGATATAGTTTTGGCGTTGTCCGTCCGTCCATCCGTCCGTCCGAATTTCGTTTCTGGAGTAGTTCTCTGCCACTACTGGCTGGAATTCAACAAAACTTTATGGGAACCTTTAATACCAAGAGGAGATGCGCATATCCTCGCCTTGTTAGGGTCAGACACTTTAACTCAGAGTTATGGCCCTTGATTAGTTATGCAGTATGCATATAGAGTAAATATCGTTCATATAGAGGAAAAATCGTTTCCGCGCTACTTCTCTGCAACTACTGGCTGGAATTCAGTGAAACTTTGTTGGAACCTTCAATACCAAGAGGAGATGCGCATATTGTCCCCTTGTTCGGGTCAGACATTTTAACTTTGAGTTATGGCCCTTTGATAACTTATGCAGTATACAACCAGAGCAATAATCGTTTCTGCGCTACTTCTCTGCTTGAATTCAACAAAACTTTATGGGAACCTTTAATACCAAGAGGAGATGCGCATATCCTCGCCTTGTTAGGGTCAGACACTTTAACTCAGAGTTATGGCCCTTGATTAGTTATGCAGTATGCATTATTATTATAATAGAGCAAAAATCATTTCCGCCCTACTACTCTGCAACTACTGGCTGGAATTCAACAAAACTTTATGGGAACCTTCAATACCAAGAGGAGATGCGCATATCATTACCTTGTTTGGGTCAGACACTTTAACTCAGAGTTATGGCTCTTGATTAGTTATGCAGTATGCATATAGAGCTAAAATCGTTTCCGCGCTACTTCTCTGCAACTACTGGTTGGAATTCAACAAAACTTTATGGGAACCTTCAGTACCAAGAGAAGATGCGTATATCATTGCCTTGTTGGGGTCAGACATTTTAACTCAGAGTTATGGCCCTTGATTAGTTATGCAGTATGCATATAGAAAAATATTTGTTTCTGCGCTACTTCTCTGCAACTACTGGCTGGAATTCAGTGAAACTTTATGGGAACCTTCAATACCAAGAGGAGATGCGCATATCGTCACCTTGTTCGGGTCAAACATTTTAACTTTGAGTTATGGCCCTTGATAAATTATGCAGTTTACAACCAGAGCAATAATCGTTTCCGTGCTACTTCTCTGTAACTACTGGCTGGAATTCAATGAAACTTTATGGGATATGAAGAGGAGATGTGCATATAGTCAGACACATATAACTCAGATTTATGGCCCTTGATTAGTTATGCAGTATGCATACATCTCATTGGCATTTCCAGATATTACTATTTAACACAGAGTTATGGCTCTGTTATTGCCCTGAATATTTATCAAGTTCAAAGAATATTACTGTTTATGCCATGATAAATATATAAATAAAGCCTTATGTCTTCAGTTGTTGTGTTAGTAATAACCTGTACTTGGCGGGGGATATAAATTTAACGAATTTGCTTGTTGTGCACAATACCGGCATGTTCTGCTTGGCTGTACAAAATGGCTGCCAGAACTAAAAATAGAAAAATCTTGTTTGGCTTTGACAGGTCAAACTACTGGTGGGATTGTAACCAACCTTTACAGGAGTATTCAGTACCATCCCTAGTTGTGCACATCACATGCACGTTCTGCTTGGCTGCACAAAATGCCGCCAGAACTGAAAATAGAAAAATCTTGTCCAGCCTTCACGGGTCAAAGAGATTTCAACCAAACTGTACAGGAGTGATCAATACAATCCCTAGTTAAGCACATCACCGGCACATTTGGTTTCCCTGCACAAAATGGCCACCAGACCTAAAAATAGAAAAATCTTGTCAGCCTTCACAGGTCAAACTCTTGGTGGGATTTGAACCAAACTTTACAGAAGTGATCAGTACCGTCCTTAGTTGTGCACAATACCGGCACGTTCTGCTTGGCTGCACAAAATGGCCGCCAGAGCTTAAAATATAAAAATCTTGTTCGGCATTCACAGGTCAAAGAGATTTCAACCAAACTTTACAGGAGTGATCAGTACCAATGCCTAGTTGTGCACATCACCGGCACGTTCGGCTTCCCTTCACAAAATGGCAGCCAGTGCTAAAAATAAGAAAATCTTGTCCAGCCTTCACAGGTCAAACTACTGGTGGGATTTCAATGAAACTTTACATGAGTCACCATACATAGTTTTGGGACACATATGCTTTGTGACAAAAATCCTTCTAGTTTAGGTTCATATCTGCAAGGTCATATCAAGTTTAGGTTCATATCACTAGAGATGATAAAATATCCAGATATTTTCAAGAAATTGCCCAGTGCATATCTCCTATATGCATACTGTCAAAATGTCTTATGTGACCCTACAGGGGACTTTCTTAAGAAGGTCACATAAGACAGGGAGTCACTTAATACAGGTTTACAGTAAAACATCCAAACACTATTAAAAAGTTAAATAATACTAATACAGCATATACATTTAGTGTTAAAACATTTATTTATGATAAGAGCAGTAAAAGTGTGTACAAGTGTTAAAATTTTACACATGTAAAATGCTATTGAATATTTGATTGTAAAATTGATAATTAAAAATTAATGTTTATATATTTAATAAAATTATTAAAATGTCAGAATTATATTGTTTCTTTACCGTGTTAAAAATTTATACATGTACAATGTTATTGATATTTAAAATTCATGATGCATGTCTCCGACGTTTAGAATTCAATAAAACATTATTTTCAAAGTTGAAATTACTTCCAATTTACGTTTACAAAGGTTTTGGATTTGTGTTTTTCCAACACAAAGTTCTTCTGCCACTTTATACGCCGGTATTCCTTTATCCAATTTTTGTAAGGCTTCATATTTCTGTTGAAGATCTAAAACAATACATATTTTCTTTCTTTCCGACATTTTTTTCAACAAAACAGGAAGTAGGAACAGAGTTATCTTTCATAACATAGTAGCTAAAAACAGTAATTAGCCCGTTCTGTACTGTTCAAATCACGGTCACTAGTCACGTAACACGGTGAGTCTTTTAATACAGTGCAACTTTATAGCCAAAATCGTTGGGCGGACCCAAATAGGGTCACATAAGACAGGAAGTCGCTGAATACAGTGGGTCACTATGGCAGTTTTGACTGTATCTATAATGCCCACATCTCTGTCGAAAGCTTTTGTGAGAGGTGTATTTTGAGACAATGTTACCCTTCTTGTTGTTTCCCTTGTATTGTCACTGAATATGCGTTTGACTGTATTACTTCCCTTCCTGTAGAAAGCTCTAGAGAGTCCATTGTTTTCTATTTCAGATTTCATCCTAGACCCTGGAGATGTTAGTAGTTTATCTCCATGGCAACTACATTTGATCAGAGGTCATACATTTCCTCATCATGTTTTACGTATATGGTACAGTCATTTTGATATTGCCATGGATACAACAAGTGTGGAGGACATGTATAAAACATTATGTCTTTTGCATGCTGGAAGACAGTCACAGGTGGAATTGCCACAAGTAGGTCTATTATACAAATAACTATTTTTGACTTGATTATACAAAGTATATGAAGAGCTGTCCTATTCACTCTGGCGTCAGCGTCCAGATTTAAGATATAAAGTTTTGGTGTAGCAAAATATTTTTACTATAAAAATATCCTGGAAATTGGTTAGAAAGGTTGTTTCGATGATTTCTGTGGCAATTTCAATGTTCTCTTATACAGTGTAACTTCCGAAAACCGAACACCCATGGGACTTGTCAAAAAGTTCGGATTTCAGAGGTTTCCGGAATTCAGAGGTTTATGATAATGTGGACAAGACTAAGCCACTAAATGTCACTATATGTCAAGGAAGATGTAGCCATTACTGTAATATCATATATAATAGTCTTTTAATCAAGATAAAGATGTGAATGAAAAGAATACATTTTTATCTTACCTGCAAATGCTTTTGAATTTTTATCAGTTTGTAGAAATGTTACTTCATCGGGAATTTTTTTTTTCATGGTAACCTTAAAAATTTAATTTCATGCAGAACTCTTTAAAAAAAACTTAAAATATTTTCTTTTGGAAAACCTAAAAAGCTTGAGCTTAGATATTTGGCATCAAACATATTCTAATGGGTGTTTATCATGTTTGTTCAAATAAAAGCCCTTGGGTCAAAATTGGCCCCGCTCCAGGAAGTCATTGATTATCCTTATATGTATATAGTAAAAACAAAAATCTTCCTTTAAACAAATCCAAATAGCTAGAGCATAGATATTAGGCATGAAACATCTTCTAATGGGTGTGTCTACCGAATTTGTTCAAATAAAAATCCTTGGGTCAAAATTGCCTCCACCCCAACCCCCACCCCCCGGGAGTGTCATTGATTTTCTCATATGTATAATATAGTAAATATACCTAAAGGGCTAGAGCCTAGGTATTAAGCTTAAAACATCTAATTTGTGTCTACAAAATTTGATCAAATAATAGACCTTGGGTCAAAATTGACCCTGCCCATGGGGATCATTGATTTTCCTTATAGGTACACATCTTTTGGAACTCTTGTTTTTCCATAGCAATAGCAACCACTAAAGTTTTTACACATGCACTGTTTCGGATACAAATATGAACTGTTGTTTTCCCTTAGCAATAGCAACCAGTAAAGTTTTTTCATGTGCACTATTTCAGATATACAAATATGATCTTTGTGATATCAGTTTAAGATTTAGATTTTATATCTGCTTTTGTTTATAGTTTACAATATTACTTGTTTTGGTTCAAATATCGTGGAAATCGGTCAAAAAGGTTGTTGAGATGATTTCTAGGGCAAGGTCGAATTTAGGTTATCTGGGTGAAAAAGTAGGTCATACAGCCCAAATAACCATAACACTTCAGAGGCTACTGTTTTTATCCAAATATCCTGGTAATTGGTCAGAAAGATTGTTTGTATGATATCTAGCTCAAGTTCAAATATATTCGTCTGTGGTAAAAAACTAGGTCACACAGCCCAAATATGGGAGAACCTTGTTTAAACTGTAGAGGATACTGATTTGGTCCAAATATCCTGGAAATTAGTCAGAAATGTTGTTAATATGGTTTCTAGGTCATGTTTGAATATGGGTCATCTTGGGTCAAAAACTAGGTCACACAACAATGTTTATATGCTTGAGGTAATATTTTTCTCCCAAATATCCTAAAACCAATTGTCAGAAAGTTTGTTTTGATGATTTCTAGCTCAACTTTGAACATGTGTCATTCATGATCAAAATCTATAGTTCACATAGACCAAAAATAGAAATATGGCAAAAAAGGCATATATGGAAAAACCTTACTAACATTTGCACGATTTCAGCTGCAGATATGAATGTTATGATATCAGTTTAAGTTTATGCATTATGCCTGCCTGTCATTCATTGTAAACAGTATTATTTCAGAGCCTCACAGGTAAGCGATAAAAGGGTCATCATGACCCTCTTGTTTCAGTTATGATGAGTTTTATATTTTAGAAGCAGTGAGCAAACAAGTGTTTGTGTAGATTGTGGATGAATCTCAATTTAGACACTTCATCTGTCAGTATATCCTCTACTGTTTATTGGATAAAAGAATTTGAAGAAATATCATTAATTAAAGATGATAAAAATTGCAAGCGTTTTACACGAGCATTCCTCATATCTTATTTTCAGATTCTTATACAAGTTTGTACAGACCTGACATTATGTATGTTATCATTGATGATGTCAGAAACACCAACAGCCATGTCACATCTTCTACAGGCCATTGGCAACTTACATGAGGCAGGACATGTGCATGTGATGCAAGGCATTCTTAGACTCTTTCTGCCTCAGGGTGATTATCTTTGACATTTTGTATTCTTATGTAAACTGAACTAACTTAAACTGTGAAAAGAGGTTTTCCCAAGAGCACTATTATAGTTTGATTATGTTATTTGCTAGCAGCTTGTTAATAGGTTTATAGTAGTTCTCTTACAGGCTGCCTTACATTATGTTTTTTAGCCCCCTACCAGTTTAACTGGAGGGGACTATAGATTTATCCTCCATCCGTCTGTCTGTTTGCATGCAGAGGAGTTAAGGTGGTTGAGATGTGTGTCCAGAAATTCGCTAGACACTCCTGCATTATGGCAATGTTCAATATAGAAATAAAAAGAAAATCTACTTCCGTTTCTACTGTTTAGTGTTGTATTTTCACTCACCTGCCACAGAGTGACATGGTGAGTTTTTGTGATGGCAGTTTGTCTGGATGTTCCTTGGGTGATCACCTTTGAAAATTGTTCAAAGAATTGAATTCCATGCAGGACTCTGGTTGCGTTGGCAACGGAAAGAAAAAACTATAAAAATTTCTTTTATAAAACCCAAAGAGCTAGAGCTTAGCATAAAACATCTTCTAATGGGTGTTTACCAAGTTTGTTAAAATAATATCCCTTGAGTCAAAATTTGCTCATCCCAGTGGTTCATCGATGCATGCATGTAGGGAAAAAAATCTGAAAAAGCCAAAGAGCTAGATCATAGATATTTTGCAATAAGCATCTTCAAGTGGTTTTCAAATTTGTTCGAATAAAAGCCCTGGGGTCAAAATTGGCCCCTCCCAAAGGGGTCATTGATTTTCCTTATACGAGGGATGATCAAAAATAAACCGGACTGTGACTTGCAATTGAAGAATTTTCATCCTGTCACTTATTGTTATATATCACACTTTATCGGAAAACAATTCCTGTAAACTGATACTATATCTAACCTGATAACGCAAAAAGCTTGTCCGTAACAGCGAATTCAAAAACCATGGTAACGCTCACCCGGCGCAGTGCGTAAATTCGCCTTGACATCAGGCGCTTTATGCTGCGTGTATTTTACAATATGGCACATTTAGATTTCAAAATACGCAAAAACGTCATGTACCATATCTTTGACGTTGTCAGTAAAAATGACTTCATTTAAACCATATTTATATTTACAATCACAATTCAAACGTCACATGTTAATGAAATACTCGCATTAAAACTATGTGGTCGGAATGTCTCAAAAATTGATCAATAGGAAACATTTGTCAAATGTAAGACGAGAAAGTGTTTAAAACGTAGAAAAAAATTATGGCTATCAAAGGAAAAGTTCCAGAATATCACATCATATTTTTTGATTAGCTTAAAGGATTAAGAAAGGATAATAGAGAAATAGAAAACAAGTAAGGGAGAGACAGAAAAAAGACATTTTCAAAGACGTTGGTGACGTCAATCGCTCTACTGTTTATTGGATAAAAGAATTTGAAGAAATATCATTAATTAAAGATGATAAAAATTGCAAGCGTTTTACACGAGCATTCCTCATATCTTATTTTTCAGATTCTTATACAAGTTTGTACAGACCTGACATTATGTATGTTATCATTGATGATGTCAGAAACACCAACAGCCATGTCACATCTTCTACAGGCCATTGGCAACTTACATGAGGCAGGACATGTGCATGTGATGCAAGGCATTCTTAGACTCTTTCTGCCTCAGGGTGATTATCTTTGACATTTTGTATTCTTATGTAAACTGAACTAACTTAAACTGTGAAAAGAGGTTTTCCCAAGAGCACTATTATAGTTTGATTATGTTATTTGCTAGCAGCTTGTTAATAGGTTTATAGTAGTTCTCTTACAGGCTGCCTTACATTATGTTTTTTAGCCCCCTACCAGTTTAACTGGAGGGGACTATAGATTTATCCTCCATCCGATCTAGTTTGCATGCAGAGGATTAAGTGTTGAATGTTGTCCAGAATTCGCTAGAACACTCTGATTATGCACATGTCAATATAGAATAAAATGAAATCTACTTCGTTCTACTGTTATGTTAATTTTCACTCACCGCACGAGTGGACATGTGATTTTAATGTGATGGCAAGTTTGCCTGGATTCCTTGGTGATCACCTTGAAAATTGTCAAGATTGAAGTCCAATGCAGACTTGTTGCGTTGGCACGTAAAGAAAACTATAAAATTCTTTTATAACGCCAAGATGCTTGACTTGCATAAAACATCTCTAATGGTGTTTCAGTTTGTTAAAATAATATCTTTGAGTCATATTTGCTCATCCAGTGTTCAGTCGGATCATGCATGTAGGGAAATTAATCTGAAAGCAAGAGCTAGATCATAGATATTTTGCAATAAGCATCTTCAAGTGGTTTTCAAATTTGTTCGAATAAAAGCCCTGGGGTCAAAATTGGCCCCTCCCAAAGGGGTCATTGATTTTCCTTATATGTATATAGTAAATACAAAGTATTCATCTAAAAAAAGTCAAAGGGCTAGAGCTTAGATATTTAGTATGAAACATCTTCTAGTGGGTGTCTACCAAGTTTGTTCAAATAAAAGCCCTAGGATCAAAATTGGCCCGTCCGAGGGAGTCATTGATTTTCCTTATATTTATATAGTAAAAGCAATTCTTCTTCTATCATACTTTAAAGTCTTTAGCTTAGGTATTTGGTATGAAGAATTGTTTGGTTGACCTGTACAAACATTGTTCAGATTATAGCCTTCAGGTAAAAATTACCCTGCCGAGGGGCAACATAGATTTTACTTTATATGTATGTAGTAAAAACTTGAAAAAGAAATTGTCTACAAGAGGTAAAGCGTAGTTTCCATAGCAACCAGTGACTTCATAGCAGTCATGGACATTGTATAGCAAACTATAAATTTTCATAGCAACCAGAAAATATTAACTTTCTATAGCAACAAGTGAATCTACTATTGAATTTCATAGCAGGCACTGACTTCCAAGGATTTTGTATAGCAAACAGTGACAACTTATGGAATTGTTGTTTTTCCTTAGCAATAGCAACCAGTAAAGTTTATTTATACATGTGCACTATTTCAGATACAAAAATGAACTTTGTGATATCAGTTTAAGATTTAGATTTTATATCTGCTTTCATTTATAGTTAACAGTATTACTTGTTCCTTGTCATAGAGAATATTTATACCCCCACCACAAAATGTGGGGGGGTGGGCTGTTATGGATTTGCTTTGTCGTGTCGGTCGGTCTGTCCGTCTCCATTATCTTGTCCGCTCTATAAATCCTATACCAATTGAAGGATTTTCTTCAAACTTTGCTCAAATGTTCACCTCAACAAGAGGATGTGCAGAACCCATGTTACCTATGTGTCAGCTCAAGGTCAAGGTCACAATTGAAGGTCAAATATCAAACAATCAAATATTAGACAGAATGTCGTGTCCGCTCTGTAAGTCCTTCACTAATTGAAAGATTTTCTTCAATCTTGGCTCAAATGTTCACCTCAGCAAGTTTATGTGCAGAACCCATGTTACCCTTTTGCCAGCTTAAGGTCAAGGTCACACTTGAAGGTCAAAAATTAACTTAGAAAATATTCTTAAATTTTAACATGTATTTTAATATTTCTGAAACTAGAAAAGGTACTTGCTTGAAACTTTAAATACAGTGGAACCTGTCTAATCCGAACTCGTCTGGACCAGAAGAAAAGTTTTCACACAGGTTTCCGGATTAGAAGGTTTTTTTACATGTTTGTTCATGTAATTGGCAGATTTGTTTAAGGAAAGAAAACGGGAATGCATTTGAAATTGCAATATAAGTATTTTTTTTTTTTTTTTAATCTCTTACCGTTCATTTTAATACATGTGAATACAAAAATAAATAAATAAATAAAAATAAATAAACAAAAATGTTTTGTCCTCAAGAGTAAGTTTACCTACGATGTTAAACAGGAGGCTGAGACATGATCAAATATTTGTACCAGCATTTATCAATTGTTGTTCACTCTTATCCGATTCAGCGATTATCCGAATTCATTGACAGTTTCCATTAATTTGCGTTACTTAAGCATGTGTCATTTATGCATTACAAAAGATTAAAAAGATATTTCTATTGCATTTTATCAAAATATTTATTGAAGGTGACGAAAAACAATCAATTAAGTGATAAGAGTAGATATCAAATCAAGCTAAGTGTAATTTTCACACCTTCGCAGATCATACGTTTCACCCATTAATCAAGCAAAAGTTTGGTGTATGTTTACACCTGCCAGATGTGCGATTATTTGTTATTTTGAATGTAGGTGTGATATTTAGGAAAATCTGTTCGGATCCGAGAGGTTAATTTTATAGTAAAATTAGAACAAAAATTGAAAAAATCGTCCGGAATTCGGAGTAGACGGGTTCCGGATCCGAAAGGTTTTTTATTATTGAAAATAGAACGAATAAAATCGGGACCGGACACTTCGTTCGGATAAGACAGGATTCCGGATTAGAAGGGTTCGGATTAGCAAGGCTCCACTGTATATATGAAGTGTCACAATTAAGATATGCAGGTCAAGTTTCATAACTCTGTTTTGCATTTTGACAAAGTTACGCCCCTTTTTAAGTCTTCAAATTTACACACAATCATATATTAGACAATATGTTGTGTCTGCTCTATAAGTCCTTTACTAATGGAAGAATTTTCCTCAAACTTTACTCAAATGTTCACCTCAACAAGGTTATGTGCAGAACCCATGTTACCTTTGTGCCAGCTTAAGGTCACATTTGAAGGTCAAAAATTGACTTAGAAAATGTTCTTAAATTTTAACATGTACTTAAATATTTCTGAAACTAGCACAGCTATTTGTTTGAAACTGAAAAAATATATGAGGTGACACAAGTAAGATATGCAGGTCAAGTTTCATAACTCTGTTTTCATTTTTACAAAGTTATGCCCCTTTTTAAGTCTTTAAATTTACATACAATCAATACTAGACAATATGTCGTGTCTGCTCTATAAATTCTATACTAATGGAAACTTGACTCAAATGTTCACCCCAACTGGGCAATGTGCAGAACCTATCTTACCCTTGTGCCAGCTTAAGGTCAAGGCCACACTTGAAAGTCAAAAATTGACTTAGAAAATGTTCTGAAATTTTTACATGTACAAGAATATTTCTAAAATTAGAACAGATAATCATTTGAAACTTCAAATATATATGAAGTGTTGCAAGTAAGATATGCAGGTCAAGTTTCATAACTAAAAAAAGTGGAGGGGATAATTTTGTATTGTATATATTGTACAAAGTTAAGTCCATTTTTATGTCTTTAAATTTATTTACTATAATATTTCTTAAACCAGAACATATATTTACTTGAAACTTAAAATTTATTTGAATGGTTACAAGCTAGCTCAGATGACGAAAATTCTACAATTCCATTGAATTATGACACAAGTTATGCCCCTTTTAGGCTTAGAAAATGTTCTGATATAACCATTAATACTGAAAGACATTTTCTAGTTTTATGAAAAATTAATCCTTTCATAGAATTTTCTAAATTTTTTGTATGATGAGTAAAATTTAATGAAGAATTTAAAAATAAAAAGAAAAATATATGTTGACGTGTTGGATTTCTTGTAAAATGGCAGTTTCCATGGTAACCGTATATCTAAAAACTGTCAAAATAGCCTAACTGTGTTATAACAAATAGAAAATGTATAAGATAGCTTAAAACACACAACGAGCATTGTTTTATGCAAAGATAATCTTATCTAATGATTCTGTATGAAACAAATGATAATCTGAACATATTTCTTTAAAAAATGAGTTTTCCATGTTCCTCAACCGAACAAAAAATGAGAAAAATAAACATGAATTCTGAGAATAATTAGAGATATTGAAAAAAGTGTTTCATAGGATTTTCTAATTTTTTTGTATGTTGTGTAAAATTTAATGACAAATTCAAAAAGAAAAATATATGTTGGCGTGTTGGATTTTTTGAAAAATGGCAGTTTCCATGGTAACCGTATATCTCAAAATTGTCAAAATAGCCAAACTGTGTTATAATAATGTATAAAATAGCTTATTACACTCACAATAAACATAATTTTATACAAAGCTTGCTTTATCTTAGGGTTCTGTATAAAACAAACGATAATTGGAACATATTTCTTTAAAAAATAAGTTTTCATGCTTTTTAACTAAACAAAGAATGAGAAAAATAAACATGAATTCTGTAAAAAAAATTAAAGCTATCAAGAAATTTCTATCATAGAATTTTCTACATTATTGATATATCAAGTAACATTTGATGGTGGATTCAAAAATAGAAATAAAATATATATGTTGACGTGTTAGTTTTTTGTGAACGGGCAGTTTCCATGGTTACCGCATATGCCAACTGTCAAAATTACCACGCTTTCTTAAAAAATATCAGTGTTATACTAAATGTATTGTCAAATATACAACAAAAACATGTTGTAATAAAAATTTCTTTTTCTTTTGATGTTATATTAAGTAAATGATACTGAATATCTTTTTAAAACGTATCTAGGGCCATATTATTTTTTTCACTCTACTAACATACCCGAACAGTAAGCAAGTATTCAGAAATTTACAAAGAAAATAAGGAAATTCGGATCATTTCTTAGATATTAATTTTGTTTTTTTATTCAACACTTTTAAAATATATAATTTTAAACTTCTTTGCCCAGTTGTCTGCCAGTAATCAAGTCGCGACGCACTTTCGTCACTATACCACAAGTGGGTGGGGTAACGCGCGCAGAATTATCATCAATGCTGTCATACTAATGCTTGGAGAAATCCTTTATGTGATGTTGTCTAAACAACCTCTTATTCTTTTGAACCGATCTCCTTTTAAACATTTAGAAATATCTATTCTGTATTATTTACTCATTATTTGCTTATAGCCGAAATTTAAACACTTATCCGAATACTATTCAACTTGACCTTCATTTAAAGAGTAATTATTCCGTGATTATCGTTCTTGGAAGCGCATAACGATGCGCGCAGAAAACTACCGAAAACGTCTTTAAATATTTCTGAAACTAGAACAAATATTCACTTGAAACTATATAATATATGAAGGGTCACAAGTAAGCTTAGTATGCCAAGTTTTTCCACTCTTAATTACATTTTGACATAATTATGCTATTTTCTTAACTTCACAGCTTTTGTTTGTTTTAGTACATTGGGAAAATGAAAGGTTATTTGTAACTGTTTCGAACATGATTTGACAATATATATTTATACTATTACCTGTACAATTAGAGATAATTTCTTTTTATGTATATGTATTTGTGCCACTAAAGTTATTCCCTTAACCACCTTTCTAAGTGGTCTTCTGTCTAGGACATTGGTGGGGGTATGAATCGCATTTAGCGATAGTTCTAGTTATATTCAGGTGAGCGATATTAGGGCCATGGTGGCCCTCTTTTTCATTGATTTGCAATCTTGTTTATTTCTTGGAAAATATATACATGTCACAGCTAACAATGAATACAAAGCATTACATATATTTTTCTAAACAGACTTATAATAGAAATCAGATTCTTATAAAATTCTTCTCTCATTTATGTATGCTCATTTCTATAAAATATTGTACTGACCATTTTTAGCTTGTCTGTTCTGAAGAAAATTCAAGCTACTGTGATCAGTGTGGTGTCATCGTTGTTGTTGTTGATGTTGTTTTCATTCAAAAACTTTAATGTAGCATATTTTTCACACATTTAATAAGTTTTTATCAACATGAAACTTAGAATACTTACTACGCATGACAATGTTCGGTTGTTAGGCAATGGGAATGATTCTCGAAGCAGTATTTTTGGAGTATTGCCACTTTTTAACTTACAATTTTAAACAGACAAGTTTTAACACTGAAGTGAAGTTGGTGTTCCCTTTGGTAACCTGAAATAAGGCCATTTTGTTTTTTTGCTGATAATACATTTTTTGATAATACAAATGTAGTCATTAGATTTTTCTATAATCAATTTCATATCACATCATAAATTTTATAATGCAAACACTTTCCAAATTTGATTTTTAAATATTTAAGAATTATGTTTTCAGCCACCAATCTCTCATCACAGTGAATTTCTAACAATTGGTTGCTGATACATGTATATGTTTTGTGCATGTTTTAAGTTTCCTATTTTATTTTTGTTTCTACGCAGGACCAAAGTATATTCTAAAGTTACAACAGGAAGTGACAGCAATGAGGGTGATGATTAGTATGGATACTCATTCCCATGTTGATGGAGCATCAAAAGTTCATACAATTAAACGCTACCTTTCTGAGCACAAAGATGAGAGTTTTATAAACACAAGCCATCTGAGATGTAGAGAACTTGATTGTCTGAGAGCATACTACTATGTGGCTATTCTTAACTTTCTGAAAGAGAGTTGCTTTATAGAGGAGGCAACAAAAGTAGGTGAACATAAAGAAGATTTAACGAAAGATGAGAGTGACAGATCTGCATGTGATACAGTAGGTAATATACCAGGAAACTTGACAAAATTTACTGTCCTTTCTAGTCTTGATGAAAATGCCAATGCAGATAGTGTGTTCAAGACAGAAGATATAGAAAATGCTAATGTAGAGCTAGAAGATAATATCAGAGTAGTACATAACAGGGAAAGAGAAGTGGAGGGGGGTGAAAGCACTGACAAGACATTTCCAAGAGTAGATAGCACTGAATGCAAAAATTTTAAACCAAAAAATGATAACAATACAGTTTTTGTAAAACCTAAAGAACAGCCAAAAGTTGAAAGCACAAATCTAAGTATTAAGCATACAAGATCGCAGGTGAGCCCAGTATTATATGTGAATCATTACTCTATCACAGTTGGACAATTGTCTCAGCTAGCTCAAGGTGTATTGTGGGATCTGCAAGCCAAAAGATATGCTTTAACAGAGACTTTAGGTTACATCCATAAAGCCATATCACAGTTGCTTTTGTCTAAGAACACTCAGCTTTCAGAAGCTGCAGAGTCCAATGTAAAAGAGAAAGAAAATGAAGAACAAGATTTAGGAGAAACCCAAGATGGCCACTCAGAAGAAACTTCTGAAAATGGGGCAAGTGCAGAATCAGTAGGTAAAAGAAAGAAATCAGATGGTGCAACAAATCCTGTGAAGAGTTGTGCAGACAATCATACAGTTCCAGAAGGTGCTGTTGCCATGACAACTGAAATATCTTCCAAACAAGACAATCAAATGAATACCAGCACAGTATTGAATACAGACACACATACATGTTTGCATCACCATAAACATGCAGATGATCACAGTGAGGGACATATGTGTCATACAATGTTAAGTCAGCATTTTGATCATATGTTGAATTTTCATGTGCCTCATGCTGGAGATGTTCCAGTGCATTGTGAAACAGAGACAGAACTGAAATGCAGTTTTTTTGAAGTGTGTTCATCTTGTGAAATGTTACACAAATCACGAAAAATTTTGTTTGAGGATGAACCCAGGTTTCAGACTCGGCCAGATGTTGGATTCAAAGACATGACAAACATCACAAATCCTGCCAAATATATCAATGTACCTGATGAGTGGTATGGTATGCCTGTCGACCAGAAATACTTTAAACGATACATAACTATGGCCATATTAAAAGATGAGCAAGAATATGTAATGGGAGAATTAAAGAGAGGTCCAGATAGTACACAGGTATATATAAAGACTTTCTTATTTGTTACATAGTTATTCATCATTCCCCACCAATAAGGGGATATTGAAATTGTTTTCCTGTTATTCTGTCTGAATTCATACACATGTTTCTTAGAATCAGTTTGTCCCAGTTGTAACGCATCATCATAATTGGATGATGTGTCTCACCTTAGACCCATGTCCCTGGATGAAAAGTTACATAATCAAACTTGGTGTATTTGTCAAAAATAGGTACAGCTGGAGTTTGTGTTGGGTCAGCAACTTCTGCATGCATGATTTCAAAATTAATTGGTAGACATGATCATCTAAAGTAGATGATGTATCCGGTGCAAGACTCCCCCGGTACATTGCTCAAAGGTCAAGGGATTAAACTAGCTGCTAAAAATTAAAAATTATATATGCTCATGTGATCAGAGATGATATATTCATATGGCCCAAGAAAACATTATCAAGTGATGACATGTAATATGCTCATGTGGCCTCAAATAATATGTGCATATAGTCACAGTGTGTTCATGTGGTCTCTAATAATATGCTCATGTGGTCAAATGTAATATTAATAATAAATATGCTCGTGTGGTCCTTGATACTATGCTTGTGTGATCTCAGATAATTTGCTCATGTGGTCCTTGATACTATGCTTGTGTGATCTTAGATAATTTGCTCATGTGGTCCTTGATACTATGCTTGTGTGATCTCAGATAATTTGCTCATGTGGTCCTTGATACTATGCTTGTGTGATCTTAGATAATTTGCTCATGTGGTCCTTGATACTATGCTTGTGTGATCTTAGATAATTTGCTCATGTGGTCCTTGATACTATGCTTGTGTGATCTCAGATAATTTGCTCATGAGGTCCTTGATACTATACTTTTGTGGTCTTAGATAATTTGTTCATGTGGTCCTTGATATTATACATATGTGGTCCTTGATATTTTGCTAATGTGGTCCTTGATATTTTACATATGTGGTCCTTGATATTTTGCTCATGTGGTCTCAAGATAATGATCTCAGATGGTGTGTCTTGATTATACATGTATACTCATATATACGAGGGGTTATCCAAAAATTCGTGGACTTTCTTTGTTGCGTAAAATTTATTTGAGATATTAATTTGAAATTCTTACACTGCTTAGAAGAATTAATAACAAATAAACACAGAAAAATTCATGTGAATAGCTTCTTACATTACAACAATATTTAATTTTACATAAACACATGTCGGCGACAGCGGCGCACTCCAAAAAATTATTGACGTCAACGTCATAATATTAACGTACAATTTGTGCTTCAACGTTACGCAGTCAATGACTGTTACTGCTTCTCAAAGTAATGTCCATTACTAATTTTTTTATGCCACTTTAACACTAATGATCGTGAAATATTCTTTTCTCTGTTCGTCTGCTGATTTTTATCAAATGTTTCTGTAGGTGTCATTTCAAAATTGCAATAAAAATTTATGATTGTTTATGATCATGCGATTTTCTAATTATCGCGTGTCCGTCATTTTCCCGTTGTAAACAATAAAGGCGTCTGGCGTTTCTAGCGATATCAACAAAAATAAAGGTAAATGACGTCCATAATTTTAAAGAATTACTTAAATGACATCATAGAAGAAACATGCGATGTTCAGCGGGTTTTCTACGTTATTTTTTTAGTTTTTTAGCAAGAAGTATACGATGACTTACAGCGCTTTTCTACCGTGCGCCGGGTGACGTGTATGTGCTTATTTAAAAGCAATATAAAATCATTATTTATTGACACAATTAACTGTTCCTTTCAAAATGTGTTGATAATATTCTACAATGTATGCTGATAAATTTTCATTACAATACACGTTGACGTTCAAGAGATATTTAAAAAGTCCACGAATTTTTGGATAACCCCTCGTACTTGTATATTATTTCATATATATGCTTGTATGGTTTAGATATAATGCTCACATGGTCCTTGATAATATGCCCATATGGTCTCAGTTAATCAGCTTATTATCCCCTGCTGATGGAATCGGGAGGGGGATATAGTTTTGGCGTTGTCCTTCCGTCCGTCCGAATTTCGTTTCCGGGCTAGTTCTCTCCAACTACTGACTGGAATTCAACAAAACTTTATGGGAATCATCAATACCAAGCGAAGATGCTCATATTATTGCCTTGTTGGGGTCAGACATTTTAACTCAGAGTTATTGCCCTTGATTAGTTATGCAGTATGCATATAGAAAAATATTTGTTTCCTCGCTACTTCTCTGCAACTACTGGCTGGAATTCATTGAAACTTTATTGGAACCTTCAATACCAAGAGGAGATTCGCATATTGTCGCCTTGTTCGGGTCAGACATTTTAACTAAGAGTTATGGCCCTTGATAACTTATGCAGTATATAACAAGAGCAATAATCTTTTCCATGCTACTTCTCTGTAACTACTGGCTGGAATTCAATGAAACTTTATGGGATACTAAGAGGAGATGTGCATATTGTCGCCTTGTTCCTGTCAGGTACTTATAACTCAGATTTATTGCCCTTGATTAGTTATGCAGTATGCATACATCTCATTGGCATTTCCAGATATTACTATTTAACACAGAGTTATGGCTCAGTTATTGCCCTGAATATTTATCAAGTTCAAAGAATATTACTGTTTATGCCATGATTAATATATAAATAAAGCCTTATGTCTTCAGTTGTTGTGTAAGTAATAACCTGTACTCGGCGGGGGATATAAATTCAACGAATGGGGTATACTGGAATCAGCTTGTCTGGCCGGCCGTCTGTTTTTCATTGTCCTCCCAATAACTTAAGATTCCTTTAACCCACAGTCTTCATATTTGGTAGTTAGATTGTTCATAAATAGTAGATGATCCCTATTGATTTTGAGTTCACTGGATCAAAGGTCAAGGTCACAGGGGCCTTGACTTCAAAAAGCTTGTCCGCAATATAACTTAAAATTCCTTTGACCCACAGTCTTTATATTTGGCATGGAGGTTAGTCATGATGAGTAGATGACCCCTATTGATTTTGAGGTCACTGGGTCAAAGGTCAAGGTCAATGGGTCCATGACTTAAAAAAGCTTGTCTACCCAATAACTTGAGATTCATTAGACCCACAGTCTTCATATTTGGCATGGAAGTTAGTCATGATAAGAAGATAACCCCTATTGATTTTTAGGTCACTGGGTCAAAGGTCACAGTGACCTGGACTGAAAAAAGCTTGTCCGCCCAATAACTTAAGATTCCTTTGACCCACGGTCTTCATATTTGGCATGGAGGATAGTCATGATGAGTAGATGACCCCTATTGATTTTGAGGTCACCAGGTCAATGGTCAAGGTCACAGGGGCCTTGATTTTAAAAAGCTTGTCTGCCCAATAACTTGAGATTCCTTTGACCCACAGTCTTCATATTTAGTGTGAAGGCTAGTCATGATGAGTAGATGACCCCTATTGATTTTGAGGTCACTGGGTCAAAGGTCAAGGTCACAGGGGCATTGACTAAAAAAAGCTTGTCTGCCCAATAACTTAAGATTCCTTTGACCCACAGTCTTCATATTAGGCATGGAGGTTAGTCATGATGAGTAGATAACCCCTATTGATTTTGAGGTCACTGGGTCATGGTCACAGGGGCCTTGAGTTCAAAAAGCTTGTCTGCCCAATAACTTAAGATTCCTTTGACCCACAGTCTTCATATTTGGTGTGGAGGTTAGTCATGATGAGTAGATGACCCCTATTGATTTTGAGGTCATTGGGTCAAAGTCATGGACCTGGATTGAAAAAAGCTTGTCCGCCCAATAACTTAAGATTCCTTTGACCCACAGTCTTCATATGTGGCGTGGAAGTTAGTCATGATGAGAAGATGACCCCTATTGATTTTGAGGTCACTTGGTCAAAGGTCGAGGTCACAGGGGCCTTGACTTCAAAAAGCTTGTCTGCCCAATAAATTAAGATTCCTTTGACCCACAGTCTTCATATTCCACATGGAGGGTAGTCATGATGAGTAGATGACCCCTATTGATTTTGAGGTCACTGGGTCAAGGTCACAGGGGCTTGACTTCAAAAAGCTTGTCTGCCCAATAACTTAAGATTCCTTTGACCCACAGTAATCATATTTGGTATATATACTAAAACAAAAAAGAAACTTTCTCCAAGTTTGAATGTAGATATGTTAGTACAGTTTTTCAATCCTTTTGAAACACGATTTTTACATTGAATTAACATATCAGGCTTTTATACGGGGATTAGCTGACCGATTTTGCAAACAAAACGAGTTTTACAAGCTACTACATGTATATATGTGTGTACATCTAAGTGGTACCCTTGAACAACTGGCACATACTTTGCGAAAGTTTCTTTTTTGGTTCAGTATAGATTGGTCATGATAAGTAGATGACCCCTATTGATTTTGAGGTCACCAGGTCAAATGTCATGGTAAAAGGGGCCTTGACCAAAAAAAGCTTGTCCGCCCAATAACTTGATTCCTTTGACCCACAGTCTTCATGTTTGGTATGGAGGTTTGTCATGCTTATTTGATGACCCCTATTGATTTTGATGTCACTGGGCAAAGGTCAAGTTCACAGGGTCTTGACTTCAAAAAGCTTGTCTGCCCAATAACTTAAGATTCCTTTGACCCACAGTCTTCCTATTTGGCATGGATGTTAGTCATGACCAGTAGGTGACCCCCTATTGATTTTGAGGTCACTGGGTTAAAGATCAAGGTCACATGGGCCTTTTATTCAACAAGCTTGCACACTCAAATGCTTTAGAATGCTCTGGTCAACAGTTTCCATATTTGGTATTAAGGTTGGTTATGATTAGTAGATTACCCCTTTTGATTTTGAGGTCACTAGGTCAAACATCATTGACAGATTGGCCTTCACTAAAAAAAGCTTGTCTGCCCAATAACTAAGAATCTTTTGACCCACAGTCTTCATATTTGGCATGGAGGTTAGTCATGACTATTAGATGACCCCTATGGCTTTTGAAGTTACTGGGTCAAATGTCAAGGTTACAGGGGCCTTTAGTTTGAAAAGTTTGTCTGCCCAATAACTTAAGAATCCTTTGACCCACAGTCTTCATGTTTGTTATTGATGCAGGTTATGACTTGGAGATGACCCCTTTTGATTTTTAGGTGTCTGTGTGTAAGGTCAAGGTCACAGGGGCTTTTACTACAATAAGCTTGTCTGCTCAATTGCTTAAGAATGCCTGTAAACAGTGTATTGATTCTGACATTTTCACATTTGAAGCATATAATTATGTTCTCATATATTCATCATAAAACACCCCCAGGCAAAGCTGCATGAATGGGGATTTTCAAGTCGTGCAGTGGCAGTTTCAGTTTTAAGGTCAGTTGGTCAAATGTAAAGGTCACTTTTATCTTTGCTACTAAAAACATGTAGAATACATAATAGTCTATGCAAAAGTCAATTTTTTTTTTCAGGCCATAAGGACTGAGACCCTAAGATTTATTTCCGGCCCGAATGATATTTTTCCGGCCCAGACATTTCAAGCATTATTTTATAATAACTCAGTTAAATTAGTATGACTATCATTAGTGTGACCATCATATAGAAACAAAAGATGCTGACCAATTGAAATAACTTAAGCAGGGTTCTCACTAGGATTTTCAAAGTAGGAGCCCTGGGACTCCCAAGCACAAAAAAGTAGAAGCTCCAGATCACGTTGAATATGTTAAGCCATCTTTGCTGCACTCATGCAGTTGACGAATATGATGCAGAGTAAGGGGTTGGGGAGTCGGAGTTTGAACTTCAGGAAAATGGTAATATGTGTTACCTAGCTGTGTTTCTCTAGATATTTTTTTGAATAGGTAAGGACTGATTGTTTGACGACTGTAAATAAAAGAGACAACTCGTTTGTACTCATAAAACCGAATTATCTCTAGTATTTTGAGGCTTCTATATTACCTGTAATTTAATGTAATGTTAACTCACTTATAGACTAATAAAATACGCATAAACGTACCTTAATTTAGCACAAGAAACACACTAGCAGTTACAAAAGTTATCATAAGATCTCCAGGACATATTTTGAGTTATCACAAGAACTCCGTGACATTTGAAAAATGGGGTATAAATTTATTAGCCTGGGCTTTATGTTTGCAACTCTGCATTATAATTATGTAATTATGTATAGCAACAAAGAAGATCACAAATGAAAAGATCAATATGTACGAATGAGCAAGTAATTTGGAAAATTTACTCAAAACTACCAGATTTTTTTTTCAAAGACGATGAAAAATGGACTAAAAGGTTTTTCTGAAACATTATACAATATGTTGGGCAAGCTTAATCATCAAAGTTTAATTTAACACTTCAAGCTCCCCATTTAAAGGTAAAAATGAACATTTTTCACGCGAGTTCTCCAAGTATATAGAAAAGTTTTCCACAAAAATCCGTAACATTTTCCAGGAACTCCGTGACAGTTATCATAAGAACTCCAAACAAGTTATCATAAGAACTCCATCCTTTGTGTAGCACTTCCTACCCCGTGCTTTTGGTTACGATTTTTGTGCCCCCACTATAAGGGGGACATTTAGAAATACCGTTGTCCGTCCTTCTGTCCGTCCATCCGTTCTCTTTTTGTGTCGCACATAGCTCAAAAAATAATTGACATTGTTGATATTTATAGTATTTTTAGAGTTATTGTCCTTGAATTAGTAAAAAATCCAATTTTCAACTTGTGTCGCAAGTAACTAAAAAAAATTTGACCTAAAGTCATGAAACCTTACAGGAATGTTGATCAGCATGTGTAGTTGTGCACCTGGATATATTTGTGTGGATATATTTAGTATTTTTAGAGTTATTATGCCCCCACAGAGTGGGAGCATATAGTGTTGCACTTGTCCGTCCGAGTGTCCGTACGTCTGTCCGTCCGCACACACAGGAGAGTAATTATGGGGCTAGAGGGACAATAGGTAACTGTTCTTTCTTTTTGATGTCATTCATTCCGTAATGCTTTTATTTTGCAGATTTTGCTTAAACTTCCAGGGATGAACAACCTTAATGTGTAGATGGTAGTAAAGGAAGGAATTTTTGCTGCGACCAAATTTAACAGAATTATGGCCCTTTGTTGATTTTTAGTTTTCAACTTGTGGCACATGTAGTCCAAAAAATATTTGACCTAGAGTCATAAGATTGACAGAACAGTGGCGTGTTGGGGCATGCGTGTCCTATGGACACATTTCTAGTTGTCTTTGAACTAGTAAAAATCACGTTGAATATGTTAAGCCATCTTTGCTGCACTCATGCAGTTGACGAATATGATGCAGAGTAAGGGGTTGGGGAGTCGGAGTTTGAACTTCAGGAAAATGGTTTTAAACTTGTAGCAAGTAACTAAAAAATATTGAAACCGCTCAGCATGTGTAGTTGTGCACCTGGGTATTTTCGTGTGGGAGTTATTGCCCTTGACTTAGTAAAAATTTACAATATTCAACTTGTGTTGCACGTAACTCAAAAAGTATTTGACCTGTAGGCCTGAAAGTTCACAAGAATATTGGTTAGCATATGTACTTATGCACCTTGGGGTTTTATTGTGCATTTAGTCAGTATTTGTAGTATTTGCCCTTTACTTAATAAAAGATTTTTAGCTTTCAACTTTACTAAATAAAAGATTTTTAGCTTTCAACTTGGGCACATTTAGCCAAAAAAAATTTAATTTGACCCAGAGACATAAGATTGACAAATTGGTGGAGTCCTATGGACACATTTCTAGTTTTAATTATAAAAAGTGGCATTGCGAAAATATGTGACAATTGAAAATTTGTCTGTTTCTTGCAGAAACATTCACAATTCTACTTGTTGTTGATTTTGATTACATTAGATTAAATATTTTTTTATTATTTTAAAATTGTTACTCATCGGCTATTTCAACAGGCATCGTAAAACAAAATTTTCAAATTTGTAATTTACCGCAAAATTCAATATCTTCTTTAATAAATTCTTTTTATCATGGGGAACTTGTTATCAATCAGGTCATTGATATTTTTCTTTTTTTGAAATTTTATGAGGACTGACAGAAAGGAAATTTTTCTCGGACCGCATGATTTTTGTGTCGCCTCTACAGAGTAGTGGCGACATATAGGGATCACTTCTCCGTCGTCTGTCTGTCCGTCTGTCCGTCACAAAACTTTTCCAGACTACTCCTCATAAACTACTGGTGCAATTTCATCCAAACTTTACAGGAATGATCAGTACCAAGTCTAGTTATGCACTGTCTGTCCGTCTGTCACAAAATTTGTCCCAACATGAAATTGGCCATCATGAGGCGACACATGTGATTACTGATCACTCTTGTTATTCAGCCAGGACAGAGGACAGACTTTCACACAGACTGACATAACTTAGCAATGCACTGACTTAATACCCTAAGATTTGGCAGGAAGTTTGTCCTTGAGCTCTAAATGACCACTGTTGATTCTGACAAAGTGGTATGCGAGGGTATTCACACCATGACTGTGGCAGTTTTAGTTTTGATTACTCAAAAAAATTTACATTCCGGCATAATTATATGGTCCCATCTTTGTCATGCTTTTGTTACATTTATCATACTATATCTTCTTCTTTAGCAAGCCATCATGCTATATTTTCCTCTTTAGAAAGCCATCATGCTATATTTTCCTTTTTAGAAAGCTATCATGCTGTATTTTCCTCTTTAGAAAGCCATCATGCTATATTTTCCTCTTTAGAATGCCATCATGTTATATTTTCCTCTTTAGAAAACCATCATGCTATATTTTCCTCTTTAGAAAGCCATCATGCTGTATTTTCCTCTTTAGAAAGCCATCATGCTGTATTTTCCTCTTTAGAAAGCCATCATGCTATATTTTCCTCTTTAGAAAGCCATCATGCTATATTTTCCTCTTTAGAAAGCCATCATGCTATATTTTCCTCTTTAGAAAACCATCATGCTGTATTTTCCTCTTTAGAAAGCCAACGATTGTTTTGAAACTTGATAAAAATCACATGGATGCTCATGTGGTCTCAGGTAAAGTATGTGGTCTCAGATACTATGCTCATGTGGTTACAGATTATATGCTCATGTGGTCTCAGCTAATTGATAATACTTTTTCTCTGTTGACAAGTATGCACATTAATCCATGTTTGTTTTTGTTTGTACTAGTAAATAAACACATACGACACACTTTAACTGTCACGTTTCCTACGATCTAATTCATGGTCAACAAATTTGAACCAATCAGATTAAGACTGAAATAGACACAAATGTCAATACACCTACAACTGTCTATAGTCTGTTTTAAGATTCATACCATTTTCATACGACTTCACCTTTTGGAATAATTCTCGCATCAGCACCACCCCCCCCCCCCCCACTCCCCTCACCGATGTACTTATTATAATAACTGAATATTTATTTAAATTCACTGAAAATATCGCTTTATAATACTGTTTGCATACACCACCTGTCATGTTTTTTTGAAATTTGCATTTGCTCTGTAATCTCATATGTCTTTTGATTTGAGATAATAAAGTATTGTTCTGTTCTGATAATTTTATTAAGTTAGGTTAGAAGGAATGATAAATTTTATGTCAGAGGTTTATCTCTCTAGTTAACAAAATGCTGCTCATCTTATCTTTTCTGTATTTGTTAACTAGAAAGTAAAGAATAAAACTATTGTAATGATTTTATCTTACAGTCACCATTTCCTAATCCATTGGAGTCTGTTAGCGTTTTGGTAGACCTGGCCAACCACTCTTCACATATATCAACTATGGAGCGACAAGAATTTGTACAGAAAGTCATCACATGGGCACTAAAGTTTGCTATTACCACAGACCAGAAACAAACATTTGTTGGGCTTCTACAATCAAATTTGGAAAGTTAGGAAATACCTAATTTCTGGGCTCCATATCAGCGTCATTTTATGTTGTTAGCTTGACTTTTTTTTTTTATGCCACCACAGCATCTGCGATGCGGTGGCATATAGCGATTCACCTGTGTGTGTGTTTGTGTGTTATATAGATTATATAGTGAACTTAAAAAATCTTCTTGTGAAAAACCACTTGTCCAATTTCAACCAAACTTGGCAGGATTGATCCTTGGGTGAAGGGCTTCCAAAGTTGTTCAAAGAATTTCATTCCATGCAGAAATCTGGTTGCCATGGCAACCAAAAGGAATTATAAGAATAAATTTAAAGACCCAAAAGGCCTAGAGCTTAGATATTTTGCATAAGGCATTGTCTGGTAGACCTCTACCAAGATTGTTCAAATTATAACCCTGGGGTCAAAATCGGCCTGCCCCGGGGGTAATTGATTTTCACTATATGTACATATAGAAAAATCTTGTTAACTCTCTAATAGCCACTGTTTTGATCCAAATATTCAGGAAATTGGTCTGCAAGTTTGTTTTGATGATTTCTAAGCTCATATTGGAATATGGGTCACCTTGGGTCAAAAACCAAGTAAACCCACCCAAATATGGAAAAACCTTGTAAACACTCTAATGGTCACATTTTTTACTCAATTGTCATCAAACTTGGTCAGGATGCTTGTCTAGTTAATTGTTCGGGGGAGTTCAAACATGATCACAGGAGCTAAAAATAGAAAAATCTTGTTAACTCTCTAGTGGCTATACTGTTGTTATCCAAATATCTTGGTCTGCAAGTTTGTTTAGGTGATTTCTTAAGGGATCAACTTCATACTTCAAATATATGTTCCTTATCATCAACCACATCTTATGTGACAAGGTTCATAACTCTAGCACAAATATCGCAAGAATTATCTCCCCATAAACTTTACTTTACTTGAAAAATGTTATTTTTTACTATAACTTCTTTATTTCTTAAGGGATCAAACTTCATACTTCAAATTCTTATTCCTTATCATGAATTACATCTTATGTCAAAAGGTTCATCACTCTTGAAGCAATATTTTCAGATTTATCTTTCTTTGAACTTAGGATTTTCTTTAAGAAATATTATAACTTTTTTACTTTTTAAGGTATCTACTTCAAACTTCAAATATATATTTCTTATCATTACACACATGTTGTGTGACAAGGTTCATAAAACTGGCTTGACTATTTCCAGAATTATTCCCCCTTGAACTTGGAATTTATGTTAACAAATGTTATTTTTATGCCCCCAGGCATATAGTGATTGAACTGTCCGTCCGTCTGTCCGTACGAGGTTAACCTAGAACGGCAAGTTGGATTTTTCTTAAGTTCTACCTGTACCAATGGCTTCTAAGTTTACACACTTATCAATACAAAGTACATGATCTGGGCAAGTTACATAACTCTGGCTTTCATATTTACCAAGTTATTGCCCTTTTCAGCACTTAGAAAATGAATAATGGTTAACCTAAAACGGCAAGTTGGAAATATCTTAAGTTCTATCTATACTAATGGCTTTATAATTTCCACACTTACTTATCAATACGAAGTACATGATATTGCCAAGTTATATAACTGTGTCATCAAAATTTCAGTTATTTCCCTTTTTTCACTCCTTGTCTGGTTAACCTATTCCGGCAAGTTGGATTTATCTTAAATTTCTCCTAATTGCTTAATTTCTTTAATGATATCGTTCATATTTAGTAGGTGGATACCTTTGATGGTCCTCTAATTTTTTGTGGAGTAAGCGGTCTCTAGGGTCAAGGTAACTGGTTTAAAAAATAAATATAAACATTTTTGCTCATACAGCCTTTATATTTTATGTGATGTCTTAGATTAATACAAACATGCCAAGGGAGGTCCTCCTTCTTTGGGTCTAGTAAGGGGTCATTTGGGTCAAGGTCAATGTTACCAATATCAAGGTCACCAATGTTAAAAATAGATTTTTACATTTTTACAGGTGTATTGACCTTATTCTATAGACAGATGTTATTTATAATTGATAGAAACATAAACTTTGATGGAGTTAGTGGTCAGTTGGGTCAAGGTCACCAGTGCTAAAAATAGATTTTTACACATTTGCTCATACAGCCTTTATTAAGTGACAGATATATTTTATATTTGGTAGGAAGATAACTTGCATGGTATTCATCCTTTTGATTGGGGTAGGGATCAGTGGGTCAAGGTCACTTTGCTAAAAAAGATTTTTACACTTTTGCCCGTATAGCGGTAAGCTGTGGCATATATAATTGTCACTAAGTAATTATGTGACAAGTGCATGGCTCTTTGGCATGATGTATCAATATAGATCTTAAAGCTACATTGAATAAATATGTAAATATATTTTGCTGTCTGTCTAAAAACCAAGCATTTTACAGCTTAATTAACCTTTTAAACAGTATTGTTGTAAATCTCATCAAATATTGTTCATAAATAGGGATTTTAAACGGAAAACCCCATGGTAACACTGAAGTTTGTATACAAATTTTAACATGCAAATGAAGACTATAATTAGCTTGTGTATGCGCTATGTCACAGTTGCTATATATATATCAATATATATATTTATTGATAAATATAAATATATTAATTGATAAAGTTGCTATACGGAACAGAGCAAATATGAGAGTTTTATTTGCAAACACACTTTAACTGCTTCAGCTTCAAGGTGCATTAGGCCTGGGGTTCAGATAAAAGATTAAATTTGTATGAAAACATCCTTTACAATGCGGAAATATACTGTTAAATTAGGACTGCTATTCATAGTCATGTTTGTTAATTTAATATTGATGTACGAATGATCTGAAGGCGGAGTTTCTCATGCAAAAACAAAAATTGTACTTTGGATTTCACCACAATGAGGTTGCCCATTTTTTATGCTTATAAAACTCATTTAGGTTGCCTCCACACCAAAATAAGATTTAGAATTGATATAAAATAGATAAATACAGAATCCCTAAAGAAAGCCCAACACGGCAAAATTGAAAATGTTGCAGGCTCGGTTTGATTGAGCCTGTTCATGGACAGTACTGGAAAATGCAAGTTACCGTCCACGCCCCCTAGCACTGGCTTAAGCAGAATTCAACATTTTAAACATGAAATAGTAAAATTTTGAATTTAGAAACATCCGCAGATGTGTTCATACGGCGGTTATGAAACCCTATTTATTAATGATATATATCGCTATTTCAGTTTTTATGAAAATTATTAAATGTTGCTTTAATATTGATAATTGAAATCAAACATGTTTTGGACAAATGTTATAAATGTGTATCCTCTCTGTTTTAAAAATTAGTTTTGATTACTTTAAATGTTATTTACTTAAAACAAATTTAAATTCGGGCGTAATTCCATAGCTAATCGGTGCTCTTGTTTTTTTATCTTCAGATATAGCAAAAAAAAATCACTTAAAATTGGTGACAGAAATGTATTATTAACAACTGAAAAAAAAACAGATATGAGCCACGCCATGACAAAACCAACATAATGCGTTTTGCGACCAGCATGGATCCAGACCAGCTTGCGCATCCGCCCAGTCTGATCAGGATCCATGCTGTTCGCTAACAAACCTTACTACAAGTAGAGAAACTGATAGCGAACAGACTGTGCTTTTTAAGTCTTCAAATTTACATACAATCAAATATTAGACAATATGTCATGTTCGCTCTATAAATCCTATATTAATTGAAAAATTTTCTTCAAACTTTACTCAAATGTTCACCCCAACTGGGCAATGTGCAGAGCCCATCTTAACCTTTTGCCGGCTTAATGTCAAGGTCACAGTTGAAGGTCAAAAATTAGAAAATGTTCACATGTATTTGAATATTTCTAAAACTAGAACAGATAATCATTTGAAACTTCAAATATATATGAAGTGTCGCAAGTAAGATATGCAGGTCAAGTTTCATAACTAAAAAAAGTGTGTGTGGGGGGGATAACTTTGTATTGTATTTTGACAAAGTAAGGTCCATTTTTATGTCTCTAAATTTATTTACTATAATATTTCTTAAACCAGAACATATATTTACTTGAAACTTAAAATTTATATGAATGGTTACAAGCAAGCTCAGATGAGGATAATTCTACAATTCCATTGAATTATGACACAAGTTATGCCCCTTTTAGGCTTAGAAAATGTTCTGATATAACCATTAATACTTAAATACTAGAACAGATATTCACTTGTTTATTCAGTTCATAATTTATCACAATATCTATACTGTTATAACTAACCTAAATATTTCAGTCACATATGGACATTTATTTTCCCATTTATTTCAACTTTAATATATAATGATACTGTATACTTACCAGTAATACATGTAAATATTCCATTAGACACTGCAAAATAACTGACCACTAATAAATATTTTCATAGAAATTTACATTAACTTTAATAGCTCTGAAACCAGAACAAATATTTACTTGAAACTATATAATATATGAAGGGTCACAAGTAAGCTCAGTATACAAAGTTTTTCCACTCTTTAAGTACATTTTGACATAATTATGCTATTTTCTTAACTTCACTGCTTCTGTTTGTTTTAGTACATTGGGAAAATGAAAGGTTATTTGTAACTGTTTCGAACATGATTTGACAATATATATTTATACTATTACCTGTACAATTTGTCTTTTTTTCACCAGAGATAATTTCTTTTTATGTGTATGTGTTTGTGCCACTTAAGTTATTCCCTTAACCACCTTTCCAAGTCGTCTTTTGTCAAGGACATTGGTGGGGGTATGAATTGCATTCAGCGATAGTTCTAGTTGATGGAAAGGATTCATACTTGGACAAAACAACAAGTGTGACTAGACAGACCTATTAAAATAAAATAATGGAAAAACTCTTTTATCCTTTAATTTTCTTTTTATTGTTTTGTTTAAACCGTTTCTTTGTTTGCTTTTAGTCAGAAGTAAAAATGTCGATCATTGACTCCACAGTGGGTGGCCGGTGGCTTATGTTAATTATGCCCCCCTTCGAAGAAGAGGGGGTATAATAATATTGTTTTGCTAATGTCTGTCGGTCTGTCCGTCGGTAGACCACATGGTTTCCGCTGATTATCTTGAAAACTATGTATCACAAAGTCTTCATACTTCACATAGTGATTGGTCATAACTAGTAGATGACCCCTATTGATTTTGGGGTCACTAGGTCAAAGGTCATAGGGGCCTTAAATGTCAAAATTGTTTCCGCTGATTATCTTGAAAAGTATTCATCACAAAGTTGTCATATTTCACATAGTGATTGGTCATAAATAGTAGATGACCCCTATTGATTTTGGGGTCACTAGGTCAAAGGTCAAGGTCACAGGGGCCTTAAATGTCTGAATGGTTTCCGCTGACTTATCATGAAAATTATTCATCACAAAGTCTTCATATTTCTAATATTGATTGGTCATAACTAGTAAGTGACCCCTATTGATTTTGTGGTCACTAGGTCAAGGTCAAAGGGGCCTTAAATGTCTCATTATCTTGAAAACTATTTATCGCAAAGTCTTCACTATTTTTCTTTTTTCCATAATTGAAAACTTCAATGTACCCATTTATGGCAAGTTTCTCAAACAAAATTACCAATAATGTGAGTCAAGGGCTAGATGTGTCGCTCGACATTTTTTGTTAATACTTTGATAGAGGGCATTGAGGCAGAGTGTAGTGCCAAAGAACCATAACTCTTATTTTGCCCCACTTTTTGATCATCTCCCCTTTTAGAAAAATCTTGTCTGGATCATAACCTGATAACCCTTGGACATGATTTGTTTAAACTGCACACAGTGGAAGAGGGCATTGAGGCAGAGTACAGTGCCAAAGAACCATAACCCTGTTTTGCCCCATTTTTAGCTCACCTGAGCATGCTTAGGGTGAGCTTTTAGGATCGATGATTGTCCGTCGTCCGTTCACATTTTGTTGTTAAGCGGTCGCTTTTTTGCCTCAATCATCATCAAACTTGGTCAGGATGCTTATCTAGTTGATAGCTTGGATGAGTTCGAACATGGGTCATCTCGGATGAAAAACTAGGTCACAAGAGCTAAAAATAGAAAAACCTTGTTAACACTCTAGAGGTCACATTTTTGCCTCAATCATCATCAAACTTGGTCAGGATGTTTGTCTAGGTGATAGCCCGGATGAGTTCGAACATGGGTCATCTCGGATGAAAAAGTAGGTCACCGGAGCTAAAAATAGAAAAACCTTGTTAACACTCCAGCGGTCACATTTTTGCCTCAATCATCATCAAACTTGGTCAGGATGCTTATCTAGTTGATAGCTAGGATAAGTTCGAACATGGGTCATCTCGGATGAAAAACTAGGTCACAAGAGCTAAAAATAGAAAAACCTTGTTAACACTCTAGCGGTCACAATTTTGCCTCAATCATCATCAAACTTGGTCAGGATGTTTGTCTAGGTGATAGCTTGGATGAGTTCGAACATGGGTCATCTCGGATGAAAAAGTAGGTCACCGGGGCTAAAAATAGAAAAACCTTGTTAACACTCCAGCGGTCACAATTTTGCCTCAATCATCATCAAACTTGGTCAGGATGCTTATCTATTTGATAGCTCGGATGAGTTCGAACATAGGTCATCTCGGATGAAAAACTAGGTCACAAGAGCTAAAAATAGAAAAACCTTGTTAACACTCTAGCGGTCACAATTTTGCCTCAATCATCATCAAACTTGGTCAGGATGTTTGTCTAGTTGATAGCTTGGATGAGTTTGAACATTGGTCATCTCGGATGAAAAAGTAGGTCACAGGAGCTAAAAATAGAAAAATCTTGTTAACACTCTAGTGGCTACTGTTTTGATCCAAATATCCTGTAAATTGGTCTGAAAGTTTGTTTTGATGATTTCTAAGTCAAGTTCGAACATGGGTCATCTTGGATGAAAAACTAGGTCACACCGCCCAAATATTGAAAAACCTTGTTAACATTCTAGTGGTCACATTTTCGACTCAATTATCATCAAACATGGTCACCTTTAAAAATGATCAAAGAATTAAATTCCATGCAGAACTCTGTTGCCATGTCAACCAATAGAAAAAACTTAAAATATCTTCTTTTAAAAAACCCAAAGAGGTAGTGCTTAGATATTTGGCATGAAACATCTTCTAGTGAGTGTCTTATCAAGTTTGTTCAAATAAAAGCCCTGGGGTCAAAATTGGCCCCGCCCCGGGGGGTCATTAATTGTTTTTCCCTATATGCATATAATAAAAACTTAAAATATCTTCTTTTAAAGAACCCAAAAAGCTAGAGCTAAGATATTTAGCATGAACCATCTTCTAATGGGTGTCTACCAAGTTTGTTCAAATAAAAGCCCTGGGGTCAAAATTGGCTCGGCACCAGGGGGTCATTGATTTTCCCTATATGCATATAGTAAAAACTTATAAAATCTTCTTTTAAAGAACCCAAAGAACTAGAGCTAAGATATTTAGCATGAAACATCTTCTAATTAGTGTCTACAAGTTTGTTCAAATAAAAGCCCTGGGGTCAAAATTTGCCCCGCCCCAAAGGGTTATTGATTTTCCCTTTATGCATATAGTAAAAACTTATAAAAATCTTCTTTTAAAGAACCCAAAGAGCTAGAGCTAAGATATTTAGCATGAAACATGTTCTAATGGGTGTCTACCAAATTTGTTCAAATAAGAGCCCTGGGGTCAAAATTGGCCCTGCCCCGGGGGTCATTGATTTTATTTATGTGTATAGCAAAAAAATAAAAAATCTTCTTTGAAAAAACTCAAATAGCTAGAGTTAAGATATTAAGCATGAAACATCTTCCAGTTAGTGTCTTCACAGTTTGTTCAAATAAAAGCCCTAGGGTCAAAATTGGCCCTGCCCTGGGGGACATTGATTTTCCTTATATGTGTATAGCAAAAACTTAAAAATCTTCTTTGAAAAAAAAAACCAAATAGCTAGAGTTTAGATATTAAGCATGAAACATCTTCTAGTGAGTGTTCAAAGTTTGTTTTAAAAAAAGCCCTGGGGGCAAAACTGGCCTTGCCCTAGGGGTGTCATTGCTTTGAACTATATGTGTATAGTTAAAACTTACAAAATCATTTTTTTTTTTAAACTCAACGAGCTAGTCCTTAGATGTTTAGCATGAAACATCTTGTAATAGGTGTCTACCAAGTTTGTTCAAATAAAAGCCCTGGGGTTTAAACTGGCCCCACTCTGGGGTCCTATATACAGGTGAGCGACTTCAGGGCCATCATGGCCCTCTTGTTAAATTTTACACTGAACTTTGTCCGGGACATAACTGTGAAATTACAAGAAGTATCAACAAGAAACTAAGTCGGTAGATAGATCTTATTAAGTAGAAGTGCAGTGCAAAGAACAGAAACTCTACCTTGCCTAATTTTGGAATTATTGCACTTTGAACTCTAAAGCTACAAGAGGTGTACTTTTCTGTGTCCAAAACCTATATGTGGAGCATCACCTGGTTCAAATCGGCTCTTGTTAATTGTTATAACAGGACGCCATGTCAAAAGGGCAGATGATCCAAACATTATTTAATGCAGTTATGTCCCTTTTCCAACTTCGATTTTTAGTCCTGATTAACCTTTTCGTAAAGGTCTATTTTCACAGAAGCTATAAAAAAAAATCTGGACAGAATGCCATCCCTCAGAAGCATTAATCACATCAAAATAACATGAAAATTGCAGACTCGGTTTGATTGAGTCTGTACATAAGGGATAATGAAAAGATGCAACATTCCTCTGTCCCCCTACCACCGTATATAATAATACGAGGCTATCTGATTTGTTTATAACATGACTGTACTACCATTATAGTCCGTATCCCCAAATTAAGTTGTCATATGGGATAGTATAAAAAAAATTACATCGACTATTAAGATCACCTGATAAAACAATAACATGGTGTCAGGGTATTCATAAATAATTTGTTCAAAATGACTTAACACTTCATTGATACCGATTTTATCGTCTCTATCACTATAATAAGAACTTCCTTCAGGACTTGATAGTACATGATAATGTCATTGCAATCAAAAATGATTTTGAAAAGTTACAAACATGTACAACACAGTTCTCAAAAAAATCAAGATTTGCTTTATTCGTATAAGTTAATGAACAGTACATTTCACGAAAACGCTAATTCCAACATTGCCCCTCAATGCATTATTTTTCATTTTTCTTACAAAGTCAAAGTGTATACATGTATATGATTTTACAAAATTGCTGAATTCTCCTTTGAATTTTCTCCATGTTTCACATATACTTAAAGTATCAAAAGTATTCACAAACTTAAGAAAATTATCATCGTTTTTAAATTTATTAAATCCAATAACGTTCAATGACCCACATTTTATTTCTATTTGTTTATTTTGATGAGTAATCCAAAAAAGCACAGTTTATAGTAAGAAATTGACTAGCCGATTTCACTGGCAGTGTCAGTCTTATTGGCCATACTCGTGGTTTTAAGAGAATGGCAATTTTAAAATTAAAAAGAAATAAAAGTGGCTGAACCAGGATTTGAACCAACGAGTTTACGTTTATATTCTTGAAGTGAAAAATCCTTTACCGACCTCGCTAAGATTAACCTTTAATATCTCTTAAAAATTTACTATAGGTTAAATGCAAACTTGTGTGCCAGATCAGTATTGTTGGAATATTATAATATAAATGAGCACAGGCACGTGTATGGGTGACAGTTTTGTATTATTAACGTACGTAGCAGTGGCAGATTCAGGCCCGGGCTTCAGGGCTGCAGCCCCCCAGCTGGGCCCAAAGATACGTTTTCCAGCTGGGCTGTAATATATTTTTGTCAGTTTCAAACTTTATTGGCTGTAGTGTACTCCCTTATCAAAACATTAATTGCTGTCATTCGATCAGTTGTTAATCTCCTGTCTGGGGGCTTAGCAGAGATCTTTATCTATCAACATGCTTGAATGATTTCAATGTTAAACTGCATAATTAATTGGTTTATTACTGCCCAAAGATAGTCACAGATACATGTAGTAGCCTTATAATTAAGAAATTGAAAATTATGATTTGTAAATTTGTAAGAAAGGTGGCAAGTTTTATAATAATAAAGATAATATAAAAGGAATCACGTTTTAATAACTAGTTTTACTAAGATTTTTATAAAGATGAAATGACTGGTCATTTGCTTTTATTAACTTTTTATGTCAGTTATATTTTTTTAATAAAATTTAAATCGTACCTCTTTGGTCATAATCTAAAATGGATTCATTGATGGAAAAAAAATCTTATTTAATATATGTGTTTGAATTTTTTTTGTACAATAGAAAGGCAGTTATTTAATAACACTTTAATAACACAAGAGTGTTTGAAATTAATTTTAACAACGGTCGCAGATACATTGGTATGTGTGCTGTTACTATGTAAATGCTTACTATTAAACAACAGGGCAATTCTACTTAAATACTTAAAAGACCCTAACAAACACTAACCTATGCATAGTTAAACCATCCAAAAGGTACCATAAACAGCATTAGAAAGTCAAGGAAATAACACCATTTTCAACCCCACATTTCAAAATTTCTCAGTCTACAAATTAGTGTACACATATATAAGCAAAGTACATTGCCACTCATAACATGAGATGGTCTCATGAACAAGATGCTGGCCCAATATTCAAACAAGCGCTATTTTTGCCTGTAGCATTATTTTTGTCAAAATCTTCCACCCACATGTCAGCCACCCCAGAAAACCATCCGCCCCTGCGTAGTTTTCCTTGTTACTCGCTGGTGTAACGTTGTAAAGTGACCCTAATAGAATAATGACCCCTGGACCCCCTTCTATAAAATACTGACCCCCTTAAATATAAAATTATGATCCCCTATTTTATCTATAAATATTGACCCCTACCTAAAATACTCTATAAAGACAACGTCATATAATTGCGTATATTTGTTGTTGTTCTTGTTGTGCCTGTTGCTACTCTTGTACTGCTGCTGCTACTGCCGCGACAACAGCTGACAAAACAACGGTAAAATTAGAGGTTACGTTAAGAAAAAGTGAACATCATGTAAAAATAAAATGCTTAATGCAAATCCTTCTGTCTGAAATAGAGAGAGAACATAGAGTTTCAGCCAAGGGAGACAATCTGTTTGTTTCCTTTTTTCCCCATATTTTACCATCATTTATGCAATTCAGCTATATAGGACATCATCTTTTTATAGGTACATGTAAGTGCCAAGTTTTAAGTTTTCTTTTCAACTAGGCCCATATGGGAATTAGTTTTGTAACAGCAAAATTTCAAAAACAATTTTTGTAGACTGCTCCTAATGATTTTAGGCTTTAAATGAGATTCGTTCACTACAATCAGATACGCAAAAATGGATGCCGCCAGCAATCAGTCTGAACACTGGAGAGGTCTGAATACCTCTCCAATTACACGCTACCACGCGTGTGATAATTACGTAATCACACGTTTAGGGGTAGTGCTGTTAGAATTACACGTACGGTCTTAAATAAACTCCAAAATAGTTAAATTGTATACCATTTTATTGCAAAATGAATTCCGCATCTAATGGTATAACTTTTATGGGAATTCATTAATTTTCTAACACACGAGAGGTTTTAATATGACAACATTCGTTATTAAAAATTATAATTATGTTCTGATAAATGTCACGGGTCGTTTTATTTATTATGTTAATTGTTTATTTTGCCGTGCACTGTTTGTTATTTAGTCGCGGGAAAAGTATTCTTAATGTTCGCGCATGCGTTGATTATTGTTTGTTTTCGTGGCGTTTGTTATTGTTTGCTATTTATTGTATCGGGTGGTTCCGTAATGAACGTTTATTAGCGGAAATTCACGGAAACAGCCGAAACAATTTAACTATGTTTGTATTTTGTGCAATTTTGTGAACTGTTTTTGTATGTTCAATTGTTTTGTACGTTGTATGAAAAAGTTTTAAAAAAAAGTTTTAGATTGGTTTTAACATTTCCTTTCTTCCAAATTCCCGCGAACTTTCCTTCTTTACTTTACTTTGTTTTTATTCTCTTACGAGTTAAGATATACTATTTTACTAAGTACATAAATTTTTTAAGTTTATTTAATAGAATTTCTGGAAATAACTTATTATTAAGTTATTTATTGAGACGCTGTGGTAAAATTATTTTCATTTAATTCATTTACTTAAAATAATTCTTATTTACATCGTTCAATTGTTGTATTTTATGTATGTTTTAATTAACTTGTATTATAATCATGTATTTATGTTTTTAGGCTTTATCTTCGTATTATATATTAAATTGACGAACCTACGCCAGAAGTGTATTATTAATTCTACCCTGTGACATTGGTGGCCAGTGTGGTCTACAATAAGCCACAAGTTTTTAAAAGTTTTTGTCCTACTTTTCTAATGTGTTATATTGATTGTGTTTTCACTTAGTGTTAAAAACAGTTGTGATTTTAAATATTAATAATAATAGCTATACGTGTTTGTTATGTTTTGTAAGGGATGTAGATAGACAATAATTGATGTGTCATTTTTCCTTAATTAGAATAACTTTATCTTAACAAGTCGAATCGTTTGAAGGTAAGTTATAACATTAAATAATGGAATAATGGTTATCAATAAAAGTGCACAGATAGACCAACGTATATTTCCGAAATGTATAATTTGTATAAGAAATTATAATAGTACACGTGTTTGATTATATCGCGCCGAAGTAACAACGGTCATGTGTACGAAATTAAATTTTATCATAATTATATTACATATTTGAATTATGTATAGTATAATACAATTTTATTTGAAATCAATTTTGTGTCTACATGACTGAAAAGTTTATGCAAACTTTTAAAATGTTTTGATGTTAAACAAGATCTCGGAAAAATGTATAAACCGCCTGCGACAGTAAAGCCGTGATAATCGCACGCATGGTTTAATATTTCACCAAACATACAAGAATTGATAAATTTAAAAAAAATTTCCAAAATGAATTGTGTCAAATAATTGTCTTTCTTTTTTACACACACTTTTGTTATACAACACACAGGAGCATCTTGAAAAAAAAATGCATTTTTTACATTTCTTTTTTGTTTGTTGTTGTTGTGAATTCCATTTGAGAACATTTTATAGAAAAATTCGCATGCAACAGGTTGAGTATAAGACAACACAGTTGTGATTAGGGCGATAAATGGGCAACGGAATAAAATATACAAATGTACAAATGAGCCAAAATTGTTAAATATGTGGCGAATAGAATTCAGAGTATCAAACTGAATAAATTGATAATACTATTCAAACTGTTCCATGACAGTTCAAAATCAAAAGCATTCAATTTTGCCTAACTGACATAAGTTTAACTTTAAATTGTGCAAAACATTTTGAAAAAGAACATGAAAAGTTACGTGACACGCTATGTTTTTCATACAGTAATGTACTGCAAAATGAACTGTCAACATCGTCAGCGTAGGTGCCATTCATCGAACGTTTCGCCCCGTTATACGTAGGAAACTCTAATATGGTGGGGCCACAGTGGGGATCAAACCACTGTGTGTTGACAGTTAGGACCAGCTCTTTTCATCTCTTCTGAGCCACAATCAACAAGATGCCTTTTCAGCTGCACTACTGACTGAGCGGATGGCTTGCTTTCTCTGATGGCCAGTTATTCCTATCTCGGTCAGCATCTTCCACAATGACTTAGCTGGGAAGCCCCTGGTCCCGACTTCTACTGGGAAAAGCCAGGCTTTCCATCCTTTCTTTCTACAGTCTTCAGTTAACTGGGTGTACTTGGCTGATTTACGTTCGTAGGCCTCGTCACACCTCTCTTCCCAAGGTACCGTCAGTTCAATGAGCACAATCTTCTTGTCCTGGGGGGCCCACAATACTATGTCTGGTCGCAGAGTTGTCTGGACCACCTCTGGGAAAACAAGTCGCTTTTCCAGGTCTACTCTCATCTCCCAGGTCTTTGATGACTGCAGGACCCCACTCTTTTGTGCTCCAGTAGATCCAGCTTGGCCCTCGCGAACAAATGAAATTCCTGTCTCTTTCTGAGGGAGTTGTCTATGCTTCTTCCTTTCCCTCTCAAGGATGTCTGCTAACTGCCTCAAGACTCTATCGTGCCTCCACCTGTACCTGCCTTGTGACAGCGCTGTTGAGCAAGAACTAAGAACATGCTCCAGTGTTCCTCTCTTGCCACATAGAGTACACGATGGATCATCGATTAGTTTCCAGCGATGGAGATTAACTGGTGTCGGTAGAACATCATACACGCTGCGGAGAAGGAAGCTTATACGAACTGGCTCCATCTGCCAGATATCTGACCAGTTGAGTTTTCTCTCTGGTAGATTCCACTTGGTAGATGCTCCTTGACTCCCCATCTGTACCAGTTGTGCCATTCTTCGCTCCTCTTCACCCTTCCTAATTTCGGCCTGAATCATAGATCTTCTGTCTTGTCTGGATGATGTTGAGTACCTCTGACGTTCAACCACTCCAAGGCCTAGGTGCCCTACAGTTGTGGTACCAACAATGTCAGCATGTCTGAGGCGTGACTCTGCTGACTCCACTGCTTGGCTGACTGACCACTTTCTACCAGTCCTTAGCTCGATACCGGCTCCTCGAATGCATTCATCAGGAGAGTCCTTAAGTGTCATTAGTAAGCGAGCCTTGGAGACCTTGAACTCTTCGACCAGTGATGAGACTGGTAGTTGGAGTTCCCCTGTTGCAGTGTACAGACCTAGGCTTGTGAAACATTGCGGAAGGCCAAACCACTTCCGAATGTGCTTATTTATCTGACGCTCTAGGGATTCTGCTGTTGATGTTGGGACCTCGTACAGCATCAAGGGCCAGCTAAGCCTTGGTAGTAGTGAGTGTTGGTCGATCCACACCTTGAACTTTCCTGGAAGTCCTGTCTTGTCTATAGTCTTCAGATTCTGGCTCAGACTAACCTGGAGCTGATTGATAGCTTCCTTGTCCTTAAGGGTAGCATCAAACCACTTCCCAAGGCACTTGATAGGATTGTCTATGATCCTCGGGATGTCTTCGCCTTGAATCTTCAGGTCCACATGTGGCAGTATCTTCCCCTTCCTGAGTACAAGGTACCTTGACTTTCTTGGCTTGAACTTCATTCTTGCCCAGGATGCTGTTTTTTCCAGAACACCAAGAATCCATCTTGCTTGTATGTGGGATTCTGTTGTTATGGTTATATCGTCCATAAACCCTCTGGTTGGGGGCATCCTTATGCCAGATGTCATCTTGGGACCCCTTGTCTCCTGTTCTGCTGCCTTCAAGATGAGATTCATTCCAAGGACAAACAAGATGACTGAGACTGTGCATCCTGTAACTATACCCCTTTCTACCTTGATCCAGTCAGTGGTAAAGTCTGGAGTGCTGAATCTAAGACGAACATTGCTGTAGTAGCTTCGTATCAGCATCTTTATCTTGTCTGGGATATAATAGTGGTCCATGGCATGTTCAATCACCTTGTGTGGAATAGATCCATAGGCGTTGGCAAGGTCTAACCAAACTACTGTGAGGTCACTGTTGTTGACGCCAGCTTCTCTGATGAGCTGTGTTAGGGCTGCGGTATGTTCAAGACATCCTGAAAAGCCTGGAATGCCACCCTTCTGGACTGCTGTGTTGACATAATCACTTTCTGTCACAAAGGCAGATATCCTCTTGGCGACAATTGAGAAGAATATCTTGCCCTCTACACTCAGCAAGGATATTGTTCGGAACTGGCTGATGAGGTGTTAGGCATCCTTCTGCTTCCTTCCAGCAATCAGGTACTGTTCCTTTACGCCAGACGATCTTGATGAGGTACCACAGTTTCTTCAACAGCTTCGGGCAGTTCTTGTAGACCTTATAAGGGATCCCACTTGGTCCTGGGGCTGACCCTGATCGGGCCTTCCTCACCACCTCACAAACTTCTCTCAGTGTTGGTTCAGTCAACGTGAATGGATGTGCAGGTGGGTCCACTGGGCGTATCTGCGAGCATTCCCCCAATGGATCATCTCTCTGGGAGTCAGCGTGTGCTGTTTTCAGGTACTCCTCAGTTTCCTCTTTGCTGCTTGTCAGTCTTCCTGACTTCTCATCACTGAGCAGGGTTTTGGAGAACTTGTGCGGGTTGGAGATAAACGCTGCTCTCTGTCTCTCTCTTGTCTTCCTGCCTTTCCTCAGCCTCTCAGCTGTGGTCAGGCTCTTTAGCTTCTTTCTGATGATGTCCCTTAACTCGCTGAGACCAAACTTCTCTTGTTCAGTCGCTCTTTTATACTGCTTTCTTAATGAACGCAGTTCCCTTCTTAGGCGTTTTATCTCCATCTCCCTGCGATTTGTCTTGAAGGGCTTTGGGGCTTTCTTCTCTTGAATGCCAAACCTTTCCTTCCCAACTGCATATGTGATAGCTGAGAGTGTGCGTATTTTCCTGTCTACTTCGCCTTGGAGGGCTACACTGAGTATAGTATCAAGGTCACCATCAAACAGCTCCCGTGATTTTTTGTCTCCCTGTGTAGGCCACTTGACTTGCGGCTTCCGTTCTGTAGTGGGTTGTTGTCGCTGACTAGGTTCATCACGTGGCTGGGTGTTGCAGTCTGTATTGTTCGCTTGTCCATCTAACAGATCTGACAAGTTGGGATCCTGGCTGTCAGCCCCTTCATCATGAGCTTGGATGTCTTCAGCACTATGGTGATTATCCTGGCTGGAGTCTTCCTGCGTCTCACTTAGGTGTGAACCTTTGCGCTGCTCATGCTGTAGATGCTATAAAAGTATATATTCTGAAAGTAAAAACATTATCAAAAATTGTGCACAATTGTAGAACCATGTTTATAGCCTGAGACCTTCATAATCAGAGCTCTCTAACCAGTACGCTTTTTGGATTTACGTATCTTTATCCACTTTTATTTTTCTATAGTCAGTATAGTGTAATAAAAATGTAATAATTGAAGAACTTGCACAACCCATTAAATCAAAATGGTACGACCGATTAATGTAAATTATAGAAGTAATTGAATTTAGAAAGATAGTACATTTATTTACCATGCAAATGGTAAATGGTAAATGGTTAACACAACCAACGTTTACATTTCGCATACTATTTTTTAAGCGATTTGTTTTATCACACTTTAAGTGGGTGTGGCTGAACTTAAGCCTTGCATTTAATATGAACAGAACAGATTATTTATCTAATCTGTTACTACAACTTGCACATGCATATGATACGGATAAGGATAATGGGCAATCACGATAATATTAACGCACAACATTCAACATTCTAGCTGTTTCTCATAGCCAGAGTTCCTTTAAAGTCACATGCTTACCTAACTTTTTTGTCAAAACACTGACTGTTATTATGGTGATTTAACAGTTATTAATAAATATGTAGCATCCAATATAAAAAATGCTTAAAAATTAAAACACTGCCCCATTCTTTTTTATAAATTGAACATTTCCGATAAATACCGAAGGATATTAATATATATTAAGGGTCACGGGGTTACTGATTATTCAAGCAACGTTAACCATGAAACTAAAAACAAATATGACAATTTAAATTTTACCTGTGTTCAATAGTTTTAACAATTATAAAGTGGTTTTGTTCTGGTTAAGACCGTGGGATAATTACGCGAAACTACGCGTGTGATTATCATACGGCGGCGTAATAAAGGCCCGGTTATGGGTAGTGCCGTGATAATCACACGCAAGACTTTATATTTAATCAGTTTTATCCGAATGATAAATCTTTTTTCTTGCGTTTAATGGTTAACTTTTTTAGAACACTACTATTTGTTTTCTTACTAAAATAAAAATCAACTAACAATTTCAAAGTAAATATATGATCTACCGTTCCATCATCTTTACGAAAACCAGCCTTATCTTCACATAATAATCCTGAATTTTCTAGAAAAGTATTAAGTCTGTTATTAAGAATACTTGTGAATAATTTTCCTAAACAACTTAAAATAGTGATTCCTCTGTAGTTGTCTGGGTTATTTACATCACCCTTTTTTTTATGCCCCCACAAAGTGGGAGCATATAGCGTTGCACTTGTCCGTCCGTCTGTCCGTCCGCACTCACAGGAGAGTAATTATGTGGCTAGAGGGACAATAGGTAACTGTTCTTTCTCTTTGATGTCATTCATTCCGTAATGCTTTTATGTGGCTATTTTCTTTTGTGTGGCTAAAAAGAACAATAGAGAGAACAAAAGAGGAGCCACATAATTACTGTCCTGTGAGAACTTCCGTATTTCCGTCCGTCCGTACGTCTGTCTGTCCGTACGTCCCGGAATCTTGTGAACGCAACTCCTCTTAAACCAGATGGAAGATTTTGCTTAAACTTACAGGGATGAACAACCTTAATGTGTAGATGGTAGTAAAGGAAAGAATTTTCGCTGCGACCAAATTTAAGAGAATTATGGCCCTTTGTTGATTTTTTCACTATATACTATGTAGAAATTTTGTGAACGCAACTCCTCTTAAACCGGGTGGCAGATTTTGCTTAAACTTACAGGGAAGAACAACCTTAATGTGTAGATGGTAGTAAAGGAAGGCATTTTTGCTGTGACCAAATTTAACAGAATTATGGCCCTTTGTTGATTTTTTCATTATATACCATATAGAAATTTTGTGAACGCAACTCCTCTTAAACCGGATGGCAGATTTTGCTTAAACTTCCAGGGATGAACAACCTTAATGTGTAGATGGTAGTAAAGGAAGGAATTTTTGCCGCGACCAAATTTAACAGAATTATGGCCCTTTGTTGATTTTTAGTTTTCAACTTGTGGCACATGTAGTCTAAAAAATATTTGACCTAGAGTCATAAGATTGACAGAACAGTGGCGTGTGGGGGCATCAGTGTCCTATGGACACATTTCTAGTTATAAATAGGAAAAGTAACTCCTTTGCACCAGACTTTTGGGACACATGCTGATTCAAAAATGATATTAAACTATTTATTTAAAACAGGCAGCATAATATCTTTAGATTACTTGATATACTCATTCAATATATTGTCATGTATTATTACTTAAACCATTAATAGCATTCAATATTTCACTGTTAGTTATTGTGGAGTTCAATTCAAAATTATAATCTGACATATTGATGATGTCAAAATCAACATTCTCTCCCTCATTATTTTCATTCAACTGAAATGTTCATAAAAAGCCTCTGCACTTATATTAGACATGATTTTATTTCTTTCTCCCGAGTACTTATTCAGTAAAGACCAATAAGCTCAGGGGTCTGAATGACGTAAATTTCTGAACTGAACTTATTATTAATGGTTTTATTATACTTATGAACCTTTTATCTTATTTCCATTTTTATGCCCCCACAAAGTACGTCTGTCTGTCCGTACGTCCCGAAATCTTGTGAACGCAACTCCTCTTAAACCGGATGGCAGATTTTGCTTAAACTTCCAAGGATGAACAATCTTAATGTGTAGATGGTAGTAAAGGAAGGAATTTTTGCTGCGACCAAATTTAACAGAATTATGGCCCTTTGTTGATTTTTTCATTATATACCATATAGAAATTTTGTGAACGCAACTCCTCTTAAACCGGATGGCAGATTTTGCTTAAACTTCCAGGGAAGAACAACCTTAATGAGTAGATGGTAGTAAAGGAAGGAATTTTTGCTGCGATCAAATTTAACAGAATTATGGCCCTTTGTTGATTTTTTCATTATATACCATATAGAAATTTTGTGAACGCAACTCCTCTTAAACCGGTTGGCAGATTTTGCTTAAACTTGCAGGGTAAACAACCTTAATGTGTAGATGGAAGTAAAGGAAGAAATTTTTGCCGCGACCAAATTTAACAGAATTATGGCCCTTTGTTGATTTTTTTCACTATTTACCATATATATGTAGTCAGTGGGGGCATCCGTGTCCTTTGGACACAGTTCTAGTATGTACATTTTACTTGCACTTTTTAAAGACTCTAAATTTCCATTGGAATTGAGACGTCTATATTCTTGCTTTCATGTATACAGATCTTTTTCCCCTACATTCCTGACCATACCATGGTTTTGTTGATTTACATGCACTAGTATCCACCCTACTATTTACAACAGCAGTTTTAATCATGCGCGTGCATGCGTGCGTGCTTGTGTGTGTGTGTGATACAAAAACAAGTTACAAATCATTCAGCACAAATGTAAACTTTTTTTTTTAATAACATAATGTATTTTTACAAGGGTAATATAACGCGCAATGTCAATTTCGTTCTGGTTTATGGTAGACTGCCGTTTTAAACTTTATTATATATATAATTTATTATATCACGTTACGTGTCTATAATTTCCCGCTCATGATTTTCTCCCTTTCACACTCACAAACGCATGCACGTGTGCACGCACACACGCACACACACATTAAGGATTTTTGACATCACTAACATAAGCTGTCATCAAACACAGTCCTTTTCCATGCCTCACTCGCCTTTTAACATCCTAGAAAATGAAATATTTTACCAACAGTTACATCTTTTATTTAAATGAGACCATGAGCGATTTTTTAAAAGAAATTCGGACCAAATCACCTTTAACGTTTCTAGTTTCAGAAGGCTTACTTAACAATGCACACATGGTATGATATATTTTATATGATACATGATATAAAGCTAATATGCCCTCTTGATGAGGAGGAAGGGAAAGATTTGGAAATATCAACATCAACCGAAGTCGGTATAGCTGCATTTTTAAAAGATACGTTATGTTACCGCTATTCGAAGAAAAGTGTATCAAGGTATTTTGCCAGCCGATGTTATAATGATCTAAAAATAAAAAAAAAATGTATTGCACTGATGGTTAATATTCATAAACAGGGACAACTTTCCTTCATTTTGTGCGACTCAGATATTTTCTTTTCTTTTTCTTTACAATTAATGATACATCGAAACATCTGGATGCACGCATGCACGCGCACGCCCGCACACACACAATACTTTAATTATATAGATCTAAGACAATTCTACAGATAGAAGTTGTTTAATTATTTTTATTTTGTATTCCTTAATCATTAAATCTCATTTCATGCAAAAATAAGTTTGCTCTTTGAAATGTGATTGTGTTTTAATATGTTGACAAATATCATATTTTATAAGATCTTGTTGACAGTGACGATGAAATTCTTAGAGCTATGCCCTCTTGTTTAGGTTGCGCCACACCTTGCAAAAGTAAAAATCCTCTTCTTTCAATGAACATTGCCGGTAGCACCAGAAAATCGACTTTGGAACCGGACTTTGTGTGAAATTTATATGCATCCCGATCAAACTCATCCCCAGACTTTGGGGGGTTATGATCCAGGAGTACGGGAGGGTCTTGATTCACCATATTCCAACACATCTCTACACACTTGTCTATGTAGGCAATAAGTTTCTTTGATGTATTTTCATCATATAACTTTTTCTTTGTCCTTTGCATGGTCTGCAAAAATTGCTGAAATGGAAATATAATCACATTAACAGAGTATCCAAGTAGCTATGTGATTACATATAACTTTATGATTTCCATTAATAGTAGGTGGATATGTTACAAAATTGACATTAATATTTCCTTTTTTATAGTTTCTTTTAGTTTTAGAGTGAAGAGAGAATCAGAAATTACCTAGTTACGGTCAAAATTAAGATGTTAATCAGGCAATGTACCTTCTTTTTGAGAGAAAAAAAAACTTCTGTTTTTATAGCGAACAATTGAATAGAGGATAATATATTCAACATTACAATAAGATATCAAGCACGTACAACTTGAACTTTTGACAAGGCATCCATTACTGCAGATCGTTTTAAGTCTTTCACAAGTTTCATCCTGACCTCACCTATCACATTTACATCTACAGTCTGCAACATTAATTCATATTGAATGTGCTTATGCAGTGATATGTTCTTATATACCCAACTTGTATGATGAAATATTGAAATAAGGAAGATAAAATATTGATCAAAATCATGAATAAATTAACTGTTTATGCGCAAACGATATAATCACGTATGATTTAAACACTATTTTACGATTTCACATATTATTTCAACTCAATAACAATTTGTAAAATATCAACAATTATAAAAGAAAGAATTCAAGCGCACATAAATGTTTTGTTTTAAATTTCCTACCTTTGTGTCGGAAGAACGTGTAAACGGGTTGAAAAGGCTATCAATGAGGATATTTGTGTGATATTCGTTCTCACTGACACAAAACCAATAGGAATCCTGAAGACAACAATATTGTCTAAGTAGTCTCTCAATGTAACAGTAGTGCGTCTCAAAAATTAAACAACCTGCCACGGTATTTCATCGTAATTTTCAAACTGCATTTAGTTTCCATAGAACAGAGATATATTTGTACTTACAAAATAAACTATTCTCGATAGATTGAACTTTAAATGAGAAATTCGTGATCAATTTAACAGTAAAGAATATTTCTAACTGGTGATTTGGTTAAGTCGGAATAAATATGTGAGCATATTGTAAGTGATGGCAAGAGTGTAGTTAAGTTTTAATATTAAGATGGTAGTCTACCATTAAGATTTCTAGAAGACATTGAATAACAGTCTTTTCATCTTTCATTTCGAGCGTGAGTAGATGAAGTGAATCTGACCATTCAGTGTTGATAAGTTTCGAGTACATATCTGCAAGCTGAGTAGGACGAGAAATTTCATCTAAATTTGTCTTCGAGCAACTTGAGTTTGTCAGATTGTTTGGTATTGCAGAGCTTAATCTGAAGACAAAGCACATAAACTATACATCGTCCTTGGTTTGTTTATCTCTGTGGGTTTTTTTGTGTGTTTTAAGTGCAAATAATATCATACATATTTTGCTAACCATATACAAGTTCCAGTTTTGAAACATTAAACAGTGACTTCACTTAACATCATGTGTGCTGGTAACATTATGTTTTGACTTTATGACATCAAACATACAGTACTGAATGTAAATGTTTTTCAATGTTAATGTCAAATATATTATATTGCTAATTACCTTGTGAAAAGATCTTTCAAAAATGAATATTTCTACCTACACCAACGAAAACTGCTCAGGGCCAACTAGTTTTAAAGACTATTCGTGCACACAAATACTTGACAAATATTTTTTAATCTATACAAAGGGCTATATTTTATTCAAAATACATGCTAGAGTGGTCAGTACCTCCAGTTATGATCCCGAGAACAGACATATAGTTTCAAGTGAATAACTTCAGGAGCTCGGACTAGGAACTTTTTCCAGGATTTTATAATTTCATAAAGATCATAATTCTATCAATATACATGACAGATTTATGGGTTACTGGAAACGGTCTTCAGTTATGGTTGCAAAGATATATGTGAAGTTAAAAGCAAATATATTTGATGGTTGATGAGATATGAAGTTGTACAAGAAAATACGCTTAGTTATTGTCAAGTTCTTTTATGTCTATAAAAAACATGACATTAATATCGTTTTAATGAAATAAGAATGTTGATGAGATATGAAGTTGTACAAGAAAATACGCTAAGTTATTGTCAAGTTCTTTTATGTCTATAACAAACATGACATTAATATCATTTTAATGAAATAAAGTATATGCCCTGCCAGACATTGGTCATACTCGTATCCCTCAGTAACGATCGCCTTGCCATTTACTTTAAGAATCAGATCGTATACCTGTCTAAGAGCTCATTCCTCTCCATCATACTGAGTTGAAGTGATCTTTCTTTTATCTTCAACTCATTCCTGAGAAATTTTATTTCTCTTTCAGCCTTACTATACACGTCAATTTTCTCTCCCTTTTCCACACCGATATTCTCTATTTCTTCCGTTAATGACATATTCTTTCTTTCAAGCTTTGTTACTGATTCCTCTAACCTAGAAAGGAAGTAAAATGGTTGGGTGAAACCTAGATCAGTAAATGTCTCGATCTTAAAGTCTTAAAAGCTGCATTGCTTTAATACAATGGTTTTGTATTGTTTTATATATATAGTAAGTTACACTGCAAATACTATATTATGCTTGCAACTATCATTTTGTTGTCCTATTCATGTTTAGACAGAATCATAAAAACATGCTTTAATTTCTAGTACTTTGATATTGACTCATCAAAACCACAGCATCATGTGAATGTTCATGATTCATGTACAATCAAATTATTTCAAGTCTTAGATGTCTGTTATTTTGTTAAATAATAAAATCTGATGAATCTTCAACTTTAACATAGATAAAGATATGTATTTAAGATAATGTACATACAATATCACAAAGGAATGAACAATGATTTTACACGCATTTGAGAAGTAAAGACATCCCAAAGAAAAATAGAATATGAGATATAAAGAGAAAACATTGATATTTTACATCTTTATTTTCATCTGTTGATCATCAATTGTTTTCATGAGGACACTTTGATTTGCTTGCATTGTATAGTATTCTTCACGAGAAATATCTGCCTCTTTCCTGTGTTGTTCTCTAATCATAAAAAATCGTGTGTTTATGCAATCGTATCTTCTAAACCTCGGATAAGGACCTCTAACACAAAAGTTAAGGTCTATAATTCTTCATAAATGCTTTTATTATATTTCTCAAAAGTTTATTTTTAATTTTTGATGTCTATTATTGTTTCGAAAAAAACTTACTCATCGGTCAATTTTCTGTCTTGGCAATTAATATTGTATTGATTCACTTTATTTACATTTTGTTACTTTAATGGAAAATATTTCGCATTCATTTATTCAAAGTTATATTTTAAGCTGATAATAATAAATAATAATAATAACTTTATTTACCGAAGGTAACACATTAAGACATATACAGATTGCAACATGTTATTTACAATGCGGTTGATCTTACATACTCTTTAACCAGATTAAACTCATATTTACCCTTCTGAGGCATAATAAAAATACACAGAATGGATACGGTTTTTGGTGTAGCCTACGCTAAAAAACTAAACATGTAAACAAATAGTAATTAAATGCTGGGAGTTGTTGACTTATTTTCATTCCAAATACCGATTAAATGTCCACATAAATTAAGTAAAATTAAAGATACAAAAGTAAACAGTACATAAAAGTTAGTTTAATCTGTAGGTCTTGGCCACATTCCTCAGTAGCACAGTCGGTTAAGTGATATCCCTATATAAAAAAAGTCCTTTGGTTCTAGCCCTACTGTTGCCCCTTTTCTTTAGTTTTGCAGTATATGTTAATAAAAATGTAGGCACGGATGAAAAACAACCCAGAGCACTGTTTTATCTCGTTTTGTATAGTATCTTACGAATTGAAATTGCATCTATTGATTTTAATCCGATTGAAGTTTAAATAATTTAAAAAGACCATATAGACTTTACCAAAATAAGAGCAAAATATTTTTGGACAAAAAGAGCAATATAACAAGAGGGTCATAATGGGCCTGAACCGCTCACCAGAAACAACTGTTTTCAGTATTAGAAATATTTTTTCAAATGAACTTACCAAAAGGCAAGTCCAGATCATCTTCAACTTGCCCCTCTTAGTTAAATAGTTTCCAGACACTGATTGTTATATTTTTCTTCATAATAAAAAATTGAACCTTTCACCCAAGTTCCTTATCACTGTACATCTGGCAAGTGAAGCATGTCAACTCACACTCCCTAATTTCTCTTCCATACTGCAGCTTTTTTAATTCCATTTTTCGTTTAATCAATTTTAATCAGGATAACAGTTTGGCTATTTAACAACTTAAAAAGAAAAAAAAACTAAAAGAGAAGAATGGATAAGGAATGTTGGGTTGTTTTTCGTGAAAAATGAACTTGTTTCGCGGAACCGTAAATATTGTGACTAACTTGCCCAGCCATTTTTTTCAATTTTGCCGGGCAGGTGGGCGAATGTTTGTTTAACAATGTTTTTTGTAGAGTACAATCATTTACATTTTTATTTTTATTTATGTTTAAAATGTATTTGCGTATTCTATGAGTTAAACAAGCACACTATTTTTTAAGGAAAATAATGGTTATATATGATGTTTTTTGGGGGCATTTTGTTATGCTGTATTTTTTAATTTGATTCTTTCGAAATACTTTTCGTCAGATTATTATATTTTCTTGTTTATATTAAAATGAAACGTTTTTTTAATTATTGAAATTCAGAAATATGTAAATTTTCAATTAGCCAGACATGTTTATTGCAATTTACGGGTCTGACACATTTATGTTTATTTACGTCACATATATGACAACATGATTATTATCATTAATTTTATCTAAGTCATTTATTTTGAAGTTTTCTAATCTGATTATCTGTTTGACTTAAGAAAGGAATTAACATGCCGCTGGCTTTTGACATCTAGCGTGTTAATCAGTCTAAATCTAAATCATTTTGATTGGTCAAATCGATAAGTTCATAATAGATATAGTGTATATTTTCATTGGTTAATATTTTCTTGTTTAAGAATCTTTTTTTCATTGGTCCATTATCGTTTCGACTTGGTAACAATTATTCTTATATTTTTAAAGAAAGAATGAGACATAACGTTTAGAGACTTCTCTCTTTCCCTCGGTACGTGTACGTCGTTGAGAAGACACAGGGCATCGGCAGAAGATTTGAAGACTGGGAACTTAGGTTCTCATTTGACCGCCGTACAGTGACCTACTTTTGGCTCTTTGGCTAATACTTCGTGGAAATTGCATGGAGGTAGATTATCACCACTTTGTGCTTCAAAATTAACTCTTTAAGGGCATGACTGGTGACTGGGGTCCGTACTCGACAGCGAAAGCTGCATTTTGTGCCCTTACGGGCGGATGGACCCTCATTAAGCATAGACTACATACATACATAACTTTTAGACAGACACTTATCATTTAAAGTGTTAGTGTCTTAGTTTTCTGCGGCACATTTTATGTTGCTTATATTGTTGTTTTCAACCGGTTGGAATTTATGTTATTAAGAAGGGAAAAATGTTATAAAAACGAGAAAAATGGAATTACTGACTTATGATATATTAATTAATAATGTGAAGGATAAAAATTTGGACATTAATTGCTATTACACTTTAACAGAGTAATTACAAAACACAGAAAATAACGACACAGAATAATTTGTTAAAGAATATTATGGAGACGGAAACATCCAACCCTCCCCCTACCTCAACCCACCCCCAAACCCCAACGAACCCACGCACCACAATTTTAACAGCGAATTTTGCAGTTGCTTGGTTTTGGCTGTATACTTCTTAAGAATTTTGGATTTCAATACTATCATGCTTCATAAGGTAAAAAATATGTAGCGGTAACATGTCCATTTAAAGTAGGTAGGGTATGTAGGCTTTCTTACTTAAAAAACCCCCAGAGAAATAGTATTAATAATAGGTATTGTTACTGTCACTTCGGCGTTACCGTTGTCGCCTTGATCATAACTGTTTAATTTCTCGGTGTATTGTCTTAATACTTAGCCACAACAATCCTTGGGAAAAGACCTCTAAGTAGACAAGACTAACTTTGACCTTCATTCATAAAGGACATTGAAAAGTCTAAATTTTGCTTGTTTTTTTTTTGTTGCTATAAGTGGCTATAACTTTGTCATTTTTGAATGGATTGTCTTCAAACTTGAACAAAATAATCTTTAAGGATAGACATTCATGTTAATAGAGAGACATTGACCTTCACTCGTAAATGACCTTGGCATTGAAGGTCAATTTATTGAATTTTTCATTTTATTTGCTGTTTTTTGGCTATAACTTTGTCATTATTGAATGGATTGCCTTCATATAATAACAGAACATTCTTTAGGATATGACATTCGTGTATATTAAGCTCAAATACAATACATTATTGAATTTTCACTGACCGTAACTTGGTAATTGATAAATGGATTATCTTCATACTTTGACAAAACAACCTTTTGACAAAAATAACAAGGTCAATTATTGAAATCTGGTTAAATTGTCATTATTTTGTTACTTATATACGGATTTGATTCATATGTGGACAGATCAAAAAGATATGTGGAATAATTTAGATATGACATTGACCTTTAAATGACCTTGATTGTCAAATGATTGAATTTTGATTATATTTTCTTAACTGTGTCATTTATTTATGGAAAGGATTCATACTTGGACAAAACAACAAGTGTGACTAGACAGATCTAATAAAATTGAAAAATACAGGGACGCAATAAGCCTTACAATGGTGAACATTTGTGCCAAGCTACATCAAAATCCCCCGAAAAATGTAGAATTTCGGCTCCGAGCAAGCATTTGCAATGACCTCTAAATATGAACTTAACCTTTAACCTAGATACCTGATTCATGCACGTGACACTGTTTCTCATACTGGTGAACATTTCATTTCAAGTTCCATTAGAATCACACGGTAGGAGGAGGTGTGGAGGAGATACGGACACAATTTCTATATTTTAACATCTTAAGTGACCCTTGACCTTTCATATATTAACCTTAATTACGTGTTTCACACCAGTAGTTATGATAATGATCATTTGTGTTTCAATCTCTCAATTTGAAAATTTGTATGAAGCTTCATTAGAATCCCTCCATATGTGTAGCAAATATGCCCGTCGCAAAATCTCCATATTTGATCATCTTTAGCTACCTTGACTATAATCTTAAGTGACCTTGACCTTCCATATATTAAACTAAATTACATGGTTCACTATAGAAGTCATAATAATGAACATTTGTGCCTCAATAAATGGTGACTAAATGGTCTGAATACACATTTTCATATTATTATCTGAACTTTGAACCCTATGTGTGACCTTGACCTCGGTCAAAGGGATCTAAATTTTGCAAGCAACACTCTGCCTTACAATGCTGAACATTTGTACCAAGTTATATTAAAATCCCTCAATGCATGTAGAAGTTTTGCACCGGACAAGCGTTTTTCAATGACCTCTAAGTGTGACATTGACCTTTGACCTAGAGGCCTGATTTATGCGCGCGACACGGATTGTGGTGAACATTTCTATGAAGTTTCATAAAAATACTTCTATGCGTGTAGAGAGATATGCTCCGGACAAAAAATGGACGCTGCCGTCCAGAAAAAGTTAATTTCTACATCCCCTTAATTTTGTTTTAGATACCTTACTCTTTATTATCACATATATGTACTTAGGTGAGTAAGAGTAAGGTATCTCAAGAGTTACAAACAAATGTAGAATCGAAATTAACTTATTGAAGATAATGAGTATTTAAGCCGAGTGACATAAATTACTGAAAATCTAATATATGAAAAGAAGACCCTTGTTGAACTCATTAGAATTCCTTGACCTCACTTTTAAATGGTGAACAATTCTATTTCCTAATCAAATATTCTTCTATATGACTTTTATGATTAATGTTTTGGTTGCATTTGTAAAATAAAAATATAAATAAATGTAAATGCTATGTTAAAGTGCAAACTTACCTACTTCTCCCATTAGGTTCGTCTTTGTTTAAAGTCTCTGATAATATAGCTCTGTTGTATGACATGCCACTGTCATCAATTTCTTCACCGTCTCTAAATAAAAGTCGTAATACATATCATAACAGGTAATACACATTACAATGCAATCTTAATAACAAAATACCTTTGAAGTATTATATTTATCTTACTTCGATCCAAACTTGTCAACACAGTACACAATCCATATACAACATATACAACACAATTAATAGAGTTTATAAACGGCATTTAAGATTCAGTATCTGTGGCATCATATGCAAAACTTCAATCTATAAGATGTAATATAAGAGACTTTAAGAAGATAAGAGCTTATCATTGTTAAAATATGTATTACATTGATAGATAATGAACTGTTGTTGATGTTTTTTACTCTATCTCAAATATTCTATTTGCTTGGGTAAAAAGGAGGGGGGGGGTCAAAAATATTGAAAACTCTCAAAAGTTGTCTTAAGATCAATACAATACTCATAAAATCAAAATAAAATACTCGTTGAATTATAATTCTAAATACTCTTCCTGATACAGTATCTTAAAAATCTAACTTTAAATAGAATGATTCAATATTTTAAGGGTATGTAAAATATTTTATTATACCAAAGTAGGTTTAGACAATAAACCTTGCACAACTCTGATTTAAAAACAAAAATATGAACTTAGTAATAGTTGTCAAATACTAAATTGTGTTTTTTGTATTTTCTGATCGCAGATCTGAAAATACAATGCTGACATTCAATCTCTTAGTTCCCAAAACAGCTTAAAACTAGCGATGTAATAGAAAGATGTTACAAGTATCCAACAAATTACAACGCATTCAAAGTTTAAAAGTAGAGTTGGCTTATAGAATTGTCAATAAATGCACAATCACAAATTACACGGATGAATATCATTTTAATCAACGAAAATGCTATTTTTAGCGATGTCGATTACCAGCGTAGTACACAATTAAATCTGACTGTCGAGTAGAGTGGAATATATACATGTCGGACCGTTTTGGCAAGAAGTTTTCCGCTAAATTATTAACATCAGTGTTAAACAACAGTTTTATCGTGAACAAAATACCTCGAAATAATAAGTTTTACAAACCCCGAAATGGAAATTCTAAATTTAGAATTATTTGATTTTATTCAGGCTTTCTTCGTGTAACTTCCCGGTAGTGCAGGGGTAACGCGCTCGTTTAGGGTATGAGAGGTTCAAATCCCAGTCGAGGCATTTCTTTAAGTGTCTTTTTTAAGGATGTAGCCACGATATGCAAGGATTTGTCATAAAAATGAACATAATTGGTATTTGATGCAACTCTAGTCATCCAAAATTCCGTATGTATCAAACTCAAACTGTTCTAGTAAAAAATCTAAACGTAGTCGCTGCATCTCGGTGCCCTGTAAGATGAATTATAGTATATAAAAATAAACTTATACAGGAAAATACATACAGATATACAGTACGATTTAGATTGCAAAGATCAGAAAATACCATAGACCTTGCAGCCCTTTGATTAACAAATATTTTTACACACACAGAACATTCCATTACAGCATGGAATTCACTCTCTACATTATCGTGACTAGCCTGGGTTCCAATCGTTGCTTCTGTTCGGCATATCGACAGTTGATATTATCAAAATACGATTGATGTATAACTGGTAGGCATTCTCATCTACCGGTTGCTTTTGCTTTCAAGTCCTAAATCTGAATGTAACGTGGCAAAATCAGATTGAAAAAGCCGAATGTGCGATTATTACTAGTTGCATTCCATTTTGTTATGGACATTGCAGCATAGTTTGGGTTTGCATTATAGTTAGTCCAGACACAAAGTTCTGCGTAGACACTAAAAATATGTAGGTTTTTACGTCCTTCACCACCACATAAATACTGTATAATATGTTCTAGACCAATGCATTGTACGTAACTTTAAAACCTACTGAACTGATGTATATATAATCATTATTATTATTATTATTAAATACCAAACTTCTTAAGCACTTTTTTCCATGCACATTGACACGTTTAAAAGTACTGTACAATATAACCAAATAAATGATACAATATTTAAAAGAAAAAATAAATTAAAACATCAATATTGCTCAAGTCACAAATTCAAATCAAATGTATTTTAAAAAAGTTAAAAGGACCCACATAAAATATAAAATTCAGGTAAGAACCTAAAACATAATCAGTCTAAATAAAACCTCTTAAATAAGTGAGTTTTAAGTGCTCTCTTAAACACTGTTAGAGTTTCACAGCTTTTAACTTTAAGTGTTCTAGGTAGGGCATTCCAGAGTTTATCACCATAAGTCACAGTCCTACTACGCGGAACAACAAGTGCTAAGCAATTATTCTGGGACCTTAGTTGTCTGGATGGGGTATAAATTTCTAGCATGTTTCGTATGTACGTAGGTGCCTATCCATGAAGCGCCTTAAACACATATGTAAGGAGTTTGTACTCGACTCTGATGTGCACAGGAAGCCAATATAGTTCCTTTAAAGGTTATGTGGCAGTTTCGCGGTGCCCTGGTAATAACACGAGCAGCCGTATTTTGAACATTTTGGAGCTTGTTGAGAACGTTCTTTGGAGATCCATATAGCAACGAATTACAGTAATCTAATTTTGATGTCACTAACGAGTTTATCACGGTTCTGGTTGAATCAACAGTCAAGTATTTCCGAATTTGACCTATTTGTCGTATTTTCATGGAGCATGAACGAGAAACTGAGTTCACATGTTGTTCCATGTCTAAATGAGAGTCCAATACGGCGCCAAGGTTTCTTACTGTTGTTGATGATTTTATTACAGAATCACCGACACTTACATTAAGATCTTCAATTTCACTTCGTTTTGGTACAAAGACGATCACCTCTGTTTTGTCCGCATTGAGTTTCAGAAAGTTATTATTCATCCATAGTATGATGTCATTCAGGTATGCTTCAATCCGTCGCAAGGTCTCAATTTGTGAAATGGCTTCCTTTGGTTTAAATGCCATGTACAATTGCGAATCGTCAGCGTTGAAATGATGTTGTAGTTTATGCTTCTGATAGATTGCGCCCACATGTTTGGTGTACATGGACCCTTGTGGAACAGAAAATGTCATACGTACAGGTTTTGACAGTTCACCATTGGCGAAGACAGTTTGATGACGCTCACACATATATGATTTCATCCATTGTAAAGATTTGCCTACTATTCCGAAGTGTTGTTCGAGCCGGCAAAGGAGGGTACTATGGTCGATCGTATCAAAAGCAGCAGATAAGTCCAACAATACAAGAACAGTAGCTTCATTCTGATCAAGAGAGCGGAGAATGTCATTTTGTACACATAATAGAGCAGATTCTGTTGAATGAAACTGCCTATAATTAAGCAGACTGACGCTCTTCATGAAGTTTATGTGCAGAGATAGGTGTCTTTCAAGTTTGGGAATCGACAACTTTCTCGAGAATTTTGGAGACAAACGGTAAATTAGATACAGGCCGGTAGTTTTTCATAACCTCTTGATCCAACCCTGACTTTTTGATTAAAGGTCTGACTCTAGAACTTTTAAAAGCGGGTGGTACATAGGCCCTCTCAAGTGAAGTGTTTATGTTATCATGTATATGAATCATGTATATTTCATTACATGTTTAAATTTGGTGTGGAAAAAAAAATCCCTCAAACTAAACATAAAGTAAACAATGATGCACAATTAATAGTACACCATGTGTAGTTATTTTATTTATTTTATCTGTGAATACTGTAACATTCAGTGAGGCACATGTATTATAATTATACTCCATAGCAATTTAAATATGTCAATAAAAGGGAAGTAACACAATTACCAGTCTGAAAAATTACTACATTACATACATGTACAAGAAAAGCATTGATGCAAAGCATCAAAGGGCGTCCAAGCAAGAAATGCAGCAAGTGAAGATGAACTAGTACACATATGATGACAAGATATTCTTATAAACTACCAGAAATGTATACCACTTATGAATGAGCGGACGAAAGACATTGTTCATTATGAACTTTGATTGGCATGCTAGAGATTAGAATATTACTTGTTATTTCTTTATGATCGTGGTTATTAATAGCAACGGATATACATGTATGCAATCATTTATAATCCATATGTGTAACGCATGATCAACACGTACCACACGTATTTTTCTTTATCATTTTTTAAATTATCGATCAATTGAATAATTCATAAAATCTAATTTGTAACTTTGAATAATTCCTCGGCATCTTTACTAAACACGGATAACAAATTGAATAATTAAATAAAATGTTTCAAAGTTGATAATGTCATTTTAATACCATAAAAAATGTACCTTTTTCTCAATTATTGTACATATCACGGATTTATATTACATATAAATCCGTGTACATATTTATTGTTTTTATCTCATATAGATAAAATGAAACATGCTATTGTTGTTTTTTTCTAATTGTAACGATATCAAACATCTACTCCAAAACCGGGAGAGACCGGACAATAAACGTGTGGTACTATTCGCCGGTCACTAGTAAATCCTGGTCAAAATAGACCGGGAGAGACCGGCATTTACCGATAGGAGTGATAAAAAGATATATCTATAAATAGGTTTTTGGAATATTTAGGTCATCAACTGATCATTCTAGGATACATGTACAACAATAACATACCATGATAACCGACTGTGTACTACAAAATGATAAATAAAAAATCCCGAAGAGCGCGATTTATTGACGGAAAAGGTTATTTCATTTGAAAATGTTTGCATTGCGAAAATTCATTGTAACATATCGCGACATTTCATTCTTATTTAATAATCAAGCACCCTCATACCGATCGGAATTATCGGCTTTTATTATGACCGACTAAAAGGCTCGAGAAGTTGCTGTCGCCCTTTCACAAAATCTGATCTCATTCCATAAGAGCGCCGCGCTTCGGCGCGGACGCCAATAATATAAGTTATCTTTCTTGACACTGTAACACTTTGTAAGTTAGCCTATTTTGAACGGTTTGATCCATTTAACAGATTTTGTTGTTTTTCCTGCTGTCACACCGTTATTGGAAAAGACAAATTAAAGCCCGTCCAAAATGTATTTTGATGTCTCTTTGACAAGTGTAATTAGTTGAACTAATTATATATAAATAAATCATGAAAAAAGGGGTTACCTCTTTATCTGCATGTTCATATTGCGGATTGATGAGTGAATGCGCTTTGTTTCCTCGTTCATGGCTTTCATTTTATCAGACATCGATTCTCTAGAATTAATGTAGACGATTTCTTCATTATAATATTATCACAACACACAATAAAGAACTACTATTGTGTTAAGGTAAATGATTGGATGTTAACATTTATTTCTGTTATCTCATGCTAGGTTGTAATAATGATAAGTTGTTTATGAAATATAGAAAAATTCACAGAGCCCGGTTTTTAAGTATTTGACTGCATGTAAATTTTCACGATATAAATGTACTGTATGAGTGCCCATTGGAACAGTCAATCAACATTTTTTCACGAAATACAGACAAATGATTGATGTGCTTGCCTTGCTCTATATTGATTTCATATGTCTGCTTTTATGATGTTTTATACAGCTTTAAACAAAAGCAAAGACATTTTAAAGTATTAACAACGTGTAACAACAAATGACTCATATCAATAAAAACTTACAATCATATCAATAAAAACTTACAATGTGGGTATAGTTTCCGCTGGTACTTTTATCTTCACAGATTTCACTGAATTCTGTTTCCCCTGTTTCTCCCACTTCTCATTTTTGTCATCAATAAGGACCGGCGGAGGGATCTGTTGATGTCAACTTAATTGATCATAATACAGATAGGAACGAATAGGTGTACTATTCTGATGGATTTTTTCGCTCGATATTATCGAGACAACGGTATGATCCCACAGAATAGCAATCCACCAGGATAGCACCGTGAATATGTCATTGTGTTAAAATGTCTTTTGCAGCGTTAAAAAAAATCAAATAAAGCAAAAGATTATGTTTTTTGTTATAAGTAGGCTACAAACCGAATCATTATTAATACAATACGAACACGAATGTACAAGTATATGTATGTGTGTTTGTCCGTCGAAAATGACCTTATTTTCTTCAACAAGTTATATGTATAATAAAAAAGATTTTTATTTTATGCAATTTGAAAAATAGATTTTTTTAAATTTGCATATAGAGAAATACCAATTTCGCTAACATATACATGTAATCAAGTTATTTAAGCTTTTATTTGTAGCTTTTTAATTTCATATTAAAAAACAAATAAGTTATTATTTGTTAATTTTTCCTAATTTATACTCATCAATGCAGAGAAATGGTGAATCACATTTTCTAAATTTCATTAGATCAAAAAGAAACGAAATATTGAAAATAAAAGCGATCAAATATGAAGTATCTTTTAAATCATTGAGACATGAAAGATAATGTTTCTACTCACATATCTGTCTAAGATTTCATCAAGTCTGTGTATGATTTTATTAAAAGTGTACATTTTATTCTGTCGCTTTTTCCTCACGTGTATTTGTAAATCTTTCCTTATCGGAATAGCCATTGTGTATTCTCCCTGTAATCATCATTACGCAAATAAAGTAAACTTACTTTGTCAAAATCAAAAGTTCGAAAATTATTTGAACGACTGAACTTTCTTAAACTGGCTACATTTACTTGCATTTGCTATTAATATTTTGGTGATGTACTAGATATGCCTTTTATCATGTCTTACCAAAAAAGTAAGCATGACTTACAAGTAAGCGTTTTCTTTTAATACGAAAGTGACCTTAGATATCCGAGGTAATTTTTTTCTTTCTGAAATATCTTCATATCTTTTAAAGATGTTAACAATGAAGCATAAAGCATTTTCTTTAACACCAAAAACTGGAAAAAAAGATAACAAAAATAATACTTGTGTCAGGTTAGACATTAGCTTTGTCCATATATCTTGTGTCACTCTCTCTGCCAAAACACCTTCTTTAACAAGATCTGCATTCACTTCCTTTAATATAATCTCCAACTTTCTAGCATTAAACGCCATTTTTTATTAAAATTGTTTGTTCTTCATTTATTTTCTGTAACGTTATGATTATATCATAATATAAATTCTACTTGAATACTTAAGTACTTATATTAAATAGATTTTCACAATACGACAGTAAAATATCACATTTTTTTTATTTATTTATTTTTTATTTTGCTAAAAACAGCACGTTTGTTTTGGGTAAAACGTATTAGTCTTTTATTGAAATCTTGAACATTGTGAATAGCTTTTGTAGAACGATATACGTTCTATTGTTTCAGTTTTTACTGATCATTGTCTGTTTTACCTTCTATCGAATTGAATCAATGTATCGGGTTATAATCATTGGCGTAGTAGAATAACAGTTTAAATTGAAACAAGTATACACATTTACAATTTAAAAATAAAACTTTACATCACATGAATGAAAAGATAAAGGTTAAGAACCGAAAACTGGTGCTTATTTAGGTCTTATCCTAGTATTTATTTGTTAGAATGTCAGTCAGTATATGTAAGTACATGGATATGTTTTACTTATAGACATATTTTGAGGAAATATCATTTAACATGACCATTGATTAAAATAAATGTTAGATTCGTTTTAATAGTATAAACTCCAACTCAATAGTTGTACAGATACTTAACGCGCGACAAACTTGTCTATATAGGTCAATCCAAAAATGAGAAAATTTGCAAAATTCTACAAAATCGGATTGACCACCTTTTTTTCATAAACAATGAAATTTCGGCCAATCACACCAAAGGAGGAATCACATTTGAACCTATGAAAGCCAAGAAAACTAATTACAGGTGTTCGGTTAAAATAACAAAATTATCAAATAATTTACAGCTAAAACAAACTTGTTTTTACGAATTTGGCACTCTAATGTACGTATCACTTATATAGTTAGCCTCTCCTGACTTAATAAATAAAGACCACATTGAATATATTTGGAATTATTCTAAAAATCGTTTCACACAAGTTTAATGAGTACGTTATAGCGCCATTTATTATTATTGTTATTATTTAACAATAACCTATTATTTTGAAAATGAATGCAGTCATAATAATAATAATAATAATAAATAATAATAATAATAAATATTTTTATTTTTGTTCGTTAATATTCGTACGTGTTCCGATTTTTAACTTATATGGTTATGGTCAGTGAGCCATGCACTGACTGTATACGTATTGTTTGGTTTTATTAACCTGTCAATTACATACTGATTACACGTCGATGCACACAGTATATTTATCTTCGGTAGATTTTCGGTAAGTTCCGTGAGATGTACGCTGTACGATGGAATTTAATTTAATTTGTATCTCTCAACAAAGTGTACTCAGCGTTATAGCGCAATAGGGTAAAGCACGAGCTTATACTCTAAGTGCCACACGTGTTTTAAGTTCGAGACCGCGTAGGTCTATGTTTTTATTTTCTTATTAATACTTTCAACAATATTGGAGCTATATATGATTATTTCATGTTGTTCGTTTTGTTTTATTATGTTTTACTTAATTTTGTTATATCTATATTCTTTTTAAATAACATGTTTTAAGAATTCATGTTTAAAATTAAAACGGATTTAAATCAATAAATGTCTTTCCAATGCTGTAAAACACACTACAAACTGTCCCATTAAAATATACGGCAAAAATAAAGAAAGAGTACTAAACAATGGCAACAGCAAGGATCGAACCACAGACCTCTAAATTATCAGGCATTCTCTTAACCGACTGTACTATTGTGAATTAACGAAAATCTTCACATTAAGCTGGCGTGACTTTCAATCCATGACTAATATACTCCACATTAATTCTCGTAAACTACACGGACCAAACCGAAGTGGGATCGAATATTTAAATGAGTTCTATAATGTATGCATAATTGACAGGTCAATAAAATCAGACTATAAACCAGTGTTATAGGTGTTTTGATCATTCGACGCTATAGACGCAATAACAATAAGTCCCACCCATCAAGTCCCATATACATGTATGTATTTGCTCGTTAACAGTGTCCTTTTTAGCTTATAAATTTAATGAATCATATAATGATATTTGTTGATTATATACATGTATTACAATATCTTTATCTGTTTCAGATAAACAATTTTCTGTTGTTTCAAGTGTGACAGTATTAACGCGTGATTGTGCGGTACCTGTGTAGCGGTTTCATGAACTGTTATCGCATTAAGCGATTGTTATCGCATTAAGCGATGCTTGTGTTTTTTTCCCCAATCTGTTAATGTATAAATGTATTTACACACGTTGCCAGGCAACTTACCGCGTACATGGTTGAGCGGGGTTATGATTGTCGCCTGTGTTTAATTTTGGCGGGGATGTGCACGTGAAAAGTATGATACATGTATATGGTATACTATAGGTGTGTAAAATTTGCTTTTCGGCTGTTCAGACGAGTTTTATCTTAACTTTACATTATATTTAGAAAATTGCGGTAGTTTATGTAGATTATAACGTCGTAAGATACACTTTTTTTTTTCAATCATTGTGTATAAATATAGTATTTATCAATGCATATAAACAATCTTGTTTTTCTAGTTTCAGATTCTGATGTATGATATGCCAGGAATGCTTGTTTAAAAAAAATAAATAGATGTTTCGGGGGACGAGAAGACGTCCATGTTGGTCTTGAGCCACAGGAACTTCCCACCTCCCCCTCCTAAAAATAAGTAAAAGGAGTTAGGGTTGGGTGGCCTGCGCGCAGCATCCCGATTTAAGAGTTCATGAATATATTATATGATTGTATTTTTGTATGTGTATACTTTATTGTAAATTCAAACATTGAATATAGGAGTGATTATTATTTAAATTTAAGAGGCATTTTTCTTGTATTTTTTTCTCGTTTTTGTTTTTGTAGAACAATCAAAGTAACAGGGTCATTTTTATCAAATTACTAATTATCTTTAATCATGTGCCGAAAACATGTATCTAACAGTCAAGTTTTCTTTGTGAATTAGATTTTCCATTTAAAGATGTTATGTTATTTGTTGTATGGGTCTCCATTTTTGTTAGTTAATGACTGTCACGAATTACATCTAATGAGTAAAATATGTTTGTTGGTTTTTTTTGTCTGTTGTTTTTTTGTCTGTTTTTTTTTCGTTGAATGATACGAAATCAGTTTAAGTTTAACCTGTCATTTGTTAATCTTTTGTGTATAATGTCATAGTGGTTGTGATACGAATAAATTATGTTTCTTTCTATGTATAAACTCGTCAAATAAACGGCTGGAACAATCGCTCTTAGCCAATTGCATATAAAGTGTTTACTTGTTTTGTTGTAGTGTAGTATATGTAAGTTGAAGGGCTTAAGCTTGTAAATGATTTATGCTCGGTTGAAAGAATTGAATTAGAGCATAAGTGCGCTGACACATTTACCACTCATCCTTCGTGGATGAAACTAATGTGCGTTTGAGTTTATATATGTTTAATAAACGCTTTGTCCAGTATTGGTCACTCCTATTTAGTCGTTGTTGTCATTATTCCTTACGATAATACCGTTTAGACAATTAATGATTTATGTTTGGCTGAAAACATAACTTTGCACATATACATATTGTAATACCATATCAAGGACTTATTATCAGGAAAATAGGAAAAAATACGCTATAAAAATAATATGTACTCATAAAAAGTTTGTTGAAAGAGCTTCATACGTCTTTTTTTCCTTCAGCGAATGTCTAACGTGTACTCCGAAGTATTCGTTATTAAACGACAATTTCGTTAGAATTTTTGGTATAACGAACGTTTTTAGATTAGAGGGTAAATTACTAACTAGAGCTTAGATGATCGTAACTCTAACGAATGTTTCTGGTTACTCACCCCCTGGAAGTGTAAAAAATGGCGATAAACAAGAATCTTACAAAAATTTGTTTTTATTTATAAACCACAAATCTAATTGGCATACGTCACGTTAAAATTGAAAATATATGTATAAGTTTGACACAAAATATTATCCCGATAGCCAAACTTAGGTTTATGGATTGCCATATTTTAATTAAGGCTTATTAACAAAAACATTACACTTACAAGATTTAAGAAACCTATTGACTAATTAATATAGTCTTTATTCGTCCGCCATTTTTGCAGTAAACAATCGAGTCGTCGCTAATAGCAACCAAACTATCGCCACTGACAATGGTTTTTATTCTCTTTCTATATTGCGTATGCAATAAAATATTAATAACCCTGAATCTTTACCGAGGATTAAAACATTAACTAATTAATCTGATGGATATGAGATGCCTTTAGAACAGAATTTTGGCTGTTTTTTTACGCCGAATTTTAACACATTTTTGGTCATATATAGGCGGTCGATCATGTTTTATGACATAAACCAGTAATTGCCGATCTATCTTACTAATTCTACATGATTTTTGAATCAGCAATGCGAGGCAAATTCCATAATACTCAATATGTCCGTGACCAATTGTCACGTCGCCAGAGGATCAAACTAGCGACCCCTAGATTACATATCCGATGATCTCATTATTGAGCTAAGGACTTGACTAAATAAACTGAAATATGTTACTGATAATAAACTTTCGATACATCTTGGAAATACAGAGTCCATTTTACTTGCGTCTTAACCAAGACTTAGGTCATGTCATCAACTAATCAGGTAATTAAGAAGGCCAATGCAAAACTTAAGTTTTTATGTAGAAAAAGTTCATTTTTTAACAGTTATACTAAACAGCTTTTAGTTCCATCATTAATACAATGTCATTTTGATTATGCGTGTGCCTCCTGGTATTTTTGGAGTTGAATCAAAATCTGAAAATTAGACTTCAGGCCACACAGAATAAGATGTTGAGATTTATACTTAATCTCGGTCCCCGCACGCATATAGGGAGGGGTCAGTTTGAGGAAGTTGGTTGGTTACCTGAGAATTCGAGGGTGAAGTTCCTTATCCTTGGTCATGTACATAAGATACACAATAATAGTGCACCTAGTTATTTAAATTAGCACTTTTAACTTACAAAGGAGGTACACTTTTACTTAACTCGTTTCAGAGATAGTAACAGTTATTCTATTCCCAGAGTATAAGGGGGTTCGGAAAGATAACATTTGTATATAATGGTTGTCAGGAATGGAACAGGTTACCAACACATCTTAGGTCAATAACAAGTCGCGATCATTTAAAAAAAATCTCTCATGGAAAATTTTATGCACTAGTTCTTTTATTTCAGCTATTTTTTGTGAGTTTAGTGTATAATTTTAGTAGTACCTATTCATTGTCAGACATTTTCTGTCATAACTATGATTATAATACATGTGTGATGCAATTTGTGATGTAATTACTTATGTGCAATAATTGATATAAGAATATAAGCAACTTGTGAGTGCAATATTTGATAATAGTAATTAATTTGACTTTCTGGTGTCATATGATAAATTCTAAGGACCACAATGGAAATAAGTCGGCTTTATGCCTTCTTTTTGTGTCATCCTTGGTATTGAATATATGGCAAAGTAGTTTTATAAAGTAATTCTCTTCATAAAGATACTGATGTCTTACTGCACTGTGAAGTATCAAGTAAATCCTCTACATACTTGTGACATGACGTGAAATTTGAGAGGCAAAATAAATCTACGTTAAAGCAATAAAATCAATAACACATTTTATCAAAGTCGAGGCATATTAATAATATGCAGCAGTAGAAGTTGTGGATATAGGTTTAAACTAACTACACACATACAGAATGTGATAGGTTATTTCGTTTTGATACATCCTTTGGACATTAGTTGCCCGTCTTGAGATCTATATAATGGTGGCCACATCACAATGTCAACTTTAACTCCTTTTCCGGAAGTTATTTCATATTTGGTTTTATCAACAGCGATGTCTTGCAAGGCGTTATCCTCGAAGCCTATATGCATAGGTGGTGTTTGAACATTAAGAAACCAACATATCTCTACAGAACTCTCTATATAAGGCATACAGACTGTCAGTTCATCGAACGTATATGTTTCTCCATTAGCAGATTCCAGTTTTGTCACAAATGACTGAAACACAATAAATTCATAAGCATGTTTTACTATTATATCACTTTCTTACTGAGGTAAAGTTATCAATCTAGTGTCATTTTTTGTTTTGGTTTTACGTTGCAGCAACACAGTATAGTTTATATGGAGACTTTTCAGCTTTACTGATTGAGGAAGACCTTTATACATTATTTCAGGCATTGACCAGCACCTAAATAGAACCACCGACTCTCCGTGAGCTAGCTGGATAGCTTTCTCACATGAAAGAATCCGAATATGTTAGCGGGGCTCGAACCTACAGCGGTAAGAGGCAAGTGGTTTGGAGTGAACAACCTTGACCACCTAGTCACAGACGCCCCTTATCTACTGTCTTAGCAGCTGATATAAAATTAACAGTTGTCAATTAAATTTGTATGTTCTTTACGAGTTGATTAAAACATTTTATTTTTGGAAATAAATGATAGAATCTCCTTAGAAATGTCTTCAATTTGCAGGGTTATTAAACGCTACTGGCTACATTTAACAGAAAATGCCGAACGTCATCAACAACATGTACATGTACACACTTACATTTTTCACAAATTCACATGACAATCGGCATGTCTGTTTACGTAAATTATGCATCTGTTTTACATCTGACTCTTCCACTTTCGACAAATCCTAAAAGAACAATTCTCCGTAAATACATGTTTTGTATAAGAATGCAAGAATCTTCTAAAAGGTTTACAAAAGCAAACATTACATTGTAGGAGTAAAATTGATGTTAATTAATCAATAATTTGAAATAGCTTACATGCATTGCTTCAGGAGTGTCGCCAGGATAAATAAATTCACTCATTACTTTCTGCATTTGATTGACACTGAATTCCGTGCAAAATAAACAAGCGTCCTGTAAAAGAAAAGTCTATTGAAATTATCTCGAATGCCAGATATTTCCACATCATTTAAAACTATATATGAGCCGTGTCATGACAAAACCAACATAGTGCGTTTGCGACCAGCATGGATCCAGACCAGCCTGCGCATCCGCGCAGTCTGATCAGGATCCATGCTGTTCGCTTACAAACCCTATAGTAAGTAGAGAAACTGATAGCGAACAGCATGGATCCTGATCAGACTGCGCGGATGCGCAGGCTGGTCTGGATCCATGCTGGTCGCAAACCCATTATGTTGGTTTTGTCGTGACACGGCTCATATATACATTTGTATATATATATTCTTTTAATCTGATGGTAAGAATTCCTTCAACATTGAGATCAGCAAATCTAAAAGCATTTCTCGATTCTACCTTCCTATCTGTACTGAATTCTTATCACCCTTCTTTAAGATTATTTCAGTTCCTTAGTTGTGTTTGCTTGACATCAATATCATTAAGCAGTTTCAAGTAGTAGATGGATACAGAAATACATGTACAAATGTATTCATTAAAATGTCCTTTCAATTTTTAATAGGGTAATATATTACGTAAAGAATTTGGAGAAGTCTTCCAGCGGCATCCTTCTCGGTTTTCTTCAGTTTTGTTTTGTAAAACTCAAAAGATTCTTTGTATGCTGTGTTGAATAGATCTTTGAATTGTTCAGCTAGTTTTTCTGGAGGAAATGGATTATATAAATCTGCCAGTTCTGACCCTTTTTCGTCCATTATTTCGTTTATCCTTAAATACAAAAAGTAATTAAGATTTAGACTCACGAATACCAATGCGCTTAAACAAAATATAACCGTTTTTCGAATATTAACTTAGTAAGGTACATTCAATGTATTTACTTTCCAAAACGGCATGAGCAAATCAATAAAACTGCAAGAAAGAATTTCATCAATACCTTTTCTTTAAGTTTTCATTTTCTTGTTTAAGTTCGTACATTTCTGTATCTTTAAGCAAAACCTGACGTTCCAGACTTTTTACTTTCAGCTGTTCTTTCATATTGTCCTGTTTACTTTCCTTGATGCTACTGTGCTTTTTCTCTAGAAGGTCTACAGTTTGTGTCATTCTGTTGTCATATAGAAAAGCGAGGCAACTTTATCGTTAGCAAATTGAATGAAAAACGAAATAAAATAAAAAAAAATAATAAAAAAGCAAATTTTATGTCAACTCAAAGAGTATGCAAACTGGTTTATGACTATCTAAAAAACCTTACTATAAGTTCAATACAACATGATGAATATCGCTTCGTCACTGTAATTTTCTTTAACATTAACTCTCTCCTGCATACTCGAAAACTACTGCGAAAGTAAAAATTAAATGCATATTTGATAAAAGGTTTTGTGGGAGGATGTATTTTAAACAGAACTTATATATCTTAGCAATGTAACTAGACAGTTAAAGAACTATCCTGTTCATTTTATTTTAGAACTATCCTTAATTTTTTTTAAATGGCAAGAACGGTAGTATTTTAGAATGGCCAATGAGATTTTGAGATTTCGAGATTTCATTTTGTAATTTCAAAAATGATCAATGTAAATTTTTTCTTATATTCAGTTCTGAAAAATTTACATGAAGGCATTTGGCCGAAAAAAATAATGTTTGAAACATTGAAATTGTTAACTTAAAATGTAGGAATTGATTTTGGAAGTACAATTATAATGGAATTTACTGATTTATTTCTTTTTCTTTTTCGTCTATTTTCTTTTCCATTTCTTTATGACGTGTTTCTATGGACTCGATTCGTTTCTTCAACTGCTCGTTTTCTCTGAAAAAGATGTCACAATGTGTAACATAGATAAATTCAAATCAAAGATGGATTATTATAACCTTTGGTAACTAATAAGGTTTTCCTCATTCTATTTGCATCAATAATGTCATTACGTAGACACAAAGTGTCATTACTTAAAATCTTAGGCTAAAAACTAGCTAGTAAAGTACGTTTCTTAAAAAGTAGGTGTTTAACATGTACATAGTTACATTTAGGAAGTTCGTTGTTGATACCTTAAAGTCTTTTTGCATTTCTCACAAATGAAAATGAGTGATCTGTAGCTATCTTTTATGTTTTCATTTGCACCCGAAGGGACATTAATTTTTCCAGGAACATCATTGTCTTTCTCTAGCGCGTCTTTTACTATCTTTAAACATGCACATAGGCCATCACTATCTTCTCTTGCATTTTTAAGGTCGCTGAAAAAAAGAGTTTAATTACTGATTTCGGTTTGATACAACTTCATTACGATAACAATAAATTATGTAAACTTCCCACATATTTTTGTTCGTATTATTATTACAGGATACTAAAATATTTTGATATTTTTATATCAACATTGTTCTACTATCTACTAGTATTGGGTTTATTACCTATGGTATTTCCAGTCTTATAGCGCCCTTAGTCAGTTCTTCAAATGTGACGATTTGTATTTCAAGTACTGGCCTGTTCTCAGTCCAGAAATTTAAAAAAACCAAAGTACAGTGAAAAGCGAAATATCACAGTGGAAGGCGAAATATCACTGATAAAATTTATAAGGATTTCAAACTCAATGTATCCGGGGTTTGCAAACTTACTTATCCATTAATTAAGTTGACTTAATAACTAAAACATTCTAGTAATGGAAAAATGAAGATAATATTTTGAACGACTTGTCTACAAAAGATCAATATGCCAACATAAATGTGTTTCTTTGCATGTTTCCATGAAACTACACTAGCTACAGTTGTATATTTCTTTGGGAGGAATGCAAAGGTCAGTGGCAAAGGTTTAAAAAAAAACTCAAGAAGAATGAAGTTCTGACTTTGCTATCTGCAACGATTCTCGTTTGTCGTCTCTTGGAGTATCTTTTGCACTGTGGAAGTCATTTTCCTCTACCATTTCATCTGGTGTCTTAATCTGAAAGTGAGATGATTAGTTATTACTGAGTTCTCATTTGGTAAACGTATTTTTATTTCGTTTCAGAAAATTGAGATGTGAGAATAAATTCAAACGTTTGTTATACTATAAGAGATATCAAATGTTACTTTCTTTAGGTAAATTAAAACGACTGCGGAAATATATAATGTGTCGAACGTCAAACTTACCGCTGATTTAAGTTTACTGAATGTACCTGTCATTGACTTTAACATATTGATCTTTTGTAGATTGTCAGATAACTCCTTTAAAACGTTTTCCGCATCTTTCCATTCTCTCTATAAATGCGGAAAAAAATCATTTTGTAGATCTGTTACAGATAATTGTAACCTACATTTGTTATCACCGTGTATTTATGAGTCCATTCAATTAGTTTAAATCGGCAAATCATCATCACTGAATTTAATCAGTGTGGTTATTAATGGTGGAACGCTGTTTATTAATTTGAAAAAAGACTGTTTCCATATTTTCACAAGCAGAATAATTCCACCTTTATAGAAATGAAAGCAATCACCAACTTGATTATTTGAAATTACAAATTAATACAAATAATTAATTTACATGCACGCCATATAAATATATGATATATGAAGTTACCACGTCGATGTTTTGTCTAAGTCTCTGCCATGCATCTTTAACAGCGACATTTCGAAGCGCACCATTTGAGTCGAGTTTGTCCTCAACACTAATGGTTACCAAGTCTATCAATTTTTTCTTTCCCATTGATCTGAAGTCTGAAACTTCTAGAATAAAATTGTTTAAACCTAAACAAATAACTGTTACCTAGTTTTAAATCATATGTTGTTTATAAGATTTAAATGAAAATGTTTAACTTATGACATATTACTTCGGAATCATTAAATAATACTTAATACAGTGTATGTATATAAACAATATAACATTGATATCAATGAAAATAGTTCAAATACTGGTACAAACTTACCAACTAGTTTAAATTCCTTTATGTGTACAAATACAATGAAATATACGAAATCAGAAGTAATATACCATTTCCCTCAATGTTAACTGAGCCTTTTCATAATCGTTGTTCCGCACAGGGGAAAACAATACAACTATAGACGGTACTATTGATTTTTATATACAAAAATAATGATATATCCGTGATTATTTTGTAAGCAAATGGAAGATAAAATTACGTCTAATATTTATTGATACACTTTTCTTTTTTAACCAAGGAGGGAGATAGACAGAAAGTAGTCCGAACTCCTTGAAGCGGTTACTTCCCTTAATAAGTACACTTACGCCGAAAAATTAAGGGGAGATCACTGCTTAAAGATTGTCAAATGGCAGGCGCATTAATTTTCTAGCCTTTTCGGGGAAGAAAAAATAGTTCTCGATTTCTAATATTGTGTTTTCAGGGCGGATGGACCCTCATTAGGCCTAGAATACATACATACAATTTAGAATAATGTGGTTTTCTTCAATATGTTATCTTATCATTTCCCCGTGGTCGAGGGGTTACACGCTCGTTTAGGAAGCGAGATGTCTGGAGTTCAAAACCCAGGCAACTCATGTACTTTTTATTTTTCATTTTCATTTTTTAAAAATTGTTTCAGCCAAATAAACATTGAATTAAATATCAGTGTTGCAATTAGCCTTATAGCCAATTTACTACATTTATAACACTGGAAACAGCATTCCTGGCACTATACAAAAACAAATTGGTTTATAATCTCACAACCTTCACTTTTCTGACATTCTGAAACAGCGCCTTCTGTGCTTTGATTTTTAGTAGCAACCACTGACTTCTTTAGTAACTAAAGTAGTTACTTAGTAATAGCAGTATTTCATAATTCTTGTCTGTAAAGTTTCGGAAAAATACGTTTTTATGCTTTATTAAATTTTGATATTTCTTCAAATATTTTCTTTTTGTGATGATATATGTTCATTGATTATTTTTGAAAACAAGATCGCTTTGATTGTTTTGCCACTATGAAAGTATTAAAAGGATATGACGTAAACATTACGGGAATATTACACAATTACGTAGTTTAAAAAAATAACACGTGTTTAAATGTGCATTATTTCATATGCAAATATGAACTTTGTGAGACTAGTTCAAGATTGAGACTTTGCATGTATGTATGTATCTGTTTTTCGTTTATAGTTATAATACGATAATACTTGGTCCTTGCCATTAAAAGCAAATATAATCAGGTGAGCGATTTTAGGGTCATTATGGCCATCTTGTTTAATTTCAAAGTAACCAAAAGCAGCATATTATTTTCATTAGATTTTATCAATACACGTGTCACCACTATCGACTGATGATATTGATTGTCTTGTCCATGTTACATCAATATAATTGTAATTGAATTGATATGATTCATCTGTGTCTAATGTCATCCAGAAAATTATCTCATAAAAAGAAGTTTGTTGATGCTTATTAATCAAGGAAATATCAATATTAATAATAAATCAATAAGATAGCTGAAAGTCTTGGTAAAAGTATAAAATCTAATTCTATATCGAACGATATTTTTTCTGATCGGTCATGTACTGTAATTTGTATAAGATACGCAGAATTGTTTGTATTATCATAATAATTGATGCAATCAATACAAAATGCGAGACATCATGAAAACCGGAAATTACAATCAATCCGCAAATTTAATAATTAAAATTTATAAGCATTTTTTTTTCTGTAACATCAATTTGCTATTATAATAGTTCATTATAATAGTTGTCTTTTCTCGAATTTAAGGATTGACTTATTTTCTAAATCTAAAACGATATTATTCAGTAAATTTTACACAAATCTAATGATAAATTTGTGTTTGACTTTATACTTCTTGAATTGTCTGTAAAGTTTCGGAAAAAACACGACTTCTTGATGTTTTATCAAATTTTGATATTTCTTTAAATATTTTCTTTTCATGATGATATATATTCATTAAACAGGATCGCTTTTGATTTTTTTGGCATTATGAAAGTATATAAAAGGATATGACGTATACATAACGGGCATATTAACACAATTACGTAGTTTAAACAAATAACACTGTATACATACAGGGACATTTTTATGAATATTTCAGGGAATAACTAATTATAAATCGTATTGAAATGTCACACATCACTTCAACTGAAGTAGGCTGCTCTTTCTTATCTACTTTATTATAATCATGAAAGGACCTTTATTCTTCTTGGTGTAGTTTATATGACAATATTTGTCATCAATGTTGACAAATACACCAACATTTTGCGGATCGAATGCTCGAGCAAATATCTTTTGAAGAGGTGTACAAACTCCATTGAAAGTGTTTTCGTCGATAAAACGTTGTGCTGTCAATTTTAAATGAGAAATTAACGAAGCGCCAGGACGGTTCTATTTGTGCTTAATTGATTAAATTTAGATATCAGTAGTGGTGATTGAACGTATCGTAGTAACAGAATCTGGCGGATAGTTATTTATCATCATGTTACCATCTGTTAGGATAATATTATTCTTAGCTTCATATATGCGACATTAAATAATTAGAGTAGGAACTAGAATACTTGATTTCTCATTACACTATGGTTTTTAAATGTGGTAGACTAAGTGGCACCAACGGAATAATATTGAGGAATTTTTGAACAGCTTCATGTGATAAATATGCTTTTACCGGAATGACAACAACGACTGATTCAAGTATGTTCTCTCTATATACATGTATATATCTTTATTAATCTTATACACTGTTGAAGAGTTAAAAACAGATGGTGTCACAACTTATTTACACTAATCAATGTATTAAAATATATTCAAAAGAAGTCAAATTTTCTTTAAAAGTGGGTTAAACATTTGATAAATAAAAACCTTTTATTAGAAGCAACGAAGTTACTTCTTGTGTTAAGGAACTTTATATTATGTTTTGTTTGATAAACGCTTGAATTTAATTAAAAACAAGATTAAGTTAAACGCTCTCTACAAATGAAAGCTTTACGGTCGATTTGATTACAATCACATGTTATAATCGTTATTAACAAATTTGCTGTTCATTTGATCGGTTAAACGTGGTATAAATATGGTGGCTGATTTGTGCCATTCGTGTTTTCGCCCCGCGACCACGCCAAACGAAAAATTGAGAATTTACAAGTTAAAATGGCGGGGACGCGGAGCGAAAACACGCTAATAAGCGAGGGCGCGGGGCAAAGTTAGATAAATAAAACTTCGTCCTGCGGGGACGCGGAGCGAGATTTAAGAAATAAAAGGCGGGGTTGCTGGACGAATATATGCTGATTTGCGCGGGCGCGAGGCGAATTTTAATAGAATAAACCTTCGCCGTGCGCCCCCGCTAATTAGCGTGTTTTCGTCCCGCAACCCCGCCAAGCGAAAAGTCGTTAATTAACAAGTTAAGGGCGCGAAGCGAAAACACGCTTATTAGCGGGACGCTATAATGAGCGTGTTTTCGTCCCGCGATCCCGCCGTTTTAACTTGTTAATTCTCGACTTTTTACTTGGCGGGGTCGCGGGGCGAAAACACGAATGGCACATATCAGCCACCATGTATAAGCGAATTGAAACTATCAATATTTTTTTCTCTTCATAAAAGCAGTAAAAAAGATGGTTAATTTTATTTATCCTTTTAAAATAAGTAATAGAAAGAGCATCGAAACACAAGGCTATCTGATTTGTACGAGGGGGGCGTAGCCCCCGAGTATTAATCAGATTGCCGAGTGTTTTGATGTTCTTTCTCTTTTGTATCATAGTCAAACATATAAACAGGTTTCCTGTTGTCACAATATGAAACCCCGGAAAAAGAAACCAATGAACGAGCATCTGAATATGATATTTCTGTCGCTTTCCCTTTATCTTCCGCCACAATAAGTTAACCCCAGCAAAAATGAGCCAATCAATCGGCATGCTCTGGAGGGTAACTAATACATGCACTCCAGTTAACGCACTGTGCACGTATATGTATACGATTTAACTTTGACATATTTTCAACAGAAAGGTCCTCAAACTATGATACAATTACTTTTTTTCATGATAGTCAATTTATCAATATCTTCTTAAAAATAGTCAACATTACTAACTTATTATTTCTTAAATGTCTAAATTAAATTTCCATTTTAATAGAGAGAGCCTATGGCTTGAATAAATATTTTTCATACACATGTTGAATTGATATCGGAAAATAATTTAATTTAACAATAATAATAATAATAATAATAATAATAATAATAATAATAATTATTATTATTATTATTATTATTATTATTATTATTATTATTATTATTATTTTATTATTATAATAAATAATAATAATAATAATGATAATCAATTAATACGCAATTTTGTAAAAATAATAAGTCTATTTATTCCATTTTTTATTTCAGCAATTGAGATCGTTAAACCGATCGAGTTTGGAGCGATAAATTACGTACTGACGTTTTTAAGTGGGATTCTAGGTGTGGCATTCCTTATTGGTGTCGTTGCACTTATCTATAAGGAATATTTACGTTCTGTTGAGGCTAGAGTAGCGGACTTTAAACAAAAGTTGAACATCAGACGTAAAGGTTTTAGTGGTAAATCTATGCAAAATGGAACATCAAGTGAAAGTATCACAACGTCAGAGGCAACGTCATATATACAACTTACAGAGACGCCGACGTCAATACGATGTAACTCAGCATGGACGCCAAGTCCGGTGACAAGGAATTCTTTCAGCGAAACACCGAACTCAGCAGACTTTAATTTCTAGCAATCGGGTTTAAGTTCAAATTCGGTGGTCAAATATATTAGTTAAAACATTATTATTTTTAATATGTTATATATAAAGTATTTACATTTAAACTGTGTTTAAAGAAGTGATCATTCAAAAATATACACTCCCATATTCAAGGATGAAAGCCAAACATTGCTGTCAGACAATACTGAATTTTATGCATAGGTAGCTAAATTTTTGTGTGACGTATTATGCAAAAATGTATCCACATGCAAAAATATTTATGGCATAGTAGAGTTCTGAAGTATATTATTGGGGAGTAAACTATAAACTTGTTTATTGTCTGAAGTTTTATAATGTTTTTCATACAGACTGACATGAACAGTATGCAACATTGTTAAGCGCCTAATACCTCATTTTGTTCTAGTGCCATTTGATTTTATTGTCAATATTTGAAATGTTTTTGAAAGTGATATATAAGGGATAGACACGCAGTGACAACATGATGACAGTGAACAATGTCTGATTGATAGTTCATTGAGTAAAATATATTAAACGTTAAAATGAGCGAGTGATTTATAGTTTCATTCGATTCTTGTTATTTTCTCGAGTTATGGTATTTGGCACCATATAAATGCAGCATTGTATTATAAAAATGTTCTTCTTTTCTTATTTACTTGATTTAGTATTTGTTTAAGATAATGGATAGCACATTATAATCACATGTACAAAGAAACCAAGTTCTAAGTGCCTCTTAACAGTAAAGTGACCGCAATCATTTGATGTAGTGGACTTACTGGAGCGTCACTACAATGCTGAGGTCCACGGTTGTTTCTTGTATTATACTGTACGATCGATACTGTAATTGTTCCCCAGGGAGAGAAATCATGTTGCTGTTAAATAAAATGTACTGAAAACTTTCAACAGTGAGCTTCATCACTAATTTACTAAGTACATACGAGATAGCTAAGTCGTGGCCACGAGATAGCTAAGTCGTGGCCACGAGTAACAATGTGGTGGCCACAAGATAGCTAAGTCGTGGCCACGAGATACTTTGTCGTGGCCACGAGTTACTAAGTCGTGGCCACGAGATATCTAAGTAGTGGCCACGAGATACTATGTCGTGGCCACGAGTTACTAACTCGTGGTCACGAGATAGTTTAGTCGTGGCCACGAGATAAATAACCAATCAGATTACACCATTTATATGAATTTCCCTAATTAACAAGACATGTGCAATAGTACAAGGATGCCCCTACTTCACCAGCCTCTAAAAGTGCCATTTATACAACTTATTGCTTGGTCAATAATTTTACATTTTGCGTCACTGTGACCCTGAATTGTGACCCAATGACCTCGAAATTATTAGATGTCATCTACTGATCAGGTGCAATGATCTTTCTGGGTTATATAAACCATGGCTTATCCCTTCTAAATTATTCATCAGACAAGGATTTTATCTTATAGGCTATCTACTGTCCATGGGCAATGTCCCTTCCAAATAAACAAGGTTTACAGGCCGTAGTACATAAGAACTGACCAATTCGATCACAAAATTGTCCTAACAAAGAGCTATAGTCATAATTAATGTCTGATGGGCCTTGAAAGGTGACTTTCAAATATGATCCTAAAGACAAGATCAAAGTGAATATCTTCAGTATTTTCAAAGATTAATGTTGCTAGTAAAAGTAAGTTGTTAAGTTTAAAAAAAATCATAATATATATAGTGTATTTTGATTGGTTAATTATCTCGTGGCCACGACATAGTATCTCGTGACCACGACTTAGCTATCTCGTGACCAAGACATAATATCTCGTGGCCACGACTTAGCTATTTCGTGGCCACGACTTAGTAACTCGTAGCCACGACATAGTATCTCGTGGCCACGACTTAGTGTGACTTTTCTATGTCACCAGAAGTTTTAGTAATTGTCATTTTCTAACCAAAATCGAAATTAACGATATTTTGTGCATTCTTGCAAAATCACAACTTCATTATCATCACAATAAGTACATCTTAATCATCATCAGGGCATCATCGTCACTAATATATCAGCACCATCATCGGTACTATAATCATTATTATCATCACCAGAACACCGACACGACAATGATAATCATCATCATCGTCTTCATCTCCCCGCCATCATCTTTATTATCATCCTCATTACTATTAATTCAAAATATTAAAAAGCATTCCCTCCTGGGGTCTCATATTTCAGTAATTCATGTAAAACATATTAATGTCATTTTATTACAATTAAAACACAATAAAACGGACATCAGACTTCATATAATTTAGCGATGATAACGATAATGATGATGGAGATGTTGATAAACATTATTTCAATTATGGTAATTTTGATAATTGATGCGATTATAATAATGAATTTAATGATGTAAGTGATGATGATGATATAGTTGACAAGTTTGAGCTTGGTGATGATGGATGTGATAAATATTTAATGATGATATTGGGAATGTTATAGGTGATGTTAATTATAATTTGCAAGATGGGTGTGATGATGATTTTGATGAAGAATTTCACGATGATGTACGTAATGATATTATGATAAATATGATTATTATGATATGATGACGATGATGGTGATCATGATTTTAATAAAGATCACCATGGAGGTGTTTTTTGAAGTTTATGGACGTGACGATGATTAATTTTATAATGCTGATGAAGGTGATGATGATTTTGATGAAGATGATGATAGACGTAATGATGATTTTGATGATGATTACGGGGATGATAAAAGTGATGATTATTATCATCACGATCAAAATGATGATAATGGTGATAAAAATTGTGAATTTGATGATAAGTATGATGAAGATGATGATGATGATGATTAAGGTGATGATGATTTTCATGTCGATGGACGTTATACAGAATTTAACTATGGTGATGATTGTTATGACTTTGATGATTATAATGGTGGTGACATTGTTTTTTAATTGATCAGCTTGAAGACAGGGAGTTTTGATCTATTCGATTTCTTGACCTGCGAAATTGATAAGATAATCATAAAAACATGTTAATCTGGGACCTACCCATTAATTCTTTTACGTTTTTGTTTAACAGTTATTTTGTTGTTGTTTTTGTTGTTGTTTTGGTGATATAATCAATAGACGTAAATAATTACAGTACAGTGATTTAGATGATATGTCAGTATAAACATTGTCAACATGTCTGATAAATTACATTTAAAAAACCTCTATGATATAGATATACATGTATAATTGAAAAAATATTAGTGAATATGTTAATCGACTATACTGACCAAGGTTTCTGCACATAACAAGAATATCGCTTTCCGAACCTGTACATTTATCAATGTGTTTAATGCATTGCTTTAGTAAATAAGCAATGGCAGTTTGAGTAAAAGTGTAAAAGTCTTTTTAAGCACCAATGACTTGACCCCAATAAAAGAAAGTTAGGGGACAACCAAAGGTATGCTACAAAATATAAAACTCGCTCAAGGGCCTACATAAAAGAAAAGCCCTACGGTTTGAAATAGGGGTTGGACTTAATCGGGCCCGGGGTTTGATTCCCAGCACGCGGTCCTTTTTGTATTATCTTAAGCTTTTCACCTTTCCCCTGTGCTTTGGGGTTTTGAAGTTTAGCGGGTGGGGGGGGGGGGGGGGGGGGGGGGGGGGGGGGGGGGGGGGGGGGGGGGGTAAAACTGTAAGCTGCTCAATGAGTAAAATTGAAAATTGCTATTTAGCTGACAGTGATGACGCTTCTAGCAAAGTGATCCATCTGTATTTGAAACTAAGCGTTGACCCCCAAGGTTTGTCCTCAAATTGAAGCAAACTATACTGGTATGTACGCTGCATTTAATTGCTTCTGGAAATTAATGGGCTTATTCTGATAAGTAAAACGCATTGGCTCTAAGAGCTATGAATTTTGTTGTGAATGAATGGACTGTTGAAGTAATTAGACATTGAATTGCCAAAACAAATTCTGAACTTGAAAGTTTTTGTATGATAATGTTAAAGCAGTATTGTCATTTTTTTCCCGAAATCTTTCTCCAACTTTATATAGAATTTATATTTTACATTGCTTTGTATATATAAGTATTTTACTTTTGAAAATGAATACTATTTTGTAAACTGTTCTAATAGAAGAATAATGTGGGGAATTCATTTTTCACAAGTAACTTCATTCATGTACTAAGATAAACACATTTATTATGAATTCATAAAACTTAATTAAGAAAAGAACATAGTTGTGTATATAAACAAAAAACTCAAAAAATGTCCGGTATAAGTTCATGTATGTATACTATTTGAAATATAGAGTATACAATACAAACACAAAGATGATGAATCTCATGACTTGGTGTAACAACAAATACAGGTGCACTCACTCACACAAAATATACAATCAAACATGTGTCCTCCTCTGAATAGTGACCATCTTACTCTAAAAAACTGTAACATATATTCCGGATGGCCACTTTAATTTCTGCTTTATGCTAACCGTTGAACAAAAAAATGATTTTTTGTTCGAATTGGTTGTCGTAAATGTTATACGGCTTTGACAACACCTATGTATCTAAACTGAGTACCTCTATTGAACGTTAGCAATGCTGTAATTGGTGCAACTCTATTTCCGATAACTTTTTTGAAAATTCACTGTACAGTTTTTACAACATCCTGTTTCAGATCATAGGAAGTGTTTAGTGTTAGTATCTTAAACATTTGATTTATAAAGTCAAGTATATAAATAATTGATTTTTCAGGCAAAACTGTGCATTAAACAAACATAATTTTAAGTATATAATTCATCATATTTATAAAAGGTTTCAGTAAAAATATTATAAGGCGACATTCATCATCTAACTACAACTTTAAAATGTCTTTTGGGCCCGTATTATATAAAAAATTTAAAAGTTTTTTTAACTTTTATGTTTTTTTTTATTGTCCCAATGATTTTTAAAGATCTTTGCTTTCAATAAAAAATTGATTTATGTGAAACCCTTTACAAACCCGTCCAAATTTAAGGGGAAAAACTTACATTTTCAATAAATGAAAAAATGAACATTTCTGAAAATGGAAGGGGACGTCCGCGATTCACTATAAAGTGCCATTTTTTTATTTTAAACCAATTTTTTAAAGGGTTACGTCATTTACTTCACCATTTTCTCTTGGTGAATGAACTTCTCCATTTGGCCTGTTTTCCGGGGTTTGAAGTGGTGAAACTCGTGTTTCTTCAGGAATGTTCATAGTGGCACGTGTCATTGTAAATGGCGTCGGATCAGCAATATTGACCTCAGAAATTTCACTCATCCTAGTATGAACCTCGCTAAGCCTCGTAGGTTCCGGTGTGTCTCCACCAACTTCACTGTACATAGGTAAACTAGCTTGCGACTCCCTCTCAACATCTTTCCCGTACATCGTTCTCCTTCCGTCTGTAAACCCTGGAGTAGTTGCTTCAAGAGTCATGCCACCATCGTCGTCGTCAATTTCCGATGGACCAAATCGACCGACAGCCAATTCACTGACCGTTGGATACGGTGAGAATGGTGAAACTCTACCGTCTAGATTTTTCTC